GGGGATTGCAACGTTCTCGTTGGATCTTGCTAGGCTTCATAGTCACGACATATCATATCTATCAGAGAGGAACTGCCTTGTTGAAGACATGACTGGTAGTGCCGGGTCAGAGGCCCGTAAAGTCATAGGAGAGAGTCGACGAGAGTGCGTACCGCATTCGGTACTTCCTGCCCAAGTGACATGCGAAACGCTGCCCAGTAGCTCATCAAACCGACAACCTGTGCAAGCTGGGCCGTAGGCCCTGAATATCTCTGGGCCCAAGTGTAGGCACAACAGGGAGTCATCAAGCTGCCTAATTGCTCTATGAACAAAGACGACACGAAAGAGGTTTAGTTTCCAGACTTGAGGGATCCGAGAACATAGACTACCAGACAAGGCTTTGAAACCCATCGAGTAAATAAAACGACACTGCGCAAGGCTCCCGTGGCCAGCAGTGATGCCAACTTTTCGTGGTGAGAAGTGGATGCCCAGAAATTCGGCTTGAACATCCCCCCCTAAATTGCCGCGAGGCTTGGCAGATGCTGAGGACTCGTGGAGTGTTCAACATTTTCCGAGGCTGGAGACAAGCTACATCAGCTCTCCGTATGGACCTCATGCTCTCCACCGTCATATGGCAAGGTCACGTTGGAATTCGTGAGCCTGCGAATGCCCGCGCAAGCAAACAGAATTAGGCGTCGATAAGTCACGTGCAAATTATCGGCGCTAGCCAAAAGCAGAACCCGGCGGAGACACTGGACTTCTTTTCGCGCAGGAGCCTTCCCCTTCCTTACACTCTTCTCACAAGGACCGCCACCATCGCCACGGGAAGTCATCCATCGTCTTCGACTTCGGCGCCAACATCAGTACCTTCCTCTTTGGGCCAATACGGATATCATTCACCTGCACATGCGCGACGGACGCGCCTAGCTTGTTGTTGGCCTCGTGCCCGAGGACGGACCCACTCTTCGTCCGTGCGAGTCTCGTCACTCGACCTCAATCACAAAATTTCGACTTGTCTGCGGGTCGCATACATGTCGGCTTTCAACCCAGCAGTATCGGTGTTTCACTTCACGTCCCGGATATCAAATGCGAAAATAAGAAAATATCGAGAAGCTACCGAAAGAGGCATGGCTCCAGGCACCAGCATCGAGGGCAACGCACTTGCGGATGGCAGATCGCCCTCAGTCCAGCCAAATGGCAATCAACCCAGTCCGTCGCCATCGGCCCAGAGTACCGACTCGCCGTCAGCAGACCAGCCGCCGACCAAGAAACCGCGACTCAAGCTCAATGTGCGACAACCGAAGGCGAAGGGGAACGTTGGCGAGACCATCGCAGTTTCCCGTCCCAGGCGCGAGACCAATGTCAGATTCCGTTACTCCCAAGACATGGTTATGAGGGAGAGCCCAGAGCCACCAAAGCGCAAGGCTTTGCCCAAACCGGAACCTGTGGAAGCTGCTTCGCCTGCATCGTCGGGACTCTCTTCCCTAGTATCTGCGCCACCAAGTGAGCGAGAGGAATCGCCATTCCAGGATCCTAGTCCACCGCCCGAGGGAGACGAGTATGGAGTCAACTTCTTGTCGTACTATGTTGACGGAAATGACGAGGATGTAGGAAAGCAGGGCAAGGCTGAGAGGCCGAAGGCTAAACCGAAATCACGTGCAAATGCAAAGCAGAAGTCCAAGGCAGAGACAGAGACGGCGAAGGAGCCTGGCCCAACTGCTTCTGCTACTCCAGCACCTCCACCATCGCAGACGGTGGTGAGGCCAGATCAGCAACCCATGCAAAAGCAGCATCCGCCCCTTCCGCCGCCTGCTGGACCAAGACAAAGCGCACCTCCCCCTCTTCCGCAACAAATGCCACCACAGCAGATGCCTCATCAGCAGCATCAGAACCAAGGGCCACGGCCGCAACACATCCCTCCACCATATCCAACAGGGCCGCCATCGCACCGTCCTCCCCAGCATTTGCCACCTCCACCCCCTCCCATGCCCCAGCCGGTCATACAGGTATGTTGACCAATCCCTCATGACTTACAATGCTAACCCTGCCAACAGTTTATCGACATCAAACATGACCCGAAGCCCCAGAGACCAGACACCGTTGCGGAGATGGTCCGCAAGCTCGACGACTTGTGCGCTGCTCTTACCAACTTTGGTGGAGTACCCGTCATGCCGCCTACTCCCCCACCAGAGAAACCGGCGAAGAAATCGCCGAAGGAGTCAAGGCCATCTGCCAATCCGCTCGACAACTTCCTCTCTCATTTCCACGAGGATGACGACTCGGACGAAGAGAGAGACCTCGACTATCAGCTAATTAAGCCTGGCGCACCGGATGGCCCTCTTACGTACGGCATTCAGTTCATTCAGAATGCTCTCAAATCATGGGCTCAGCAGCGACTCACGCATCAAGTCACCCAGCAATATCAGGCCCAACATCAACAACAGATGCATCAGCAACAGATGCAACAAGCGCAGAGACGAGGACCGGGTCGCCCTCGTCGATACGATGAGCCAGATCCTCACCCAGTCGGACCTCCTGCTGTCATCCACACAGATTTGGCCGCGACCCCAGAAGGCGTTGCGATCAAAGCTTTCCAATCTGTGCTGGATTCTGGCTGTCTGCAAGTCAATGCTGTGCTTCCAATCGAGCTCTCATGTGCACTTCGTCATCTCTACATGCAGATTGATCATTTGATCAACCAAGGGTCCAAGGCCGAGAACAACAACTGGCAGTGCATGTCCTACTCCGCACAGATATCTGCAAATAAGGCTCGAGTCGACAAATGCAAGGCTGACCAAGCGAAAGCCCAGGAGCAAATGGCCAAGCAACAGCAGATCATTGACCAGCACAGGATGGCTCAGCTAGGTTTTGCGCCCCAACCAAGTCAGCCACTTGCCGCAGACCAGGCGCAACAGCAGCATGCCATCGATTTGGAAAGAAAACGAAGCATGCAGCATGCGGTACAACAGCCGTACATCTCGCAGCAACACCTCAACCCACTGCAGTTGGGTGCTCGCTCCAATGGCACCCCAGTTGGCACTGGTGTTCCTCCTGCCTCTAATGACGCCACGCCCAAACCTCACCCTGCAACATCGCCCCAGAACGGTGCTCCACCAGGTGAAACCGATACCCGTCAGAGCAAATCAAGCGCGCTGCCCGATCAGGACCCGAAATCAAGAAAAGATGCAAGCCAGGTGCAACTCGACAAGGTCAAGATCTATATGCCTGGCTTCCTTCCCCGTTCCGGTCAGTCCATGAAGTTTTCTTTCGCGCCCAATAGCGAAAATGCCGTACGAGTTTTCGGGACTGAAGCGTTTCCAGTGAATGAGCAGGGCCCGAAATTGCCTAACAGAGGGCCTATGAGTGCCCCACTGACACAGCCAGGAGGCGACGCGCAGACCCCGATCAACCTTGATGGTGATGTGCCCGGCGAAAAGGCATTCGAGGCGAAGCCAAGACCTTCTACTGGTGGTTGGAACCCCGTGAACGCCCAGCACAACGCCCCGGTGCCGTCGAACGGGCAGTCACGCCCCAACTCGGTCCCTGCACGCCCGCAACCCGCCGCATCTGAGCATGCCAAAGGTCGGTAGAATCGACCTTGCCGCACGATCATCATAGAAGATTGAAGGGTGGGGAGGAAGACGGAGGCTGAAGAAAAAGGAGAAGAGTAGATCAAAGCGCGCCTGGGCAGGGGGTCATGATTGTGTTTCACGAGTACTAGTTGGCGGGCATTGCATGAGCAGGTCAGGCGTTCTTTGAAGTATGCATTGGGTTCCCGCACGGTTTTGTCCTAGAAAATGGTCGGTGGAGCGGTTGTTCTGTTTATCAAGCGGTTCTTCCATGTTGCATAAACAGAGCAAGTGTATTTTACTGTCGCCGAATGTATCCTTAATAGAAGGTCGAACGAATTAGAACAGCTTCTTTCTAACACGCTTTCGCTTCTGCTGAACAGGCATTCGGCTGTTGCTTTTTTTTTTGGCAGCGTGCATCTCACTCTTAGTCTAGCAGTTGGGAATCATTCGAGGCCTTGAAGAATGCCGGGACTCTTCCCAACTGCCTATTCCTTTCGGCATGCATGGGACTCTCCTACCCAGACCATTGATGGACAAGCTAAGCCACGCAGACCCGCATCCCAATCTGGTCCCCAGGTCCTCAGATCATCGTCGTCGTCGTCGTCGTCGTCGGCGCCTCACGCTCAAATTCAACGTCCTATGGAACAGCACTCTCAAAAACATACACACTCTCCAATCGATCAATCACCCAAGAAATTTCTGGAACAATAACATTCATGCGAAGTCGTGACTGAGTTTGGTAAGCAGCCTTGTTAAACTAGCCAGCAGAAAGCACGACGTGATGACCGCTCTGCTTTGCTGGTTGTTTTTTTGGTCCAGACGCGAAGATCTAGTTTTTTGTTTGAGACACTGACTTGACCGAGAGAGAGAGAGAGAGAGAGGAAACTTGGATGTGGGTGGGATGTTTGTTGGGTAGATAGATGGAAAGTTGATCTGTCGTAAGACGATTGATCGATCAATATAGATGAATCTATCCATCCATGGTGGTGGCTTGGGCGGGAAATGGGAAATGGGAAATGGGAAATGGGATGTTGTTGTTATCCAATCTGTGGTGGCGGTTTATCGAGAAATGGTTTCATGTCTCTGTTTCGAAGATGTAACTACTAATCTGGACCACTCTCGTGGAATCCGGGAGATGGTGCCAGTTGACGGATTATTCGGATTCAATTCGAGAGAGAAAGACGGTGGGGAGCCGCTTTGTTCGTTCTTGAGGGAAGAAGTTGCGAGGGTGCAGTATCCTCATGGCGCTGCTGGGAGTGGGGTTACACGCAGATATATCTCGAGACACGTTTGGAGGGATCCGGCTGTCTGCCGGATCGTCAGTTACAGTGCTGTTGCTGCAGAATGCCTGGAGGCATTGTGTTGACAAGCGTTGGTTTATGATGCTGCTACTCCAAGGTCGATGGAACATGTGTGCGAGGGAGATGCACAAAAATGAGGTAGTCACCAAGTGGAAAGACATTAATTGCTTTGCTGTGTACAATCCCAAGCCGTCAAATCTTCCAAAATCATTCAATCGTCGCTGTGCTCCGTCCCTCCCTCGTACAGTATTACCGCTTTTTCGCCTTATGATTCCTAGGGTATAAAGCTGGAACTTTCCAAGAACAGATTAAGGCTGGAACTTTCCAAGAACAGATTAAGAGAACTTAATTAGCCGATGTGTTTAGACAGGCTGTACACGCTCTTCCTCACGACCCCGAGCGTCGACCTCGGCGTCCTCATCCTCATCGTAATCCTCCTGCTGGTGTTGGCTGGCTGGAACCCACAGGCCAGACTCGCGGGACTGGTCCTGATCGGTCAGGTCAACGCCCGAGGCATTGTTGCGGCGGCGCAGGGAAAGGGTTCGTGCACGAGTGGAAAGGTTGGACTTGACAGCAGCGTTCTGCTCAACCCAGTTGGTGAGCGCATCCTCGCAGTCCTGGATGATAGCCTTGGAGGCCTCGTAGCCATCGTAGGCGTTGCGGGTCTCGCCAGGGGTAACAGGAGTGTCGTCGACCAGCTCAAGGAGGTGCTTGCCGAAGCCCGCGACAATGGCAAGCTTCTCACTGTGCTCGCGGAGGGCATCAAACTGGTAGGTGAACGCAGCCTTTACCTTCTCACGAGTGATGTTGGACAGCTGAGCCTCAGCGACGAGGGACTCGGCCTCGGCACGGACGAGCTCCTGCTCCAAGACGACAATCTTTGGGCTGTTTGGCTCCTTGTACTTGAGCTGTGCGATCTGGTCGGTGATCTTCTGCTTGCGGTCTCTGCTGGGCTGGACCGAGGCTTCGATGTTACGGATGCTCTTCATGGTCACGCGGTATTGATCGTAGCGGTCGACAAACTGGTCCTCGAGCTCACCGATCTCGTAGATGAGCACGCCGAGCTTGTCGGTCACATCCGAGACGTCGTCGTCGCAGCCCTCACCCCAGATAGAGAGTTGTTGCTGTGTCCCTGATCAGCTCCGATCCATCACGTTGGTTCCACAGGTATAGAAACATACAGCGACCTCCATGCGCTCCCGGCCCACAAGCTCCATGGAGCGCATCACGTTCTTCTCCATCTTGACAAGCGAAGACAGCTTCTTTGCGAGGTCAGGGCCAAAGGCGCCCGGGTGGACAGACCTGCGGAAAGTGTGGCCTTGCGACACTGTGTCAGCTTCGGCGGACTTTGTTCGTGCAATCGCATTGCAGTTTGGCGAGTGGAGACATACCGATGTTGGACTTGCCGAAGATGCGGCCTGCCTTGGTGGAAGATGATGGCGGCGGCGGGTTCTGGATCTGCGAGGCAGTGGGAGCGCGCGACTGGCGCATAGAGTACGTGCGATGCATGCTGGGCGGTGGGAGCGGGGGGATTCGTCTGGAGGTGTGTGTGATGTGGTATGGAGATGTGAGTGGAGCTGTGTCCGGGGTTGTGAGTGGTATGGCAGGATAGCAGTGATAGTAGTTGTATGGGGGAGGAGAAGGAGGAGGGAGGGTTGCGAGTAGACCGTACTACGGTGTATGTATACCTCCTCTCCTGCGCGGATCTGTGGAACCCGCGGAAGCTGCCACTTACGCTCCTGCCGATGACGTTGAAGTCTCTGGCTGGGATCAGTGCGTGGCGCGTGCTTACTCTCTAGACGCCCGCACAGCCCGCTTTCACGTTGCGCAGACGCTGATCCAAACACTGCGACTGCCCAGCGGCTGCTCGCGCGGCGCGCTGCTATAACAACGGAGCTAAGGTAGCCCTTCACACCAACAACACCAAGCTTACGCGAATCCGCATCCCATCCGTATCGTCCGGAGCATGTCGCGTGTGAGACCTCACTTTGCACAACGCCTCGAGTTGCGCTGCACAACTGTCATCTCATCACGCCAGTCTCCCATGGCAACAAAGCCCTCATTCCGCCAACGGCGCGACGTCATTGGAACTTTGTTCTCCGTAACACGAGCTCGGACCCACCGCCGCGATTCTGTCAGAGTCTGGCCCGCACTACAGATTCAAGCATTGTGAGAAGCCGCTTTTCTTGCAAGACATTCAGTAGGCCGGAGCAATAGCGTTTCTTCGTCCAATCATGGTGTGGAAGTCGGAACAGCTTCATGTGGCTTTCATACACCACAGCTATAGCTATGGCATTCACCCACGGGAAGCCTCATCCAGGGCTCCCGGGACCATTGTTCGTCCGTTGGAAAGTTGAGCGGGAACTCGAATTGCTACACTGTCAAAGTCCGAATAGAGAGTAGGTCCATTGGTAGCAAAGCCGTAAGAACAGTGTTCGTGGCACTTGGCGCCAGTTCATGCATCGTCTGCGTGCCTAGCGGCAGAGATAGAAGAAGTACTTGGTGAGAGTCTCATCTCAAGGGTCATCCGGGCTGCTGTTGTATAACGAGCCTCTTCATACTGTCGAGCTGAGTCTTCCCGGTCGAGCACAGGTATCTAATGTGGGACTGGGTAGGGTCAGAGAAAAGAGTCCATAGCTCAGCGACAAACGTACCAAGTCGTTGATGGTTCGATAACGGTCAAATTCTTGCCGAGCAAAGGACCTCATCTCATCTCGAGTGTCTGATGGCGGTAATTCTGCCGTCCGATCAGTGCTGTTTCCAGAGGGAGAAGCAGTAGCGTCGTACTGTATACAGTCCTCATACAATCTCGCCAGAGTGAAATGACCTTTTGCCTCTGGACAAACTGCTGGCATGTCAGCTAAGAGAGATCTTGCCAACAACGGGTTGCAGGGACAGACGTGTTCAAGTGAGAGTGGTGCACCTTTGCCACGCAGCTTTCTGCCTGACTCTATGGTCGCAAACCGTCGCAGCGAGGCTTTCATGTTGGCCAACAACGTATGGCCAACAACGTAAGGACAACAGTCTCGGTGTGGTGTTTCTGAAGGCTAGGGGCAAGCGTCATTGATTGACATGTGAAAGATCTTAGCCCGTGCGGCATTCGGCAGTGGTGGGGCCGATGCAGTGCTTAGTGCGGTACGGCGGACCGGTCACGTGAGCTACTTTCGCGTCTTGAGCGCGCCTCCACCACCTTGTGCAACACCTGGCGCCCCTCCGCTTGTCCCACGTCTCTCGTGATCGCTTACTGTCGTAAGCTGTCTTGCTGCTCTCTACTTCACCGCACGTTCCATGCGCGACCAGAACTACAGCATGGCCAAACGCAAGAGCGATGCGCTGTCGCAGCCCGCCGTGAACGAGAACATCGCAGCACCACCGGCGCAGAACAGCAACAGCGCGCGCAAGAAGAGCAAGAAGACACCTTCCGAGAGCTCAGCTTCCAGCCTCATCGACACCGCAAACTCGCTCGATCCCGAATCTTTTGCCAAACGCTATCACGGCCTCCAATACCGCGAATACGGATCCGGATCTGGCCGGTCGCTCGTGTCACTCAAATTCGCTGACGAGCTCACACCCGGCGAGTGCGATGAATGTCTCAACCTCATTGCGAGCACGAGTCGGAAAGATTATGAGAGTAGTAATTGGGGATGGCATCCGAAGCGGAAAAAGCGAGAGATGAAGGAGAAGGAAATGCGCTACCTTCTTGTTCGAAGACCTCTTCCTGGAGAAGCGTCGCAACGAGCAGACGACACGGAATTTGAAGGCTTCTTAAGCTTCATGCTCACGCACGATTCGACACCGGCTGTGCCTGTGCTTTACATATATGAGATACACCTCACGGAGGCTGCCAGAGGGAAAGGGCTGGGCCGCTTCCTGATGGCGTCTGCAGAGTCTTTTGCGCGCAGTGTGGGAGTGGACAAGGTCGTGTTGACCTGTTTCCTGTGCAATGTTGTGGCGCGCAACCTTTATCTACGCCTCGGATTCGGCACCGATGTTTGTTCACCCGGGGACCGGAAGACCAGAAACAAAGTGGTCAAAGTCGACTACGTGATTATGAGCAAAGACCTCAAACGGAACGAAATTACGACTAACGCGCACGAGGTAATGGAAGACGAAGACATGGACGTTTCTGTATCGCCGGAAGCTAATGAGATACCAAGTCTGGATAACAGCCCAGAGATTCTTCGAGCATGGACAAAGACGATCAAGGAGACAGAGCTTTTGAGTTTGGGACTGGAGGCAGCTGACTCCGCGAGACAGCAACTGTCGGAGGGCAACAAGGAGCAGGCGACGCGGCATATGACTATTTTGCAAGCGCTCTACCAAACGCTGCAGACGCAGTGGGAGGCCACGAGAGATCTGGACGAGCTTCTGCGCGAGCAAACGTATCACCTGAAGTGTCAGATCTTCGACATTGAGCGCCTCGCGGAGACTTTGAAGCCCACACCCAACCTGAAGCGGGAGCCGTCTTCCACAGAAACCATCCCAGACGATGAGAATTTTGACATGGAGAAAGCGACAGAACAAGTTTACTCAGCATTCTATACACTTATGCGGAAAGCGGAAGAGGTGGATAACCGCCTGGACGACGTTGCCGATCGAGAACAAGAACTCGAACTTCTCGAGAACGACCTGGACGAGCGGGAGGAAGAACTGGACAGCTGGGAGAATGACCTTTACGAGCGCGAGAAGGCTTTGGCAGAGAGGGAAGAGCGTCTGTCGCGATCCAAGCAGCGGTTCAAGAGGCAGAAGGATCGGTACGGCGTCAGTGGCGAGAGCGAAGTCTTTCGACAGGATGCGGACGACGAAGGCGAGATGCCGCAGGCTCTCAGCCGCGAGGGCGAGCAAGTGCGCGCACTGCCGTGGAGACAGGAGTCGCCGGCGAGGGACAAGGTGAATTTGTGGTTGCAGAACAGCAGTGGGGAGCAGAGTTTTCTGGCAGCAACCACGCCGGAGGAATGAAGCCCGCAATGATATCCTCTACTGCTGATCTGGTGCTGCTATACTCGCTGGTGCCTCACACCTGCTAGGACACTCGGGAAGAGAGCGTAGCATGCTCTGGGCTGTCCCCGAGTCGATTCAAGGGTTATTATATATTCACTGAGCGCTCAACAATCGACTGCACAAATAGCACAAGCTCCGGTCGAGAAGATTCTAGGGTCACGCTCTTCTCACTCGCCGTTGCAAAGCGGTCCCGAGATCCAAGCTGAACGTTTCGCCTGATGAAAAGCTACTAGGGACGGACTGTCATTGCAAGTCCCGTCTGTCTGAATGCGTCAGCTCTGGCAGCAGGACGATCGAGGTTATGCGAAAGTTGAAGGTTCCCATACATTGACACTACGCCTTATTTTGCCCTTTCTCGATTTTTCTTCTCTTCGCCCGTAACTTTTCCGACTTTGCATCCGTCTGCGCGTTCGAGTAGACCATCTTCTCGTACAGTTGCCGCTTTCGGCGTGGCGCCATCATCTTCCGCCGCTCCAAGTCCTCGGCGGCCTCCCTCTCAGCTTGGGAGCGCTTGGCCTGAGCCGCGGCCTTGATGGTCTTTTTGGACTCCTTGCGATCCTTGGGTTGCACGGACCGGCCCATCGCTTCTGCTTCCAGCTCCTGTTGGTGAGTGCGGCCCTCGCCGTCCTCGTGCCCTTCAGCCTCATCATCTGTGAGCCCTCCCCATTCGTCCTCTGGCGCAGCGCCCCGTGCCGCATCGTCCTCGTCTTCTTCCTCATCCGAGTCAGCTAGTTCAACATCCATGCCTTCGCCCTGCGCGACATCATCACGGTGAGGATCGTTTCCTAGCTCCCTGGGCTCGTCGTCTCCTCTCACCACTTCGGTCTCGTCTCCTTCGCTGTACTCCTCCGCTTCAAGGTTCTCTTCTTCTTCGTCATCTGATGCTTCTGCCTCTGCTTCAGTTTGTTGCTCGGCAAGTGGCACTGTCGGGTCGTATTCTCCCTTCTTGGGCTTGATCCATGGACTGAGATGAGGTGGCAGTGTTGCTCCCGGCGCGTACAAATCCGGTCGTTGAAGTTGGCCAGCATTGATAGAATCCCACACCCATTGTGGCTGGACGTATATCCGGCCTGGCACGCGCTCGTTGGCCTTCTTAGCAACAGGACCGCCATCGTCGAAGCCATCATCCAATCCGGCGTCTTCGCCGTCGCTCAACGGCGGCGAAGGAAGAGGTAGATCAGGCCGATCCACAACTTGGTGAGTTATGCGTGGATCGTCTTCTGAGCAGAAAGACCCCGCCTCGCCTAGTAAGCTGTCCCAGCCAACTCTTTTGCAGCCGAATGACTTCAGTATGAACTCGAGAGGATGTCGCGGCGTTTCCCGTGAGAGGTAGAATGTGAAGGGCTCGAATAGTTTGGCCGCAGTCGCAGCATCGGCTGTGATGGAGGGTTGGTCTAGAGTATCTGCTGAAGGATCGATGGATGCGAACTGGTCGAGTGTGGTAGACGGCGGTTGTTGGTCTGCGTCCTCGCCATCCGCTGTATCCCCCGCTTTTGTCTCGGTTGAGGATTCGTCCTCTGTAGTAAGTGTAAGCAGTTTGTCTGCCTCTGCCTGTGCCTTCTCATTTGTTTCCGTGTCTGGTAGTTGCTCGATGTCCTCTGCAGCAGTGCCTTCTTTGCCTTCCAATTGGAAAGCACCTAGTTCCGCTCCTGACTCCTCGCTCTCAACGTCGAATTTCGGGGGATAGACCAGGCCAATACTCGTGTAAAGCCTGTAGTTTACGAAACCTACAAGCGTCGTGTAGAATTCGACAAAAGTGGCCATGATCCGATAATCCACGTCTCCTGCTGTCCGCTGCACAAATTTATATGGCACCAGCCACAGAATATCTTGTCCCTGAATGGTCGCCTGGTAGTAGATCCCTTTTATTGAAAGAAAAGATCTTCTGAGGGAGTGTGTGCGGATTAAGTAATGCTCGAATTCCATGGTCAGGCGCTGACATTTGGCAATGATCTTCGGTGGGACATTCTCGGTGCTGGGCAGGTTGGCGAAGAGGAACAGCATTGAGAGCGCATCGTCGAGATCACGTAGCGCATCCACAAAAGTCGGGTATCGCTCTTTTATGATGTGGTCAAGTCTCATCCGCGGCGCCAGATTGCGCTCAAGGCGCGAGGCATCGCTAACCTCATTGCGACCTAATGCTTTGCTGATCTTCTTCGCAAGCGCTTTCTGATCCCGGAACTTGTTGAGCAGCGGTTCATGAAGGAGGTATTGGATGTCTTTGGTGTAGTAGAAAGTGGTACTTGGTGTAGCCGATTTGTTCGCTCGTTTCTTCGATCGAGGTTCGCGGGGATAGATGCCTGCGGCGATGATCAGATTGAATCAATGAAGAGCTTAGACAGTAGCGCGACTGACCTTTGAAAATGCATAGCCGTCTGAAGTCGGGCAGAGAGATCTGGAGTTTGCGGACTGCCTGGCCTCGAGTGATGTAGTTCTTGGCGTTACCAGACTTTCCTGTGTGCAGAGATCAGCTAGGTGCGGACATGTCATGGAATGGACTCGGCCTACCCTTCTTTTTGATTTTCGCCATGATCGCAGTGATACGCGAGAGTTGCAATCGAGTTGGCGGGTTCGAGTGAACTTTTTCGTCAAAAGGTCAAGCGAGGCCAAGATTTCGGTAGTAGCGCGTTGATCGGCGGACGGCAGACGGGAGTCCGAGCCGGGCACAGGGGTCCGCGGAAAGCTTCCATCGATTATTGAACGACATCCACACACTGCTCGGCGCGAAACTTGTCCTCGCAACGCGCCGGCGATAATAACAATGTCACGATCGCAGCGACCATTGTAACATGCCACTGCTTGCTGTACGATGGAGCGACTCGCACAGGTCTACAGCGACCACCCCAAAGCCGTCCTCTTCACCTCCGCAGCGACGCTCCGACTCCTGCTGGCCTTGACCTTCCCCGGACTGCCAGATCTTCTCACGGGAAGAGTGGAGATCTCGACTCCAGTCAACAGCTTCAAGAGATGTACGTACAGCCTGTGACATGATGGCCGCTTGGGCTAAGACTGGGAGACAGGAGCTGAGACAGCGCAGTACAAGAAGGCCTGTTCTTATACGAACGGGGGCTTGATCCCTATGATGGCGGCATCTTCCATCAGGTCGGTTCATATTCGCATAAGATACCTGCCCCGGTGCTAAATATGGTCAGGCGCCACTGTTGTTGCCGTTGTTCTCTTTCCTGCCCTCACCAACCACTGTACTCGGGAAAATAGCCGGCATTCTCCTCTACACAGGAGTAGATCTTGCGTCTGCCGACTGCATCTTCGACATTGCGAGTTCGAGCGTAGCTGTTGCATCCTCGTTGTACGTGTCGCCGAGAGCAGCCCGAGCCTGGAAGCCAGCGTCCCCTGCTGCAGCCTACTTGTTCAATCCATTTACGATTTTGGCATGCCTCGGACGACCAACCACGAGCTTCCCAACCTTCTTCACGCTACTCAGCATCAAGCACGCATGTCGAGCGGAGACGACTATGTCCGCCTTTGCTTTGGCGATTGCGACATACCTTGGACTTCACCCGGCCCTCCTCCTGCCTCCAGTTGGCCTGCTCTGTTACGACCAGCTGTGCAAACGACAGTCAGGAAGCGAGTCCAAGGAACCTGGAAGTTCGAGCAGCGGAATGCACGCTTCGTCTCGTAAAGTCGCTGTCGATCAACGGACCTTACCGTCGGCTATATCTTTCTGCTTGGTCCTATCTCTAAGCTTCACTGCGGCGTTAGCTTTCCTGTTGGGCCTCTCGAGACTATTGCTGCCTTCATGGCAATTCATCTCCTCCGTATACATGACGCCACTCACACTTCCAGACCTTCAACCGAATCCAGGGCTGTGGTGGTATTTCTTTATCGAGATGTTTGACGCTTTTCGGGAGTTCTTTCTGGGCGTATTCTGGCTGCACATGTTGTCGTACAGCGTACCCGTCTGCTTGCGAATGCGAAAACAGCCTCTTGCGGCTGTGGTGTTGATGATGGGCGTTCTGGCTATCTTTCAGCCATACGCCAACGTCGGCGACGTCGGGGCATGGCTCAGCTGTTTGTGCTTGCTGGGGCACGTTTTCGAGTGTAAGATTGACCCAGCACTATCACATGCCACATTACTGACCGCGATCAGTGTGTTCCTCGCACCGCTACACTTTTCCAGCGCTGGCAGCATTGCTCTATGCTTCTTTACTTGGTCCGGCCTTCCATCATCTATGGGTTTATGCGGGCTCTGGAAATGCCAATTTCTTCTATGCCATTACTCTGGTGTGGAGTCTAGCCCTATTGATCTTGCTCACGGACACAGTGTATGCGGTCTTGAGGGATGAGCTAGAAGATGAGCGGCCTGAAGTCAAAGGGAAAGAAGTACGGCAGATATAGATTCGTCGATCATATACAAACGTCGAGAAACCTGCCCGAATATCTTTTGTTCATATCAACGCTGCTGTGAGGGCGTGCGGGCACTTCGGGGGTGCTGCAGGCGACCGGAATTTTGTTTTGCCGCACGCGCGACTCAACTTTTCGGAAGCTCTCCCTTGACGTTTGGATCAACACAGACATCTTCTTGACATGTCCGGCAAGACAAACGGACCGCCCGCCGACAATGCTGCACCTGCAAGCTCCAATGCATCGGCGAGCAGTGCTGGGAGCGCGAATGCTTCTGGTGCGACGTCTCAGAAGCCGCAGAACCCAGCCTTTCGGATGATGGGTACGCAGTGCTTCCCTCTCACAATCTAGTACTCACCTGTTGACCCTGTCAAGGTTTGCCTAGATTACGTCTACCATCTCGCAACTGGATGATATTTCTTTCCGTCACGGGAAGCTTCGCCGGAGCTGTTATATACGACAAATGGCAGACGAAACGCATGCGGGAGAAGTGGTGCAGCATGGTATCGCACATTGCCGATCAACCTCTGGACACGAAAACTGCGCCCCGCAAAGTCACGATCTATCTATGTGCGCCACCTGGAGATGGATTGAGAAGCGCGAGGGAGCATTTCCATGAGTACGTTAAACCCGTGCTGGTATCTGCTGCAATGGACTGGGATGTGGTGGAAGGGAGAAAAGAAGGAGATGTAAGACACAAGACAGCTGAGCGAATCAGAAAGAGAAGGAGACTAGAAGGCGAAGGGCCTGCAACTGCAGAAGAAGACGCAGAAGAGTATACCGTGGAGTCTATTCGTGCGAAGAATGGCGATGTCGACTTTCCTGGCGTAGCCGGCGACATCGTGATTGGACGTCACACCTGGAAGGAGTACATCAGAGGCATACATGAAGGCTATCTTGGACCAGTTGATGCGCCCAAGAGCCTGGCAGAAGGTGATGCATCCGACCAGTCTGAACCAATAAAACATGCTTCGGGCCAGCCTTCTGTCGGGGACGCGGCAGTCAACGCTGCGACCGAAACCGCCATACAAGATGCGCATGCCTCACCAGTAGAATCGCTGGAATCAGCTGTCTCTGGCAACGCATCCGCAACCGACGATCATGGGCCCGAGAAGGCGTCTCCTGAGGTTCAGTCTGATACAGAGAAGAAAGAGAAGGAGGTAGAGAAGCCGAAACGTCGATTTCCTCCGCCGTACGTCTCACCTGATGAGTACGATACCGCAGCCCTGTCACCTTCGACTCCCGAGATTATTGGTCCCAGTGTAGGCGTACGCATGCCTCATCTGTTGGGATTCAGAAACACGCCAATTCGAATCTACCGTTTCCTGAACAGACGGAGGCTGCAAGACGATGTTGGGCGCCAGGTCGCTGCAGCAGTGTTGGCCGCGCACCGTCCATATGGTTCAGTAGCCGTGACGAACGATGACAGCGCAACTGAAAGTATTGTTGATGTCCCGGAGCAGCAAGGAGTTCTGGCTTTCGAGGAAAAGGATTGGTGGAGCAAGGTCGTCAACCGGCAACGCGAAGAGCATGAAGAGAGCGTTTGGATTGAGCCGATAGCTCTGGACGAGCGCATTGCGAGTCGCATGCGCGCATTCTACTTGACCTCCGAAGACGAGGATCGCGCGAAGAGAATGGAAAATGGGACGGAGAAGGCCGCGCTCAAACGGGGTGATCGTTCAAGACCAACAGAATGATACCAAAGGTTTGTTGACTCGACTGGGCGCTGAGAAAGACAGTCGCAAGCGCAAGACCGTTCTTGATCAACTCGGGCGACCGCATGGTCATGACGGGCTACCTCAAACGTACAGTCCTTCTCGCTCAACTGTTTTAACAGGCTCGGCAATGCCGGCTTGTTCACCAGCAGGCTCCACTCCACCACTGTGTAAATATAGGAATGTAACTGTAGATTCAGCAACCACTAGGGGCGGTGCCGTACACAGACGGTCTTACCACGAGTACAGCACGCGCAGAGGCAATAGCCGGATCACGTGCCCCACGAGCCATCCAGCCACACCCACACACATCCACGCGCTCGCTGATGTGGTTCTCACAAGGTTTACAGTTTGGCAACGCCGAGGCAGAACCCAAATAATAACCGACACAGGGGACCTGGTGGCTGCAGTGATGGACTGATTGGTCTGCTCGTACCCCGAAGACCTGGTTTCCCAGTCTGCTGGCGGAGTCTGGCAGATGCCGGAAACTTGGAAGGCTTGTCCGGTGCGCGGTGCCCATCGATGCCACACGCATGGCCCATGAAACCGGCCACGTCTGGGCGTCGAGCATCCGCAGAAATGCCTTTCTCTTGGTCCGCTCGCACACGTATCGCGCCACCAGCCTCTGGATGTTCGCTTGTCCAGCATTATTTCAGCCGTACCGCACGCTGAGAATAATCGCCGCAACGCCATAGCCGGGCTCCCTATTGCATTGCCGTGATACGGGCTTAGCCATCCGATGGATTTGGGCCACCATGCACAGCGAGGCTCTCACCGTAGTCGTTGAAAGACCACGGCCACCGACCGCTCCTAATGGACATCTGGACCTTGCCAGTAGCAAGCAAGCTGTCCGAACCGAGAGAAGGCCCGGACACCAACGAAGATACGCGCCGAAGACTCGCACAGGGTATGAGCAAACAAACCATGAGCCTTTAATCCTGCGACATGCTAGTCTAACGCCGTTCTACAGATGCATTACCTGCAAGTACGTCTCCCTTGTATCGATCCCAGACCCCCTTTCCGTAGCTGGTCATTCCTTCGTATCCATACACACTCTCTGCCGAAACAATTGCTTCACACGAACGTCCACGCATGCTTTGATCCTCACGATCGATTTCCCTGACCGTCCTCTATCAGGATACGCCGGGTCAAGTGCGATGAAGATAAGCCTTTCTGCAAACGCTGTACAACCACTGGCCGCAAGTGTGACGGCTATGTGAGCCCCGGAGAATCGACCACACTGAAAAGTCCAGAGCCCCTAACGGTTGCTCTTGCGAACGATGTGACGTGCGATGCGTTGGAAAGACGGATCTTTGACTTCTTTCGTGCTCGGACAGCGCCATGTGTATCTGGATATTTTCAAGACGCAGTATGGGACCGCATCGTACTACAGCTGAGCCACAGCGAACCAGCCGTGAGATACGCCGTCAACGCTCTGGGAGCACTCCATGAGGAGCGCCAACTTCGTCATACCGCCGACCATAACGGAACTGACGCTCAACTGGTCAAGACTGGGTTTCCTCTCTCACAATACGCCAAGGCGCTTAACGAGATGCAGTCGCTGTTGAAAAGTGGCGGCGTTTCGTTGGATGTGGTCTTGATCTGCTCACTTCTCTGCATACACTTCGAAGCGCTGAGAGAATGCTTTGTGCCGGCATTGATGCACGCGGAGAATGCAATCCAACTGCTCCAATCGAGTACGAGCTTTGATGCTCGGAGGGTCAATCCGAACCTAGTACGCGCTATCATGAGGATCGATCTTCAAGGAGCCATGTACCTGGGCTCAAGAGTACCTGGACTTCCTTTCTACACTGCTGCGGTAGATTCGGTGTTGCCAAGCTCATTCCATGACCTCAACCACGCTCGGGATATGGTCACCACTTGGTCAGGTCGCCTTTTCCACTTTATGCGGACTGTCGCCGACGACCACAAGTTCCGCGAGCCTGGCAACATCGCTTTGGAGGAGTATGCAAGGGCCCAGGAGCTCGAGCGAACATTTATCGGAATGGATAAATTGCTGTGGGACTTTATGTACAAGCCATCGGTCAAACTCACGATGAGAGAGCAGCACGGCTTGGGAATGCTACGGACTCGGGTCAAGATCAACCTCATTCTATCGGCGACATGTTTGTTCTCGGAATCCTGCATATTCGATCGGTACACGGAGGATTTTGACGAGATTCTAACGATATGCCTCTACATCTTGGGCAGCGACAACGCCGAACGCCGCCTCTTCTCCGTCAGCTTGGACGAAGGCATCATACACCCGCTCTTCTTCGTCGCGACACATTGTCGTGACGGTAGGATACGACATCAAGCCCTGGAGCAACTGGACAGGCTACCCAAGTCGGGCGGAATCTGGCATGTGGAGACGACGATCCAAACGGCGAAGATGTGCATTCTCTGGGAGGAGTCGCTCACGGATAAAGAGCAACCACTCTGCGAGGATATACCAGAATGGCAACGCATCCACAGTGCTGGATTCGATGGCTGGGATGACGATAACCCGAAGCGAACGGTGAAGGTCCATCTGCGGACACGACCGAATGGCATGGACGGCGAATGGCTCGACTTTTACGAGGAGTTCGGACGGTGAGTGAGAGAGATGGTGAAACTGGAGTCCGTTGGGCGGAGACTGACATCGATACAGTGCAGCAAACAAGCTCCCGTTGCAAGACCTGCAAAAGATCTGGAGCGCGCACGAGACGCCGATGATCAAGAAGTACGAGCGTCCCTGGTGCGGTGTTTGGGGCATGGAAATAGTGAACTGACGCACGGGCTAGATTCAAGCAGCCACAAGTGATAGTTTGGCCGTGAGCCGGAAGCATCTGGGCAGCGGGATAACGATGTATGTTGATATTCTCTGCAGTCTTGTAGACGACATGGTTTAGGGATGTAACGCAAAACTCTATGTTAGACCTGACACGGTGACGGGCTCGCCCATCCGAGACTCTACGTGAAATGCGCAAATGTGCGGTCGTAAAAGGTATGGTCGTGGAGACATGTTTCTCGTCGTGTCTCCTTTGGTTGTTTTCCTTGTGTGTGTAAGCGCCTTAGCCTGAATCTACCTTAGCCCTCCACGCGCGCCCACAACGCCGGTACAGTCGAGGTACTTGGAGCTTGCCGCGCCGCCATGTCATTGCTTGCGCGCCCGGGAGCACTACTTCACAGCAACACCACCAGATAATGCATCTGCTACCACGCACCACAGCGCGTGCGTACGGAGGATGCCCCTCGACCGCAAGTCTGTCCTCGCATCGGCTGTAGTCGCATTCATCGCCTGGGCCCTCTTGACCGACTATCTTCCCGCTCTCCGCTGGATCCCGCACGCCTTTCTGGCCGGCGCCCTCGCTACGCTTGCTGCACTGCTCTACCTCGTCACCACCTCCTCCAGACCCTCGCGCCGCGAGCCTCGCGACCACGTACGACTCTATGGCCCGCTTGCGCCCTGCTTTACCGCGCCGGGCGTGTGGGAAGAAGAGAAGGAGGCACTGAAGGGAAGGGAGGAGTACAGGCGACCTACCATATTCCCGGATGCAGTGCTCTTCTCCAAAGCAGTAGATGGGCTGCTGGATCTCATACTCCGCGACTATGTCACGAGTTGGTACGGACACATCAGCAAGCGCCCGTTGTTCCAGAACGAGATTGACCGCAGCATCCGCGCGGCTCTGCTCTCCATCACGGCGCGCCTGACGGAGCTGGATCTCGTGGAGCTGGGAACTTCGACAGCGCTGCCCGTCATCACGCAGCATCTGCGGGACTTCTACGATGCAGAGAGGCTGGTCAGGGGGAAAGACCTCTCCAACAATGTCACGGAGAGCGAGGAGCTGAACGTGGCAATTGCAGGCAAATACAGGAACGGCAGATTACATCCTGTTGCATCTCTGGCACACGCAGACACCACCGCGTCCTCGCAGCGGCATCTACGGAAGATTGTGGAGAGGGTCTTGCCAAAGATTCTTCCATCGAACATGCTGTCTAGCCCGGCCGTGACGGCTCTCGTTCGTGAGATCGTGGCATGTGCTGTGCTCGCGCCTGTGCTCAACTTGCTCTCAGATCCCGATTTTTGGAACCAGATGATCGTCCAGATTGGTGGCGCTACATTGCATGATCGCAAGACGGTGCGCAAGGTGCGCGCGGCGCTCGATCAGCATGCCCCTGCGTCGCCCAGGGCGAGCAGGAGTAGTCAATTCCCTCGTATCCGGCCTTACGATAGCGAACGACAGTTTGAGCGCTTTGTGCGGGCAATCCGGCATGTCGCCACCATCACGGACGCCCGGCGCTTTCGCAGCGAGATCATGAGCCAGTTGAGACGAGATGCGCAGATAGAAGGGCAGGACGCCGCGTACTTGAGGAGACTTGAGACTGGCAGGAGACTTTTGGATCAAAGAATTGCGTCCCTCTCAACCCGCCCCAACGGTGCAAACGGACCCGTCCCTGCACTTGCAGTGCAACCGCCAGCGCGGAATGAAGAAGCCGCTGCACGAAAACGACAAGCATCTCTACGTGAAGTCGTCTACGATGCGGCAGGTCTCAGCTACTTCATGGAGTACATGGACCGACAGAGACTTACGAAACTTGTGCAGTTCTATCTTGTTATAGATGGCTTTCGCAGTCCGTTGGAGGGGGACATGGATGAGCCGCCGCCTTCTGTCGCTACGGATCCGGACCGCATGGACATTGCGCAGATGTACTCCGAGTACCTAAGCAAGCCGGAGCTCCAAACCCCTGAAGGCAGTCTGCAGCTCGTAAAGCATTATCTCAAAGCGGGCTCCAGAGCGAGCAAACAGGATTACATTGCTGCTAGACGAGCAGTATTGCAAACGCAGACCAGGGTATACAACATCATGAAAGACTCTCATTTTGAAGCCTTCAAGCGTTCAGACTTGTTCTTCAAGTGGCTCGCGATTGATGACAATCCGGCTTTTGCAGCAGCGTCACAGGCTCGAGAAACCTCGCCCCTATCCCCAGGAAGCCCTCGTAGCAATGACTCGTCGATCACTTATACCCGAAGACCACAACTTGGGTCAATGCAGAAGGAGCCGGAGCTCAGACGAGCAGTCCTGTCCACCTCGGACCTCAAAGGCACCGCCCGCGCTGCTTCCGGCAATAGTCTGTTTGCCGACAGTCCTCGCCGCTCACTGGATGACGGAAACGCAAACGGCCGCCCAGCACTCTTCGACGATGACGTGGATGATGAGAGAATGGTGCAATCCGTGTCAAGTCTGAAGAGCTATGACTCTGACGGCGAAACGGCGCAACAAGCTCAGGAAGAAGCTAAAGCTGTTCGAGAAATGCAGCTCGCCCTGGACAACATAGTGGGCGACGAGCACGATAGGGACTCGCTGTTTGCTGAATCTGCTGGCCGAAAATCTCTAGACGAGTACGAGAGGAAGTCTTCGCTTGACATGCTCACAAGACCGGCGCTTCCAACGCAGCCTTCCGAGCGGGGAAAGCCCAGTATTGCCTCGCTTGGTCTGGTCGGCGCTCCCTCAAGTAGAGGGGTGTTTGTTGACGATCTGTTCGGCGAGGAGGCAGAAAAGTTTGCTGAAGACGAGCGCGAAGACTCCGATGGCCCAGACAACAGTGAGGACGAGAAGGTCCAAGAAGCTGCGCCCGGAGATCTGGGTCTGACGGAAGCCATTGATGGGCTGAACCTTGAGATCGAGAGGCTCAACGCGCAGAGGAACGTACTGGATTCTCTAACGGCCAAAGCAGAGTTGACCAACAACACTGCCGAATTGCGCATATTGCGTAAATCGGAACAAAGTTTGCAGCGTGAGATCAAACGGAAGGAGATGCAAAAGCAGCAATACGTCGTACAGGAGAGCGACAACAGTCTCTACGGACGCGCAGCAATCAGTATCAAGTCTGTCATGGTAGGCAAAGAAGATGACGGCCACGAGTTCGCTCTGTACGTCATTGAAGTGAAGAGACAGGCCGGCGATCAGATGCCGGCTGCCACTTGGGCGGTGACCCGGAGGTACAGCCAATTCCACGAGTTGCATAAGAGGTTGAAGGCACGCTTTCCAGCCGTGAAGGAGCTTGACTTTCCGCGGCGGCAGGCGCTGTTCACCTTGCAAAAGGACTTTTTGCAAAAGCGCAGGACGACTCTCGAGCGGTACCTGAGGTCATTACTGCTGGTACCTGCCATTTGCCGCAGCCGTGAACTGCGTGCCTTCTTGTCTCAGTCCGCGATTGCGTCGAATGGTAGCAACGGCACACAAGCTGACGCCAAAGACTTTGTGACCAGAATCTACAATTCCGTCTCGGACGGCATGGAAGAATTCCTGGGCAGTATACCTGTGCTAGATCAGCTGTCGGTAGCCGGACAAAACTTGATCTCTGCTGCTACGTCGCAAATCAATGGAGGCTCGCCTGTCGATAGCTTGGATCCGGCAACGCAGGACCCGGCTACCGCTGCAGAAGCGGAAGCAGAGCTCAACGCGTACGATGCAAAGGAGGCCGAGCCATTCGTCAAACCGATCTGTGATCTGTTCTTGGAGACGTTTGAGCTGTCGAAAGGAAACAGTTGGCTTCGGGGACGTACCGTCGTCCTGGTGCTCCATCAGCTCTTGGGCGGGACGGTCGAACGCAAAGTACGGGAGACGGCACGCAGTGCCATGCAAGACGAAAACATGGCACGTTACATAGAGACGCTCAAAGCCATCATGTGGCCGGACGGCAAGATGCGGCCTCCATCGGTCCCGCGCACGGATTTGGAGAAAGAAAGGACCAGGAAAGAAGCCGGCCTTCTCCTTGCGGCTTTGGTACCAGACATTGCCGGAAGTGTCGTTGGCAAGAGCAATGCCCAGGCTGCTAGCCGGAAGATGGTGGCCATGCTGAACAACCCGCGGCTAAAGTGAGTACAAGATCGTGTTGGGTGTTACTGTGGCTCTGCTGACGAAAACCTTGCAGTACGCACCTTGTCTACACGCTCATAGATGAGATACTCGGAATCGTGTTTCCAGAAATATTAGATGACTAACGATGTTTGTACAGTGTGCTTTTGATCCTTCCGTTGCAGTCTTGTCATACTAATCCCATCGTAACAGTGTCATTCACAACTTGGACTGTGGGCCTGTGATCCTGTAGCACTTGCCATTCTTTCCGAACATTGCTCGGAGGTCCTTGACCACCTCTTGCGGCATCTCCCATCTGGAAAACCAGTCAGCATTGGCAACAAAATCAGGACAGGATGATCAAACGAACGCTGCAAAATGACCTCCGCGGCTTGTACGATCTTCATACACGACGGGACCAAGCGTGCGAGCAAAAGTGGACGGCACGACTGTCAACTCTCGAGGCGAGTGGCAGAGACCAAGCTTGACTTTGGGGATCCACTCCTGCGTGCGTTCGCGACTGATGCCACCGGGCTTGACATGGATGGCTTCGTAATAAATCCTCACGCTCGCCGCAGGCCCGGCTGTGGAAAAGTAGTATATGGAAACCCAGGTCAGAATCTCATCATCGGTCCACGGATACCCGTCCGTCCAATCGTGCAGCTTCTCGTAGATCCAGGCGAGCAGGGCGATTGGAGAGTCGTGCAGTGCGTAGCCGAGGGTCTGCGGCTTCGTGCCCTGTAGAACACGGTAGCCGCTGCCTTCGTTGGCGAACCACTGCGATCGCTCGAAGCCTTTCCTGTCTGCTTCGCTGTAGGGCGTGAGAGCGTGCTGCAGTGCCAACAAGGGGTGCTTGGTGAAAGTGGGCTGGCTGGCGCGTATCATGTTAATGTGAGAAGCGAGGCAGCGCTGCGGGTAGCGGAGACCAATGGCCCTCGTGATGTAGAAGCCCCAGTCGCCACCCTGAGTGACATAGTGGGAGTATCCGAGGCTCTGCATGAGCTGATCGCAGACTTCAGCATATTGGGCAAGACCGAAGCCGGTCTTCTTGGGAGAATCGCTCCAGGCGAAGTTGGGGAGACTGGGGGCTACGACGTGAAAGGAAACGCCTTGATTGGATTGGCGGAGCAATGGGAGCATCTTCTGGACTTCGAGATAGCTTCCGGGCCAGCCATGGACGAAAAGCAGTGGGATGGCGTCGCTATTCTCACACGGCTGGTGCAAGTAATGGATGTTGAGCTGCCCGAAGCCTTCTACATTGACCGGTGCTCTTAGGAGGAGGACGTCAGGATTGCATTTCTGCACTTCGCTACGATGCTCACCGGAAGTTTGGCAATTCGTTCAGTCTGGCTTCCTGCGCGCGCCAGTCGAAATCACGTTGCCACCGCTTCGCGAGGCGTTTGACCTGGGCCAGAGGAGCGCCGTAATCCCATGCTGCTCCGTCGAGTTCGTCGGGGAATTCCGCTTGGGCTAGCTTGATCTTGAGCGTGACCAGCTTCTCCTCCGGGACGTGGACACGATAGCTGGACATTTTATTACTGTCGCGTATGGACTTCCGGGAATCCGAGTGAATGTCTCTCTCTCTCTCTCTCTCCACGCATCTGGTCGTCAGCGTGGTGTCGTGCTGGCCATTGGTGAGCACCGCTTGAAATGCGGCGTCGGACTAGGCTCTCGTCACACTTACCACACCGTTGGGCCTTGGTCGGAAGGGGATGATGGAGGGGATGATGAATGCATGTGATGATGGCTCTGTTTGTTGTATTCTTCGCCATTCACCATTCACCACACCGGAAGGGAGGGAGGAGGTGATGTCATTCCGGGCCTCGGCAATCTCGAAATCACGGGATCCGCGGCACCGTCGCGCTTGTAGGCCGCCCGCATAACCTGCTGTGTGCTGTGCCTGCAGGTGGGCTGTCAGCTTTGGGACCCGCAATAATAAAATGCACTTTTTTTCCTCCGGTACCGAACGAGAGATGGACTCGCGCGCGCATACAATTGTCTGCTGGTCGGTTGTCGTTCATTATTCCATCCACACATCCTCGTCCTCTGTAAACCGACAAAGACATGGAGATCCCTCCGTGCCCAACGCGATTATCAAGGCTCCGTCGCTGGGCGACTTAAGCAAAATCAGACTTCACCATGACACGGTAGCCCTCCCGATACTTATATTATCAGAATGGTTCTTCAACAATTGCCCGAAGCTAGCTGGGCCCCCGTTGCTGGGATGGCCGTCCTGGCCTGTCGCCGTGTCCTTGATCCACGAACCGCACAGGCATTTCCCAAAATGCTGTCTGTATCCTGGCCCACTTCGACCACGCTATCAAACCTTTCTGGGACCAGCGGCGCCGACGCCCTCTGCGTATGTGATATATGATATCTCTTAACTGCGTTGGCCTGTCATGGGGAGCAGTAGCATAGCGCATGCTTGAGGACGATCGACATAGCCGGCCCACAAACAAACACATAATTCCTCCTGCTTCAGCGCCTACCGCGCGCGCGCGCCTTCACCTCCTTGTCGCGTTTTCAAGATAAAAGACCATGTCTTCGCGCCTCCATTCGTTGTGGCACCAACGCCTTCGCTGCTGTTACGTACCTTACCTTCTACTCGAGGTCCACTCGTTCTGACCTCCCTCTATTGTTATTACCCTTCCCTCATTGCTCCATCTTACCTGACGAGTACCTTGTAACAACTATGCGATCTCAGATCGTCCTCGTCGCCCTGGTTGGCTCCATCGTCGAGCTATCTCTGGCTGCTCCATCAGCTCCGCCCGCTCGCAATGGAGAACGTGAAGAGATGTCGGGCGTGCTGGGCAACATTGAGGTGGATATCAACCACATCGACGACCTGACTGGCCAATCAACCGGAACAGACATCTTTGTACGTGATCCGTCCCACATCGTCTGGCCGGCGACTGATCGAAGTGATTCTCTAGAGCAACCTCCTGAATGACTTCAAGCTCATCAAGGCGGTGGCGGCTCCGAATGATATCTTCGCTGCTAGGCGTCAGTTATCAGACATCCTCCTCGGTAAGACTGGCCTGGCAACAAGGGTCATCGAGAGTCTTCGCTAACAAGGACAACAGCAAAGCCGAGAAACATCGTCCAAGCTGCTAGCGAGCTAGTGGCGGCGGGATTGACCGCAGACAATGTCGAGTCCGCCGTCAACTTCCTGGAGGGAGCACTGGATGGCGAGAACAGTGAGAACAATGTCAACCCCGGGCTCCATTTCGGGGCCGTCTACCCCCAGGAAGGTCGTGAGGATGCTCCTTACGACCTCTCGGAAGCACGACTTCGTGGTGCCATTCACATCCCACCGACATTCCGATACGGTGCCTCTGGTGCCCCGCAGCCGGTCATTCTCGTGCCTGGAACAGGGAACACTGGCTATATCACTTTCGAGGGCAATTACATCAAGCTTCTCACCGGCTCGGACATTGCCGACCCCGTGTGGCTCAATATTCCGGGTTTTCTGAACGACGACGTGCAGACGAATGCCGAGTATGTCGCCTACGCTATCAACTACATCAGTCGAATCAGCAACAACCGTGAGGTCGCAGTGGTCACATGGAGCCAAGGAGGCGTCGATGCGCAGTGGGCTCTCAAATACTGGCCGTCGACTCGGGACAAGGTGACCGACGTGGTCGCCTTCTCTCCCGATTACAAGGGCACCATCAACGCCAACTTCGCCGAGACGCCCGAAACCCCCTTGCCGCCAGCGTACTTGCAACAGGAATACTACTCCAACCTGGTCAGGGCCCTGCGCTCCAACGGCGGCGACTCGGCCTATGTCCCCACCACGACGATCTATTCCGGCTTTTTCGACGAGATCGTCGAGCCACAGCAAGGCCAGAATGCATCCGCATACCTCTTCGACGCGCGAGACGTCGGCGTCACGAACAACGAAGTACAAGCCATCTGCCCCGGCCAGCCAGCCGGCTCCTTTTACTCTCACGAAGGCACCCTGTACAACCCCATCGGGTACGCCCTCCTCGTCGACGCCCTGCAGCACGACGGTCCGGGACGGGTCTCGAGGGTCGATGCCAAGCTCGAGACGCTCTGCGGCGACTATCTCACGCCCGGCTTGGACCTGGCCGATTTCCTCGTGACGGAGAACACGCTCTTGGTCGCCGCCGTGACGTTGTTGTTGAATCCACATAAGGCGACCGTCGAGCCTGCTATCAAAGGTGAGTCTTCCCTTGCGCTGTTTACCCCCCTCTGATGCGTTTTGCCCCGGTGACTGACTGACTGACTTTCTCTTGCAGCGTATGCGGAGTACTGAATGATTCAGAGCACGACGGCGACACGAACACGACTTGTACGCTGCTTCTCTTTTCTTTTCCTTTTTTTTTTCTTTCTTTTTGGAACTTGGCGCAATCGTCTACGTCGACGACGACTACTACTACTACCACCCTGGATGATACTTCTCAGTATCCTTTCCCGATCCTACAAGCAGACGACGCGAGAGGAGAGGAGAGGAGAGGGGGACTGTCTAATCGTATGATGTGAAGATACCGAACGCCGACAGGCGGCTTGTTCAACGGGAGGAGGTAATAATAAATATAGACGACAGATACCCCGTTAGAGTTTTTGGCACGATTCGAGAAGATGTTGAGTAGGCTCGTTCGTATACGAGAACAGAAATGGGAAAAAGTTTCTGCTTTGATTCTTTACAGGTGGAAGAAGAAACACAGCCAGCTAGTCAGTCAGTCCAGTCAGTCTTGCGGGAGGGAGGGGGTGGAGTAAATGGTAATCGAGTGCAAAAGATGATCGTAATAAAGGAAAAGAGAAGAAGACTTTGCAATTACATTTCGAGGGTGGTAGTGGTGGTGTATGGCGTGCTGCCCACCATGTGTGGACCCTGCCTGCGTAGCCTAATTTTAACGTGTGTATTATATGTGCCGACGGTACATAACAGTAGAAGAAGAAGACATCCCGGATCGATGTTCAAAGCTATGTCCCATTGCAGACATATATCAATCAATCGTGATCTCCTCGTTAAGTAGGAATGAGTCCTGCGTGCATGCGTGCATGCTATATAATATACGTGCGTGCAATAATGTATTATTATTATTACCGGGACCTTTGTGAGAGTCGAGACTGAGAGTCGAGGGAGGGAAGGAAGGAAGGAAGGAAAGGGGCGGGGGAGACAAGACGAGGTCCCGTGATCTTCCCGGGGGAAATAACGAAAAGTGGCGTGCTCGAGACAGACCAAGAACTAAACTGAACCCATGCGCATGTTTATGTCGACTTCACTTGTACAGTCTAGTCTCACTTCACTTATCGGTCTCCTCTCGAGAGACAGGTCGATGTCAATAAGTATGAAGAATATATGGCAGTAAGAAGAGATTGAGAGAAAAAAAGATGAAACATATTTTAAAAATTAACGCAGCAAACACGGAAAAAGCTATTCTTCTCTATCTCGGAAGAAACCCGGACTACTGCGCTTCACGTACTGCTCTTCCGACGACACCGCAGACGACACATCGCCTCCTCGTTCTTGGTCGTCGAGAGGCTCGTAGCGCTGTGGGTTGTTGGACGAAGATTTGGAGCGCCGGGCTCGGAACAAGCCGAAGCCTCGATTGCGGAAGCGCCAGAGGAGGGCGACGAGGCCGCCGACGCAGAGGGCGCCCAGCAAGAAGCCCAGGATGGAGTTGCCTGCGGCGCGGTGGTTGAGCCAGTAGGGGTCCTTGTACTTCCACGGATCATTCTCTTCGTGCAGCTCCTGCAGCCAGTAGACCTCGTCCGCGACCGCGCCGTCGACGGCTTCGGACGGGGGGGATGTGGTGCGTACCACGTCGGTGCGCCCGACCACCTCGCCCTCTGCGTCGACCGCTTCGACAATGACGTGGCTCGCGAAGCCGTCCCAGACCATGGCCGTCTCGAAGCCCGTCCGTTGCCTCGAGAAGATTTGGATCATCGGCTCGCCGGTCTCGGTGGTCTTGTACAGATTCCAGCTGCCCACTTCCGTCGCACCATTCCAGCTCACGTGCACCATGGTCGTGGTGCTGTTCACGGCGTGGCTGCGATAGGCAGCAGATACGGCGATGGGAGGCTCAGCAGGACGGCCGACGAAGGGGAATTTGTAGCTGCGGTAGGTTCCCAACCATTCGGGCACGAGGGTAGCCTCCATGACCAATGTGCCGTCGGGCGTATGCTCGCTGTGCGTGGCTTGCTCCGACCAGCCGATGAAGACACTGTCGTTTGGCAAGACTTGATAATTACCGCGTCTCGGAGCATACGAGCCTCTGCCGTCCGGGTGTTCGATCGAAGACACGATCCTCGCCGTCTTGGGCTCCACGTCGGTTTGGAGAGCAATGACCAGGCCTCGGGACATGGTGTGGCTGGGCCCCTGCGCGTCCTGTCCGTGTGCGTTGTCAAGAAGGGAGATGATCTCGTGCGTGCCATTGAAGCCGTGGAAACGGACGTTGTGCTGGCGAGAGAAGCTCAAATCACCCATATCAAATTCGCCCTTGTTGTCTTTCTTGGTGTCTCTGCCCACCTTCTCCATCCATTTCTCCCCTCCTGCTGCCTTCTTCTTCTCCTCTTCTACTCTCGCCTTCCACTCCGCTTCTTCCTTCTTCTTCCACTCTTCTAGTTCCTTCTTTCTCCTCTCCTCTTCCTCCTTCTGCCTCGTCTGGAGACCATTGAGCTTCCACATAACATGGCCGTCCGACTTTGCAATCTTGTAGATGGTATCGGTGTGCCGCGCGGAAACGTAGTAGTCGCCGTTGTGGTCCTTGTCGACGGAGTTGAAGTGCACGTAGTCCCAGCCCCACATCTCATAGCAGAACTCTCCGGGGCCGCCGTCGACAAACGTACTCTCTTCTAGACCAACGTGTCCAAAAGAGCTCCATTCATGTGCTGGTTTCCAAGTCTCCGTGTCCAACTCTTTGAAACCATTGAAAAGCGTTCTGCAGTTCTTCTCCCACTGGATCGCCATCGCCTGGTCCTTGGTGGCATCCCTCCGCTGCTCGGAAATGACAATGGCCCGCGTGCCATTCTCAATGAAATTAAACTCGTGCGAATTGAAGCCCTCGCCCAACATGCCCAGGTCGATTTTCTCTTGTATTTCCAATGTTTCATCCACGATGTATCCGTCGCCGTGTTGATGCACCAGGAACGTCAGCATATCCTCGCCGCGTACATTGCTCAACTTGAAGTCGATGGCTCCCCAATTGTCGACCATGGGAGCACCACTCCAGACCAGTTCGCCGTCTCCATCGTAAATATGCGGGCCTATCCAACCATTTCCCGGTTCAAATTGGTCTAGAATTTCAAACGGCGCGACAAACCAGTATCCGGGAGTGACGCGGCTGCGTTCGTGGACTTGGACGTTCCATCGGGGGGCCTTGATGTCAGGTCTGGAGACGAAGCGGAAGAGGCCGGGATCAATGTTACGGTCGGGCGGCGGCGGCGGCGGTGGTGGAGGGGGATCTGCAGCTTGTATAAGGGTGGCGAGCAGTGGCAGCGGGAGAGCGAGATATTGTTTGAGGGTTGGAGCCATGCGTGCGCGTAAAGCGCGCGGAGGAGCTCGCGGGAGGACGCGGGTAAGGAAAGTGGATGTCAGTTAGTTCGGGCAAGGAATGATGGAGGATAAGAAAAGCATTTGGACAAGAACGAGTGGGTGGTAGGGAGACAGGACAGAGACGGGGTCACGCGCGTGCGGGAAGAATGTCCTTCTAGAAGAACAGGAAAGGAATGGGTGAGTGACGTGAACCAGGAGAAGGCTTCAGGTCCGCTTGTGCTTCGCTTTCTTTAGGAGGCAGCAGAAGCAGGCGGGAGCGGATTAATAAGGGACGACGGAAGGGAGAGAGAGTTCACCGCGAGCCAATGGGCAGGCGCCAAGAGGAGCCCTCTGCAGCGTTCGGGTGGCGATTCGTGGGCCGGGCAGCATCACCTGTTTGCTCCTGCATCCATCACACTTCCACACCTGCCAACTTCCAACTTCCTTGTGCACAGGTCATTGCCAAGAGATCGATGCCAAGAGGTCACTGCCAAGAGGTCATTAGGTTGCCAAGAGGGCGTGGCTGGACGAGATCGGCCATCGTACCTGAGAGCGGATACTCGCGGCAACCCCCTGACCTCCCTCGTAGTAGCCGGCTTAGTAAAAACCACGTGATCAGCGTAGGTAGCGCATTTATGCATCTTAATCAGTGTTCTTATCGCGTTATGATAGCTACTATAATTATACTACAGCTTCTATATAAGAAGAGAATAATATTATATTATAAAAACTAAGAAGTAGTAGTTTAAGTAGTACTTAGAATTCTATCGCCTATAATTATCTATACTACTATTATCGTTAGAATAGAGTACTTTAAGCTCTACTACTATATTAAGAGTCGTACTCTAAGTTAATATAAACTCTAACTAGATATAAACTACTAAATAATATTATAGACTATGTTTATCTAGTATTTACGCTACTTAAACGCCGCTAGAATAGGTACCTAGCTATAAATATAGTCCTTATAACTAATTAAGTTCTACGGCTACTAGATATTATTATACTAGATACTATTATACTAGATATTATTATACTAATTGTCTAGCTTTATAATCTATTATAGACTACTATAGAGAGTAGCTACTTTACTGAAATATAGTAGCCTACTTATAAGTATAGAGGTGTATAGACTTTACTCGCGGTAAGTAGTAGTCTATCAGAGACAGATTAGTATTAGGTAGGTAGTACCGCCCACGGCGCTTATGGGACTGCTACAAGTGAGACAAGACCTCCTCTCCCCTCCTGTCAGACTGCAACACAGCGCTTAACCTGAGACGCGCCAGCTTCTTCCAACGCCGCACCACGCGGCAGGTACAGTGCATGTATTAGTTAGGTACATGTACATACTTGGTACGTGTTTCCCTCGATCGAGTCACGCGACATGATTAGCCGAGAGAGTGTGTGTCCACATGTCCTATACATAGGTATGTAGAATCGGCCTCGAGGGCGCCTCCCCAAAAGCTTCTTTTGCCGGTGCCCAGCGCCCGCCAAGCCTGCCTTCAATTACTGTACCCCCCCCCCCCGGTGTCCATGCATCTCCCTGGTGGAAATGTCTCCGCGCATCGAATCTAACCTAAGTATATAGATATCCAGGAGAGTAGTGCCCCTTTGTATTCACCTCTCGGCTTATGAACAGTGACGACTTCCAGACATCCCACAGTTATGAAGAATATGGTGACAAGTCTTCAGAGCGGGGACGGCGATGTATCAAAGATCGGCAAAGTCGCAGGAGCGGACGAGGCCGAGCGCTCAGTCGTACGCGTCCCTCCCGAAGCGGAGATCGTGCTGTGTAGGATTGGAGCAGACTTCTATTCATCATCAGTCAGTCTGGACAGAGGGCACAGGCAGCTTTGATATCTCACGGAGAAGAGAATCGTCGAATTGTGACGCAGTGAATCAGTCAGGATTGGGTCCTTTGGCGAGCATCCGAAGACGGGTTATCTCGATGCGAGCTCGAGGAGACTGTTGTTGCTCTTTTGCTAAGCTACGCTAGCGATGAGGCGAGCCAATGCCGGCCTTGCTATGTATACCACCATCGTTCGTTCATTCGTGATAGACTTGGGATCTCCCTACGCCATGACATTCCCAGACGCCTCTTTCCCGACCGACCATCGTAGACGCAACTGCGAGCGAGAGTGCAGCTATATAATTCCATGGACCATAACGACAATTTCTGGCTATCTATCTATGTATTTCAGGCTTTTGCTGGAGTCAGTCGGCACATGAGGGGCTTTTTCTCCCACCTGCAAGGCGCGTTAGCTTCAAGTGTACGAATGAAGGGCTCTCGGTCGATGCCAGATGGGGATCACTTACAGCGTGTAGATTCTCTGGTCAGTCCAATCTTTCGATTCGTCGCACAGTTCGAGGTCGAAGTGAAGTAGCACCGTCGTCAACAAGAGTCTCATCTCGTGCCATGCCAGGTTCTTGCCGAGACAATTACGAGGCTGAGAGAAGTTTTTCATTAGCTGCGTGACCATTGCGAGCAACACGAACAGACATCTTCCATGCACTTACTCCAAAACTAAAAGGTTCCAGGGCATCCAGATGATCGTCCTTGAATTCTGGATCGCCGAGCCAGCGCTCGGGACGGAACTCGTATGGCTTCTTGAAGTGCTCCTCGTTCCGGTATGTCGCAAGATGATGGACTCCGACGATGGTATCTTCCGGGACGAATTCGCCACAGAGCATGGAGCCGCCCTTGGGAACCTTTCGAGGAAGAGCAACGGGGACCGGCGGATACATCCGCATACCTTCCCGAAGAACGGCTTGGAGGTATGTCAACCGGGCAACGGACTCGAGGGTGATGTCGTCAAAGGTGCTGTGCGTGCTTCGGATCTCTTCCGTGAGCTTCCTCAGGTATGATGGGTCGCTTGTTAGGAGGTGGTAGGTCGTTCCCGAGAGAGCAGTAGCCTGAGCAAGTCTTGGTCAAGAATGGTCTTCAAATGTGTGTGTCAATAACAGAGACTTACAGTTGTCTCTGTGCCCGCTACCATGAAGAGTGAAGCATTAGAGTGGAGTTCGTCAACCGTGAGGCCACCAGGCCCCTGACTCTTCTCCAAGATCTTGCTCCAGAGATCAGGTTGCTCTGGAGTTCGCTTGAGTCTTCTGTCGACCTGAAGCAACGATGCCCGGTCAGCAAATGCTCGAGCTTTGCGAATACCCAGAATTCCGACTTACTCTCTCTTTCGAATAATTCCAGTGTCGGGCCTAAGCGTGGACAATCAGCTCACATCTCAGATATGGTATCGAGAATGCAGGGGGACGGAAAGCCAGTCCGTAGCGCGATCATCTGAAATGCATTGGGAAATGATTGCGACGCTTTGGTATCATACCTGCTTTGCCCGAACGGTCGGGCTGTCCATGATGAAAGAGTCTATTGCCCAGGAGAGGAACTTGCTGGTGAACTTGATGGCACGGATCTTGGCAACCCTGGGCGAAGCATATCAGCGCAACTGTTCTTGGAAGTCCTGACTCGGACAACGCATACTCTTTGATGGACTCGAAGATGGTCTTCACCCAGTCGGAGTACTCGCCATTTTCCAGCATGTCGAGGCCTTCGGAGAAACAGAGATCGCCCATGATATCGACTGCAGATGTTGCGTCAGTAAGAGATCGAGGTCGAGAGTCCGATCTCAAGAACTTACATGTCGTGCAGTTGTAATACTTCAACATGTCGACCGACTCTCCCGTGCCCGCCCTCTCGGCGAGCTTGCCTTTCATCTTGCCTGTCCATTGCTTCAGCATTGGTTCCAACTCCTTCAGAGTCTTGTCTGCGAATGCGTGCGAGAGCAACTTGCGTTGCCTCGAATGGGTGGCATCGTCAGCGGTGATGAGGCCATGGGTCTTGTTGAATGGTTTCCGGTAGAAGTCAGGGTCCTTGTATACGAGCCTCTTGAAGCCGTGGACATCTTTCCATGCTTCGGCGCCAGAGGCGTAGGAGAGCTGATCGGGGGCGATCCGCACGACGGGTCCATACTTCTGGTGCAACTGTGCGGCAGCAGCAGCGGCCGTGCCTTGAGAGAGGTTGAAGATGTGTGGATAGTTGCTCAATGCTCGAAGCGTCGGACCCGGATATCGTGAAAGTGGCCCGTAGTAGGCATTGTAGACCGCCTGGCCGACCGAGGCGATGATGTAGATGGATAGAAAGGACAGAGATATGGTCAAGACATCGGCCGGTCGGAGCCAGGCACGAGTGATGCCGGAGAGATCCAGAGGCGTAGCGGTGGCCATTTGAGGATAGAATTGGGAATGGCGGGTGCAACGGTTGAAGTCTCGAGGGGATCGAGATGGTAATGTAGACCGAGATGCAGTATTTATGAATGGGACATGGCACTTGCCGGCTGCATATGGCGAGGAGTACACAGCTCTCGCATGAGACAGCGACGTGGAGTATAGTCCACGTCTTCCCTGTCGATCGTATTCGCTACGAAAATACTGGGGATGTGCAGACGACGTGTGCGTGTGGAGCGACGAGCGACGTCACAACGTGGTGATAATGGGCATCAAAGGATGCAGGTTTAATGGATTTATGAATGGGAGCACAGGAGGGTCATGGGCTGCAGTGGTGAGAGAAGTCACAAGCGGTGCCTTCCCTGTCTACGGCGCCTGTTTCGAGCAGAGATCTGCAGACGACGTCGTCGGCTCGTTCGCTGCCGAGGAAATTGTACGCAGATATGATAGACATCTATGCATGTCCTGAAGTCGGTGCAGAAAGCGCTGTACACTGCAGCGCGGACCACGACCTTTCCGACGGAGGCGGGGGCGGGGGCGGGCCGACGATATAGCCTAGCAGTCACTGCCATATACGCTGTTCCACTGCCACGGCAGAGAAGACGTCTCTCATCACTCTTGTCTTGTGATAGCAAGAGCAAACATTTAGCGTATCGTATTGGCGGTGTTACTAAGCACATTCTTGATCAGGTAATTTCTGCGCCTGCGGGAAGCCACCCGTAGGTACTACTACTGCTTCCTTCGTCGTGCTTACGTGAGGTCATCTTCGCATTGACGCGGACGCATAGGGCGGCCTTAAGATGAAGGAATACGCAGTATGACTCTCCCACGCAGTCTGCAGTCTGTGATCCCTGTTGCCCTGTGCCTCACAAGGTCACAAGCAAACCCATCTGTACTGAATCCTTCGTTTTCAACCTTTCCAATCACACTTCTTCACGCCCTCATCGCTGTCATCATCCCCAACTGCACCCGTTTGTGCCTCCGCAATCTCCAGACAAGCCTTCCTCACACTCTCTCCCAACCCACGACTTCCACAAACATGGTTCTCTGCCTTCTGATCCCAAGGCTTCACGAGCAAGTCCTTCTCTGCTCGGACGACATCGTGGATGTGTTTGTAGCCATTGCTGAGCTCCGACGCTTGACTGTATGCCCTGTGCACTGCAACAGTCCCAGCTTCTCCCACAAATCCAATTCCTCGCGGTACAAGTCATCGCGATCGGGACGTTGACACCCGTAGTAGAGATACGCTGGAGCGAGTCTTCGTCCGGAAGCGTACTGTGCTGCGCGCTCATGGATGAAGCCGCGGAATGGTGCTATTCCTGTCTCAGCCGCCATCATGAGAACGGGGACATGCTTTGCATCGGCGGGAAGGTGGAAGGCGCGGTGACTTGGCCGGACCGCTACATGGACAATATCGCCTGGTTGCCGACCTGAAAGGTAGTGAGAAGCCACTCCGACATGGCGACGGCGTGGCTCCCCAAGGGAAGTTCCATCCAGGACTCCGTACGTCAACGACACTCTGTTGGGGCTCGACAGTGGCGAAGAGCTGATTGATGTATTGCCACACTCGCATAGAGATAAGCGATGCGATGAAAGCAGGAAGAGGAAATCGAGTGTCCGGAAATCGCTCCAGCAGGTCCAGAAGCGAGACCCTTCTATCTGCAGTCTCGTTCTGAAACTTGCTCTCAACTTCAAGGAATTCCGTGAGCGCTCGAGCGCTTGTGTGTGTCGTCTCTGCTCTATGGCTAGCATTGCCACATTTTCGCTTCGTGGCAGGCTGTGACAGTTCGAGTCGTGCAGAGAAGAGGCTGCATGCCGAAACAGGATGCTCCGTCGGCAGCATGGTTCCTGTCCGAGAGTTGATCTTGGGCATAGCATCCCAGGGCAGACTGAAGCGAGTCGTTACACGGTGGACTGTCTCTCGTGAACGTCGTGTAAGAAGGCAACTGCCGCTTTTCTAGTATACCGGGTGCAGTAAGAATCTCAGTATTCACGACCTTGACCTCGGCGATATCTGATCGCAGACGAGAGGCCCTTTCGCTGGAAGACTTCGATGGACACGACACGTTCTGGCCAATCTTTCGAGTGATCCATCCTTCTCGGAGAGCAGCCTTCATTTGGAAATCTTTCGGCTTGATTGTCAGAATCGAAGCGATGTGCAGCATGTATTGAGGATCCTCCACGGTGAAGTTGAAAAAAGAATCGCATCAACATGTTTCCAGCAATCTGGACACTGTAGATCTCACCATACCGGCGACCTAGATCTATGAGTTTGAGTATTCCTACGCCTCCGCTGATGTCGAGGACGTTCCCAAGAAAAGGGCAGTGCTCTTGCTTCGCGTTAGCGCCCACCGATGATTTGAGAACAACAGGGGATGCAGGAAAAGGAGCTTTGGGCAGGAACAAACAGGTGGTATCTAGTATAGGCAAAAAAGATAAAGAAAAAGGCGAAACCGCCGACTTTCATGACGTTCATCCCAGGTGTCTCGTTTCATCAACTTCAATGTCCAAACTCCTCTTCTACGTCTTCTGGGCTCATGGTCTCCACATATGCCCTTCGAATAAACGTATACCACGCTTCGTTCTCTTTCCGGTTAGGATCCTTCTTCTTCTTCTTGCCTCCTTTCCTGTGCTTCTTCTTCTTCTTCTTGTTCTTTTTCCCTTTCTTCTCCTCGTCGACGTCGTCTGCGAAGACCGTGTCAAGGTCAATGTCTTCGCTCTCGTCCTCAGGTGGTACAAAACTGCCAACGCGCCTCGCGAGATCTAAGAGACTTGGCATGGTCAGGTCTTCCAGTCGATACACATCGTCTTCCTTCGTATCGTAGAGCACCTCGTACTTGAACTTCCTGGGTTTCGGCTTGTAGTCCTTGTCGTGAGGCTTCTTGCCCTTGTGTTTGCCCTCGTTCCACTTTGCGGCATCGATGTCATCCTCTGCCTTTTCCGATGAGTGGGTGAAATCGTTGTTGATATATGTCAGGTTGGCAAAGTACTGGGTGTATTTCACAAGTGACAGGGTCTGCGGAGAGTATGCAGGTCCCGGCGGCGATGATTTAGACGGTGCGTCCGGAACAGTGAACTTGTACTTCTTATGCTTCTTCCTTGTGGCGTCAATCCTGCTCGTGTCGAATTCAAAGTGCGCAGGTGGCGGGATAGAGTCAATGTCATTGTTGTGACTGCCCAAGCCAGTAGTGTTGTACTCAAAGACACGCATTGTAGGCATGAGATTGGGCACGACACTTCCACTGACAAAACTAGCGGCGAAGCGTTCGGCGTGCTTGCCACCAACTTTCTTGAGATATTTCCTCAGTTTCTTCTTGTACTTGCGGTCATCCTTCTTCTTGCCAATTGCAAGGTCGAACCAGCTGGTTGATTTGGGCTTATTTGGTGGCTTCGGCAGCTCCGACCACTCGTCTCGCAATTGAATGAAATACTCGGTCTTGTCCTGCGTCGAGAGCTCACCGCCGGAATCATCATCTGAATCGAGAGCATTATAATAGTTCATACGCCCTTTCTTGGTACCCTTGTGGAGGTCCTTGAAGTCTTGCAACATGAAGTGATCGTAGTTGAAATGGCCCCAGAGGCTGGTTACTATTACATCCCGATATTGGCGATTCCACAGGGTGTACTTCTGCCAGCAGGTTTCGTCCCACAAAGTCTTCGTCTCTTGCCTGGCCGGAGGAACGTGTCCAATGAGGATTGCCTTCATGCCGCGATCTCGCATGAATTGGAGCTGGATTCTCAGCCATTCCATCTGCTGATATCCCGGCTCCGAGTGTATTGCGCAGCCGTCGGCAGCCGCGTTGCTGTCAAAAAAGTACAACGTGTTTAGGCTGAAGACAGCTAATTTGTTTGGAATGACTTCGACATAGAACCAGCCTCCTTGTTCGAACGAATGTTTCTGGACCTCTGGGATAAACTGCGTCCAGATGCTAGCGTAAGTTCGTGTCCACTTATTTGGCCCCTTGGCTAGGATATTGTGCGGCAAGATATCGTTGTTCCCAAAGTTGGGCACGATTGGGATGATGAAATCGTTGTTTGGGTCCTCATCTTCTTCGTCTCCATTATGCTTGCCAAATGCTTCTGCCATCTTCTGCACCATGAAGCGATTGAGTCCCAGCACTTGCTCTTGCGTCCGAGGTAGATCTTCATCGTTGTCGTGTCTCGCGGAATCGCCTGTCCAGACGACGAAATCAATCTTGTCCTTGAACTCTTTCGCGACCCATTCCATGGTCTTGTTTACTAATGCGATTGGGCTGTCACATTCACTCGTCTCCGCACCGTATATCCCAGCTGGTCCCTTCCCTCGATGACATGCCGACTCCTCTGATGTTGAGGAGTAGACTTCATAAAATCGATCGGGATGGAAGTCTACATTTGGGGTTAGTATGAGTGTCTCTTCTGAGCCCACCCTTCAGCACAAACCAGTGATCTGGAGGAAGCGGCCATGAAGCGGCCTTCTCTTCTCTGTTGTCTCTGCCAGACCAATACGATCGTCTGTTTCGCCCTCTCCCTTCAAAGGTACCTGAGCGGGCGGAGCTGCTAGCGCCCGCGTGAGCAGAGCTGCCGTCAGGTACTTGATCATACCATGCATCGTGTATCGCGCTGTCGAGTTTCTGGTTGCCCTGCTCTTCTCACATCCCCATACTCCTCAAATGAATGCCGGTGAGAGAGTCCAGTCCTTGATCTAGAAGTTTCCGCGCAGCCCCCAGGACCCCAAACCCCCTCGACGCACGAGAATCGAAATTCCGCCGTGTCCAGCGCGGCTGGGATGGTCGGCGAAGACGACGTCAGAGCACAGGAGGGCTGAAGCACGCAGGTACGGCTGGAGAACCCTGCCTCGCGTCGTTGGAGATCCGGGCCGCTGGGGAGCTTGCACCGTTGAAAGTACAAGCGGAAAGTGTCGGCGAGAGCAAGCAAGAAGAGACGGAACAATACGAGAAATGTAAAAGTACACATACGTGCAGCTGCCTTGGGCACCTTGATGAGCGATGTGGTGAGCACGCGACAACCTCCATCCACACGCACCGTCTGTTTCTTTCTTGGGATGCAAACACAGCCAATCGGGAGTCTTCCTCAGCGCACCATGCGGTTCCACAAAGCATCACTGGTCAGCCGGAGCGCAGTGCTGTCCAGAACGGAGTCACTTGCCAGCGATGGGGGCATCTTATGACTCTCTAAAAGGCTGGCAAGATGGCTACGTATCTCGGTTGCCATGAAACGAGACAATGTTCGGGAAATGATACTGCAGGGAGATTCGCCGTGTAATGTCATGACTCAAGACAGATACCAGAGACGGTGATTGTTGAGTTGGAGGTCGAGTTGCCTGAGTACATGCTTGAGTACAGAAAGCTCTTCTATTCTTGTGCATGCATCGAGACCAAGGCGCAAATGCGAAAGCTATATGACAGACCAGCCGCATACAAGGGTCGAAATTCTCCTTCAAGCGATGGGTGTCTCCTCATTCACTTGGGGATTATCACACTGGGCTATCACTCACAGCGCCTTAGCATCCAGGGCCAGTCTTCACATGAGCGGCTAAACGACCTCTTTGGCCATCGTTAATTGAGAAAAGCAAGTTCACGTCGTGCAATCCGTACACTCGTTCGGAGAGGGCGTGATACACGTGCGAACACTGCAGTCATGGTGATGTGGCTCTCTCATCGCTTGAACCAGAACTCCCATTCTCTAGGTACTAGGCATAGAACGATCAACACGTGATACCCTTGGAGTAATCGATCTTGACCTCGAAACTCGTCAACCAATTTTTGGTCGATTCGACAAAACTTTTCCCTCAGCCTGCGACATCGAGATTGGATTCGTGCAGGCCGGGCTAACTTCGGACCGGTATGTAAGCATATATATATTCATTGATGATCATTTGCTTCCACTCACCAACCAAAATCCTCAGCTGAGTGGCGCAGGTGAGTTATGGATCTTAATCTGGTTTTCCATCAAATTCTAATCAAATAATAGCGGAAGCGCGCCGGGCTCATAACCCGGAGGGCAACAGATCGAAACTGTTCTCAGCTATCTTTTTGCGTTGTTGGCGACTGTTGGCGGCTGTTTATTGTGATTTTATCTATTTTTTAACATGTTCTCGCCACCGCCAAGCCCACGCCACCGAGCTAGTCCGGGCGTCGTCCGAGTGCGGGGAAGAGTCAATTCTTAATCAATATTTTCAAGGCGACTCCCCTTACAGCATTTCAGCACATGGCAAGCCTATCTCCACGGCTGCAACCGCCTCGCTGTTGCCCTGATTTTTGCTACGGTTCTCGGGAAGACATTAAGGTAGCTTGTGAAGAGGCTGATTACCGGTAGAATTGGTACACCTGTACAAATGATGCGTGCAATTATGTCTCTCTGTTTTGAATACGTCTATGCTAATTTCAATTGTGCATCTCAGCTGTGATGGGCCTATCAAATTCGAAACGACGAACGGCGACGGCGAGACGGTGGCTAAATGTACAGCAAAGCCGCTTTTCTTTGAAACACAAGAAATTATTTCTTGTGATTGCTCTAGCGGCGTCTATGTCTGCTATCAATCGTTAGTTTCCGTGCTTCTCCAAATTCATTCAGTGCGTCGGGTCTGTTGCAAACGCATTTGAGTCGAAGAATCAAACATCTCTGCCATTCTAATTGATTTTTAAAGACTTGCTCATGTGTCAGAAGCCGAGGCGAATGGCGCTACGGCATCCACTTGCGGGGAACAATCTCCTCCTTTTCGACCTTCTGCATCAAATTTCATGCCAGAGGCGCTATTATCAGACCCGTCCATCTATCTGAAGTGACGCATTTCGGCGCCGGTGTCGAGCGTGGGTTTGTTCGGGATTCTCGTCCATCCGCAATTCGATCGTCGGATTGAGTATCGTGTCCGAGATCTGCCCGCGGCCGGGATGGTAGAGTGCAGGAGGAGCAGGTGCAAGGACGAGGGAGGTTGGCCCGGCAGAGTGTGGAGTCTTAGCCTGCCCTTGTTGGGACCTCACGCGGGCTCTACAGCGTGTCAGGGCGGATGATAGCCATGGCATTGGGCCTCTTGACGTTTGCAAAGTGTCGGCGAGGAAGCTGGAGAAGGACACAACATGCGCGGGCTCGTCGTGACCCAGCAATGGACGGGAGGACGTTTGGAGCAGCTTGAATCGATGACGGAGCAGCAGACACGCCTCCGGGTTTCACCACCAAACGGATCCGCGCATATGCAGCGAGAAGACCAGACGACGCGAGTGTCGCACAAGGCACCAGGTCTGCCATGATGCTCGCTCTTGTCCCGACCATAATGGTGGGTGGGCTCGCCACGTTGGACGGGATGCCGGCTTCTCCTTCGCTACACGCCTGGCCTCTTAGACGACGCTCCTTCGCTTCTCTGCCCTCCTGCCCAGTCGGTCATTACGACGTTCCTTGAGTCGGATTCGCGCACACCGCTCCGGGCTGGGTGGTACTACATGTCGCTCGATCCGCCAGGCTGGGTGTGGTGACATCTCTGGAGCCTTGCCGTGCCTTGCCTTGCCTTGCCTTGCCTTGTATTGTCTATGCCGCCGCGACAGTAACCGAGGACGGGAGGATGAGCTGAAGCTGTACGAGAGAGAGAGAGACAATCGGAGCCAATGCCCACAGTCACGCCGCTTCCCAAGAGTTTCTGCGATTATTTTGGTTGCGCCTTCCACTCGCTCGAGAGCACACGACGCCTCATCCGCCGCTTCACTACCTTATTCAATTCACCATCTGCGGGCGCCACCTCTCACCGCGTACGTCCATTCAATCCCATCCCATCCAATCCTCCGAACGCGACTCGAATATCCGATTTCATCCCTCACCATTGTCACCTTACGCACCGGCGCTACGGCCTCGAAGACACCTCGCGCAATGCTATTCATCAACGACTAATCTAATCACGAGCCGCTTCTAGCCCTCTTCACCAACCCACCATCATTGCGGCATTTCCTGGACTTTAGCGCCTACCTGACGCACGTCGCGCGACCGAATCAAGTATGCATTTCTTCATGGGCTGGGCGACGTGGGAGAAGCTGGTGTTCGTAAGTACTGCTGGCCCCGAATTCCGCAATGCGGCAAGTCTGGCATGCATGACCAGCCCCGCTAACTCTTGCATTGAGATACTTGCATGCGCCATCTTTGTCACCGTGTTGCTTGGCTGCATCAAACTCGGTTACTCACGCTGGAAACTACGCAAATACATGGCCGTCGCGGAGAAGGAGAGGAGGGAGCAGGGGATGCGTCGGAGCGTCAGCCAGCGACGACGCCAGGAAGCCGCCGAGGGAACCGACGAGCCCTTTGGAATCAAGGCGATTGAGCGAGGTCGTGAGGTTGAGGGTGTGTGGAACTCTTCGGGCCACAACACGCCCCGCGCCAGCAGAGAGGACTCGGGAGCATCTTCTCTATGGAGCGACGTGCCCCTGAAAGATCGTCCTCTGCTCGACATCGAAAAGCAGGACGTGCAACCCAGCCACGACCCAACCGGCCCGGTCTCAACAACGGGAACAGTACCCCCTGCGAGTTCTGCTCTGGATCATTCGATATCTCGAGAGAGAGCTGTAAGCCTGCCGCCCAGTCGAGATTCATCGCCAGCTGCTGCCATCACGAGACCCCCTAAGAGCAGACATCCGCCGTCTTCGCTATCAAAATACGACATCAACTCCCATATTCTACGACAGGACTCGGCGACTCTGACTTTGAAGGGGATTGATGCCGTGCACGATGCCTTTGGCACGCTTCGAGGGCACGGCGACGGCTCTGGCGACGACAATTACGGTAGCAACGAGTCATCGAACCAATCTAGTTACGGGAGTACCGATAACGAACCCATAGCTGCATCAGCACCGCGACTACTCAATCACCAACCACGGTCACGACCGCGACAGCACTCTTCGGACCTGGATCTCATGCAGAGTCACCGCAACTCGCAAGCTGCCGAAACTGGGCAATTCACTCCACGTTTCCGAAGACCAGGTCCGAGCGGCGACTGGAGCAACTTTTCGAGGATCTCGCATACGACTCCTACGGAATCCAATGACTACTTCAGCCAGCAGCGCAAGGAGTCGCCTTCTATCACCGACGAGAACGCTGTTTCACATGCCAAGGGCAAGCATGTTAGTCCGATCGATACCCTCCCAGCAGCCGTGCGACGCTCCAGCTTGCCAGATGTGACTCCCTTTGCAAAGTTCTGCCAGACAGCGCCGTCTTCGCCCATCTCTCCCCCAGGCATTGCGTACGACAGAGAAACTCCTCGCCTGCGCAGCGACTCCACAAACATTCACGCCTCCGCGCCCTCCAGTCCAGCCACCGTCGTTCCCCTGGCGGAGCTTCCCGCAACTGTTCCTATCTCGAGCCCGCCGCAGCCTTCAACCCAGCAATCGCCAGCGGCACCCGGAGCAGTGCAGCAAACCCGCACATCTTTCGAGCGACGAGCTTCCTCCGTCCTTCGTGGCCATGGTACAGGCTTCGAGATCCTGAAGGCCGGGACGCTCAAGCCGGTCATACCTGGAGAGAACGCTGTCGACAGACCAAACGCTGGACCGCCGGTCAACTTGCACGACAGCAGTGATTCAAGACCACGGTCCAGCAGTACGGATAGCCGTCGGAAGTTGCGCAAGAAGCGATGGCCGAGTGCGGACGGCGAGGGAGGCTCGCGCACTAGCATGACTGGTTGATATCTAAAGGCGAAGAGACTACTTGTTGTTATGATAGTGTACGATGGGGTGGATGGTCGTGAGAACGTCTCTGATGAGTTCCAGATCCGGGGGTTCATCTAACAGTGCTTTACGCAGTCACGTAGACAACGAGACAACAGAACAGAATAGTAATGAATTTGTCACAAAATTGCAGCAGTGCATTCCTCGAGCGCACGCTCTTGATGCATTGGTGTTGGTATTTACCAGCGCTCTCGGTTTAAGCCGCTGTGGTCTCCTGTTCCTTCTTCCACTTCTGCGCCATTGCCATCAACTTGCTCAGGTTGGCGCTGCTCTGGTCGTCTGCAGGGAAGACGTAATCCATGTATTCCTCGAACGAATCGTCGTCCAGCTTTCTCCTCTTCTTCACTCTCCTCGGCATCTGTTTCGCCACCTTCTCCTTGTCCTCTTCGCCGCCCTGTGCGTCCTCGAAGCCCTTCCAGGCATTGAGTAGCGCGACGCGCTCTTCCACGAGGCCTCGATCCTTGTACACCTTGTGAGCTCGTTCAAACACTTTCCTCGCGCGAGCCTTGGCAGCGTCGCTGATCGGCGCGTCTTCGTCCTCGGGTATAGCTTCATCGGCGGAGTCCGGAACGTTGATTTCAAAGTGCGCGTAGCTGATCCAGACTTTGACGTGATCGGTCTTGGCGAGCAGACGCTCGTACAAGCTGCGTGTCGTCTCGTACTCGCCTTCCTCTTCCTCGAAGTCAATGTAAGCCTTCCATACCAGCTCCGGCATGTCAAGAACATCCTGCTGAATGGCGAGTTCGTAGATGGCACGGGTACGTGTCAAGTCTTCCAGTCCGCGCTCGAGCTCTGCAAACTTGATCCAGGCCGCGCTGTTCGAAGCGTCGAACTCGATCCACTTCTCGTAAAGCGTTCGACAGCGGACGAATTCGAAGAGTTTGAGCTCCATTTCAATGTAGGCTCGGAACAGCTTGTTCTTGGGACACCATCCGATCGCCATTCCCATTGTCTTACGTGCTCGATCCAAGTTTTGTTGCCGTACGTGGAATTGCGCCTTGAGAATCCAGATTTTGGCAAATGTGAACTTCTTGTGTGGGACGATCTTGATCGCTTCGTCGTACACCTGTCCTGCACGAGCGAGGTCTTTGGTTTCGAGCTCTTCGTACAGCGCGTAGAACATCCAGAGGTAAATGTACCTTCTCCAGTGTCGCTTCTCTTGGCTGGGCGGTACTTGGGCAATTGCCCGCTCGTAGACGTCCCGTACACGCTCTGGATCCTGACCGGTCTCCTCCAAACGTGCATAATCGAACCACGCATCGTAATTTTTGGGATTCTCCTTCACTTGCTCCTCGTACAGTACCCTTCGCTTCGCCAACACCACATCTTCGACGCCCTCTCGATCGCCAAACTGCTTCTCGAAAGTGGTATATGACTTGTGGAGTATGGCAGATTTTGATCGAGGCATCCGATCCAGAGCATACTTGTAGATAGCGCGGGCCCGTTCGTACTCCTTCAGCTTAGCTTCAAACTTCGCATACGCAATGAAGAGCTTCTCATCCATAAATTCATCCCCTAGGGTTTCGATGGCCATCCCAAAGACTTCCCGCACCAGGTCGCTCGTCCCGTTCTCCTCCTCAAAACGTGCCCATCTGATCCAATTTCTTGGTTCTGGATGCACGATCGTGAATCGCTCGAAGATGTTCCTCGCGCGGTCGTACTCGCCGTACCTCTTCTCCAGCTTGATGTACGCATTCCATGCCGCCTCATCCGGCTCCCACGACATCCACCTTTCAAAGGCTTGTCGTGTGCCGGGAATGTTCCCCAGCATCTCCTCCATGTAGACATACTTGTACCATAGCTTGTCCACTCTCGGCAGAATAGTAACAGCCCTGTCCAGCAGGTTGCGCGCGTGGTTGATGTTCCGCTCCTTCATCTCCGACTCGATGTATCGTAGCCATAATTGCACATTGGTATTCTCGACATCCAGCGCACGTTCGAAAACACTGCGCGCCCTGCGGTATTCCTTCTGTTCAAGTTCCCACTGAGCGTAGCGAAACCAATTGCCCATGTTCAGCCGATTGCGGCGGACATAATCTTCGAACTCCTTTCTTTTACGGCCTTGATATTCATGCAGTTCCTCCAAGTCGGCAAAGCGCTGCGTCGGCGCAGAGAGGGCGGGTTCCTGACGGTCGACGGCTTCGCGTAGCAGCTGTTCGGCGGAGATCTGCTGCGGCGCAGGCGCCTTGTTCTTGACCCGCGGAGGGCCTCGCGACGACTCCATGCTGATTAATGAGTCCGTCGAGTAGGTGGAGAGGTGTCGTTGCTTGGATGTCTGCTGTAGATGCAGTGGAAGTATCACATGCATAGAGAAATGTTGGCGCAGAGCTCGGACCAAAGCTAAGCAAAGCTTCCTGACTCGCGACATCTTGCGAGCTTCACTTGCACCATCAATTCTCTGGCTTGACAGCTTGACAAAACAAACACCCACACAACCACCTTCTCGTTACATGCGACCTAGTCCTCATTTGGCAATACGGGACTACGGAGCACCACTGTGACTCTAATTCTTTGCAGCTGGCGCCTCAGCGCGAACGTCTCTGGAGATGGCGACGGCTGCGGACGAGCTTTTGAACGACTTCGAGGACTCCGGCGATGAGAATGAGCAAGAGCAAGTGGATGATCAGTATTTTGGAGAATCTGGCGGACTCTCGAAAGATAGCAATGGCTCTACGAGCGCGGTAGGCCAAGATGGCGGCATGGAGATGGACGGCGACGAAGAAGATGTGGACAGTGCTGCCCTCGCCGATGTGTCCAGCCATATGAAGATGGAAGAAGAAGAGACTGCTGAGGAGACGAAGGCACGAGTCGAGAGGATGGAGCTGCAAAACGTGAGCGATGTGCGAACCGTAGCAGGCCTGATGAAGCAGTTGGATCCCTTGTTACAGGTAAGCAAGCCCTTTCCCTCAGCATGTAACGGAGTCGCCAACGTTAAACGTACTCGATCATAGCCCTAACCGACGTTGCAATTTACAGAAAATCGAATACTACAAGAGCCTACCGCCTGGCCAAGAGACTCAAAACATCGGCAACATCGAAGACAATCCCGAGTACCAGCTTCTGACCCAGTCCAATACTCTGTCCACTGGAATCGACGGCGAGATCATACTCGTACATAAGTTCATTCGCGACCACTATTCAGTGCGCTTCCCGGAACTAGAGACTCTCATTCAGAATCCGCTGGATTATGCAAAGAGTGTGGCAATCATTGGAAATGGGCCCATGGAGGAAATTCGCAAAATCAGTGAGAGCAGTGACAACATCGTCGGCCAGTCGCTCAAGCAAGTGCTTGATGGTCCATCCCTCATGGTTGTCACTGTGGAGGCCACGAACACAAGCGGTACTCCTTTATCGGAGAGCGAGCTTGCTACTGTCAGACGGGCTTGCCAGATGATACTGAAGCTGGACAAGGCCAAGAAAACTTTGACGGACTACGTGCAATCGCGCATGTCCATGTTTGCCCCAAACTTGACCTGTTTGATTGGTTCGTCTACGGCCGCGCAGCTCATCAATTACACAGGAGGAATATCCGGACTCGCAAAGACGCCCGCCTGCAACCTCCCCCCGCTTGGTAACAAGAGAAGTGCCAGGGCCACTGGGCTTGCTACTAATGTGGGCGTCCGCAATCAGGGCGTTCTATACCAAAACGACATCATCCGCGCTGTACCCGCAGACTTGAAAGTCCAGGCTATGCGCATTCTGTCGGCCAAGGTTGTTCTTGCTGCGCGCATAGACGCGTCTCACGATTCACCGACCGGCGAGCAAGGCCTAGAACTGGCGGAGCAAGTGGAGAAACGCATCAACAAGCTATCAGAGGCACCGCCCAACAGTGGTGTCAAAGCCCTGCCAGCTCCAGACGACAAGCCATCTCGAAAACGAGGAGGTCGCCGAGTAAGGAAGATGAAGGAGGCGACGGCTATGACCGAGCTTCGGAAGGCTCAGAACCGTATGGCATTTGGTAAGGAAGAAGCTGAAGTTGGCTATGGCGAGAACTCAAAAGGCCTTGGTATGATTGGAGCACAAGATGATGGTCGCATTCGTGCTACACAGGTCGACAACCGGACGAAGGCTAAACTGTCGAAGAAGAACCCTGGGTGGGGCGGTGCGACTCCTGCTAGCAGTGGGACAGCAACTTCTTTGCGCGGCTTTGGCGGCGGTCCAAGCACTGCTGGTGCGCTTAAAGCACAAGGACTCCGTGCGAGTGGTGTCGGACCCAGCGGCCTCAAGACGCAAGTTGGTAACACTGGAGGCACAGTGTCTACTATTGCATTCACTCCTGTACAGGGCTTGGAACTCGTCGATCCGAAGGTACGGGAAGAAATGAACCGGAAACGCAAGGCTGAAGAAGATCGCTGGTTCAAGGGAGGAACTTTCACACAGGTTAGCAGTGCTGGAGCAAACCCAGCGCCTAAAGTCGACTCGGCGGGATTCAAAGTTCCGGCGTTACCCACAAAGAGACAAAAGCAGGACGGATGAGTGAACGTTGCGTACATGAAAACAACTCTGACCAAATGCAAGGAATGAATCACGACGAACTCGTCTTGCGTCGTCTCTGCAAAGAGATGGGCATTTTTTGGGAGGACACAGAGCTTGCGGCCAGCAGACAAGTTGCTGCTGCTCTCACTGTAGCGATGCAGCTGGCGCAGCAAACCGACCGCCCAGCGGTTGCGGAGTGTGAACGCCGTTTCCGTCCGCCAACATCGATCCGCAGGTAGTCGTATGGAAGGGGGATATGGTCAGAGCAACAGAAATACGGCTGTAGCCATGCCCCACGAACGGATCTAAAAGGGACAATAGTGATTCAAGGCCAGCCATCCTGGGCTCGTGGCGCATGCGAGGTCGATGACAAATCACCGATTCGGAAGAAGGGCTCATGCATCTCACAGAACTGTTATCTTCACCACCATGACCCTCTACACTGTAATGCTCAGTTTCCGCCATCCGCTGTGATCCGCAGCCCGCGGCGGCGGTCCACCCACAGCACCTGTGAACGTCACTGCAGTGCCAAGAAACTCTACAGCTTCAAGCCTCAGCCACCAAACGTCACCTCGGTTTCCGTCCTGCTGTCAGTACATCCGCGGATTTCTAGACACACGAGTTCATGTGCTTTCATCGAACCCGTTCCACACATTAATGCTTGTTCTCGGCTGTGTAAGGGCGTTCAACTTATTCCTCTGTCTTCGCGCGATTTCCATCGAATTACTCTCAGTGTCGCGTCACCTGCGCGCAGGCCGCATCGCGCATCGCGCACCACGATTCACTACCCTACATTGATCATGAGCAGCACGCTCATGCTCTGTCTCTCATTGAAGTATTCGGAACTTTTCGCACAGCCATTCCGATTCCAACACCGGGTCCGCGAGACATAACAAGATGTCTCCGCCTGGCGACCATGCACAGCTCAAGGCCGCAAAGACAAGCAAGATACCCAACTCCAAGAGACCAAAACCGCGACCACCGCGGGGACTGCGAGATAAACTGTGGCTCCCAGGTCGGGCACTACCGACCTATACAGGGCCGTACCCTGTTGGAACGATAGAGATCGAGGTACCTGCAGCGAACCCAAAAGCCTTTTCGCACATCACACGGAAGGGACGACACCCTCTGCAACTGGAAACGGTTCTCATGACCGTATACTTCCCAGCATCCATCGACGAGAACAGCTACTCGAACCTGCCGAATCAAGGGTCGCAAAAATCAAGGGAACTCTGGCTTGGTCGACCTCGGTGGAAAGTGGCTGGCGGCTATGGCAAATTCGCCGGAGTTGGCGAAGCTCTCGCCTACCCGATCTTCTTACCCACAGCATTTACCAAATTACCCGCTTACCGCAACGCGCCCTTGGCGCATTACTGGGCACCTGCTGTGGATGCAAAGACTCGAGGGAAGAAAGTCAAGCTGGAAGGGGGCGAGCGCCCTGAAGGAGCGACCGAAGAACCAGTATTCCCGCTCATTCTATTCTCTCACGGGCTTGGCGGGACCAGAACGATGTACTCATCCGTGTGTGGCGAGTTTGCAAGCTACGGCTTTATCGTGTGCGCTGTAGAGCACAGGGACGGCTCCGGGCCCAGGACGTACATCAACCATGCCAAGTCCGGAGAAGGCACGGCTACCGATCTGGAAAAGCGCGGAAACGTGGATCATTTCCAGAAGGAGCATGAGCAGGGCTTTGATGTGATCGACTACATCTTTCCGCTGGACAACCCGTTTGATACGGCGCCAAACAACGACAAAGGCGTGGATCGAGAGCTCCGCGAAGCGCAGATCGAATTGCGAATGGCCGAGCTGGAAGAAGCGTACAGTGTCATGTGCGAATTGAACAATGGCCATGGTCAAATGATCGCTGGCCGAAACTTGCGCAAGGAGGGCTACAAGGGCTCTAGCAAACACGGTCTGAAAGGAATTGACTGGCAGCGCTGGAAAGACCGACTGCGAACGGATCACGTAACTATTTGCGGCCATTCGTTCGGGGCGGCAACGGCAGTCGAAATGCTGAGGCATGACGATCGATTCAACTACATTTCCCAGGGAATCATATACGATATTTGGGGGGCGGGAACACGCCCTGCGGACGATGATCCTTCGCATCGCATCAAAGCCCCGATAATCGCCATCAACAGCGAAGCCTTTACCTATTGGCCAAGCAACTTTGAACTGGTGGAAGGCCTCGTGAAAGAAGCACAAGCAGAACCCAAGCCGTGCCCATCCTGGCTGCTGACTCTCCGTGGTACCGTCCATGTCTCCCAATCAGACTTCTCGCTTCTCTACCCGAACGTCTGCTCACTGTTCCTCAAAATGGTCGCGAACCCTCGCCGTGCACTGGATCTGAATATCAACGCCAGCCTCGAGTTCCTCAGCCACGTCCTCCCTGCCGATCTCGCGCAAGTGAACCGCGCCTACAAGAATGAAGAAATCTTAGAAGCGAAACTCAATCCCTTAGAGCGCATTCCTTCTGCCCTCAAACACAAGCCAAAGAAAGACAAATACACTGCGATGCGACTGGGCATTCGCCACGAATGGATATATCGGATCAGTCCCAAGTTCTTCCGTCAGGTGAAGCGCTGGGATATGCAGCGCAAGGGTCATGCTCCCGAGGCAGGCGATGAGGTCTGGGTCCATGTCAAGCCGACAGAGAGTGTGATGGAAAAATTCTACCAGAGAACGCCGGGGCGAGACGGGCATCAGGACGAGTGCGACGGATGCACTCAAGTAACGGAAGACGCCACGGCGGAGGGGTCGACAGTACTAATGAACAATCCGCCGGGAGGCCAGGCAGCGTTCAAACATCCTGAAGGAGCGACCTCGCGCTCCAAGTGAAGAGGCTGAATGCTGGCTCGTTCAATCCAGATCCATGGCGTCTTCATCAAAGGACGTGTTGGCGCGGTGCGGTGCTTCCTCGCCATCCGAGTCATCGTCGATATCCATTGGGTCCCAAGTCGGATCTCTTTCCGATGGCGGCAGCAATGTCGCGTTGAAGCACTGTTCAAGCACACCGTTGTCGGCATCCCATGGACACCATTCCCTCAGAACTTTCCAGACCTGCTGGGAACTCCTTCTCCGCGCTTCATAGCGCTCCAGCATCTCGTCGCGGAGGAGTGCATCATAGGTGCTGTAAAAGTGACGAACGTGCGCGACGACGATACTCGTGTAGCGTCGGGAGTTCCAGACCTTGGACTCGCTCAGGTTGTACGTGAAGGGCTTGTCGATGCACTTATCCAGGATGACTTCCAAGGCGTTGGGTGGAATCCGGGGGAACAGATCTTGAAGTGGACCGCGATTCCACTCGCGTCTGCGGCGGCGCTCCGCCTCCGGGGACAGATTCGAGAGATGCTGCACCTCGGGCTGTGCATCCATGTATTGGCGACGGGGTTTGGACGTGTCGCAGTTGTTATTAGTTGATGATGGTGGAGTAGAGGAGTTGTTGTGCTGCTCGATGCGCCGGTACGACAGCCACGGCCGGGCGAAGTCCATGGCGCGCGGAGTCGGAGTCGCGGGAGGCGCCGACGGGACCAAGACAACTTCAAGGTTAACTGTGGAGTGGACGATGGGAGTCGTCGAAGAGATAAATGTGAATTCAAGTAAAGTGTACAGAGTATACAGCAAGCTGTTAGGAGAGAACCGCGAGTTGATTGACAGTTGACTGCAATTCGTGCGTCGAGCCTGGCGTCTTCGAATCTCTGTTGGGTCTGTGAAGGTCAGGTCGCATGTCTCCTTCCTCTAAGGTACAGCCGGGCTCCCCCGCTGCAGCCCTCCTCCTCCCGTCCTCTCAACAGCTGCTACTGCCGATGTTTGCGCATTGCGTCTCGCTGTGAAAAGATGCGCTCCATTCTGCCTTACTTCGTATCACTCCCTTGCCTGCGGTGATACGAGTAGGAAACGGCGCGACACTGTTCTTGTGGAAGTCGCAGACCAAAGACGCCAAGCATCTCGTCGTCTTGATGATCATCAGATAAGACATTGGGCAGACTCTACCTAAGCCTACTGAGCTTCTCGGGCCCCGGCATCATGAATGGAATTCCTTGGAACGACATCTCGACGGCTGCTGCCACTCGTGGGCCACTCTTCCATCTTCTATTGGCTTTCCTTCTCCTAGGCTATTCGGGAAAGCAAAGGCCTTCCGATAGGCAAATATGCTTCATCTTTGCAGCGTCGTGCACGTCGAGTTGATGCACTCTCTCCAGTGACGACGTTACTCTCAGCGAGACTATAAAGTATGAGATATACGGCATCCTCGCAAGCCGCATCAAGAGTATCGCGCGGCGCTTTTGTTCGTTGACAAGATGTTATCAGTTTTGGGCTCGACATCACTCTTCATTCTCTGCTCACTAGCTGCACCTATACCAATTCATCGACACCAATCACAGCATGCGCCGCATCAATGGATGGACGCCTTCCGGGCATGGTGCCGTCCGACTTCAAGATTTCCGGCAATGTACGCCGTCATTACGTTGCTGTAGAATGACGGGGTTAGCAAGACTTTGTACATGAACGCGACGGGCCTGGGTCTCTGGCAGGTTGTATGTCACGTGAATAACCATTAGCAGGATGGCATGGTGGCCAACTACAAGCGGCTCGTGTAGCTAGCCGATCAACGTCCTGGTCGTCAGAGGGTCCGATGATCCCCAGGAGGCTTAGCAGGCAGATAGAAATGGACTCCGTCAATGGAAAGACAATTGGGAGATACGAGCGGGCTTGACAGGCTGATTCAATACGTTCGACACAAGTGCAAGGACTGAGCGGCTGCAATGAGGCGTTGAAGCTGCGTATCGCAAGCTGCTAAAATCACATGCGAAGGCGTGGATTCGGTAGGTAGGTGAATGTATTTAGAGTTTGGCAAGCGAGCCCCACATTTCACATTTGATGCAACAGGGCAGGCCGCACGGCAGCCGCAGCCGCAGCCGCAAGCCAGCCAAGATCTCCAAATCGCCTCTTCTTCTGGACTGCCACCCACCACTCCTGCCATTCATCCACCCGCAAACACCTCTGCGAGGGAGTCTGGGCAGGCGCGACACCAGCAAATCGCCCTCTACCGCACAACCCTTCCCGACGGGTTGAGTGCTGCAGCGGAACGACGCCGCTCAACCCACGAACGCTTCTCCCTCCTCCCGCGAATCCGCCCTTTCTAAACTTCGCGCCCACCCTCTCCGCTGCATACCGTACAGACCTGCCACCTCTGCCATGGAGGGCGCCTTCACGCAGGTCGGTAACCACCTCGTCGGCGACTCGGCTTCCGCGATCAACGAGGGCGACGATATCTCCACTCTCGACGCCGGCGAGAGCGCTCTGGACAGCGAGTATGGCCGCAGCAACCTGAACGGCGGTCCCCGAAGGAGACGAGTCGGCGATGATGATGAGACGGATGTGTACGATGATGACGACCTTGAGTCGCTCGCCAGCCATGCGGTCAACGGTGCCAATGGACAGGCCGCCCCGGCGCAAGAGGAGGAAGTCGAGCTGCCGCCGCACGCCTGTTCCTATTGTGGTATTCACAACCCAAGCTCTGTCGTCAAGTGCCTGTCCTGTTCCAAGTGGTTCTGCTCTGCGCGTGGAAACACGTCCTCGAGCCATATCATCAACCACTTGGTTCGCGCGCGGCACAAGGAGGTGCAGCTGCACCCGTCTTCCCCATTGGGAGACACGACACTGGAGTGCTACAACTGCGGTACCAAGAACGTCTTCCTACTGGGGTTCATTCCTGCCAAGAGCGACACTGTCGTCGTGCTTCTCTGCCGTCAGCCATGTGCAGCGATGCCCAGTAGCAAAGACATGAATTGGGACACCTCCAAGTGGCAGCCTCTTATCGAAGACCGTTCATTCCTTCCTTGGTTGGTGAACGCGCCAACTGATCAGGAGCAGATGCGTGCTCGCCATCTCCCGCCACAGATGATTGCCAAATTGGAAGAAATGTGGAAAGACAACAGCAGTGCGACTATTCAGGATTTGGAGAAGGGAACTGGAGTGGACGACGAGCCTGCTCCCGTCTTGATGCGCTATGATGACGCGTATCAATATCAGAACGTCTTCGGTCCGCTTGTCAAGATCGAGGCAGACTACGACCGGAAGCTGAAGGAAGCCCAAAGCCAAGACAACTTGATTGTGCGCTGGGACTATGGCTTGAATAACAAGCACCTCGCTTCGTTTGTCCTGCCAAAGCTCGAACTGGGAGATGTCAAGCTAGCTGTTGGCGATGAAATGCGTCTCAGATACACTGGCGAACTGCGGCCACACTGGGAAGGTGTTGGATATGTCATCAAGATCCCCAACAATCAGAGCGACGAGGTAACGATTGAACTGCGAGCTAGAGGCGACCACAAGTCTGTACCCACCGAGTGTACGCACAACTTCACCGCAGACTACGTCTGGAAAGCCACCTCTTTCGACCGGATGCAGCATGCCATGAAGACATTTGCTCTGGATGAGATGTCAGTCTCGGGCTACATCTTTCACCGTCTGCTCGGACATGAGGTCGCTGCAGCGCCGATGAAGGTCCAAATGCCGCGCAAATTCAGTGTGCCCAACTTACCGGACCTCAACGGTTCTCAGATTCAGGCTGTCAAGTCAGTTCTGCAGAAGCCATTGAGTCTGATTCAAGGTCCACCTGGCACTGGAAAGACGGTCACGTCCGCCACGATTATTTATCACCTGTCTAAGCTCAACGGTGGCCAGGTCCTCGTGTGCGCCCCGTCCAACGTGGCTGTCGATCAGCTCTGTGAACGCATCCACATCACCGGTCTGAAGGTTGTCCGTGTTACTGCCAAATCTCGAGAGGATGTGGAGTCCAACGTCGGCTTTTTGTCTCTGCACAGACAGGTCCAGATGAATGACACCAACGTCGAACTGGCGAAGCTCAACCAGCTTAAGGCTGAGCTTGGCGAACTCTCTAGTCAGGACGAGAAGAAGTTTAAGACCCTCACACGTGCTGCTGAGCGGGAGATCTTGCAGAATGCAGATGTCATCTGCTGCACTTGTGTGGGCGCTGGCGACCCGAGACTGGCCAAATTGAAGTTCCGCACGGTCCTCATTGACGAGAGCACGCAGTCGGCAGAGCCGGAGTGCATGATTCCATTGGTGCTCGGCTGCAAGCAAGCTGTACTCGTTGGAGACCACCAGCAATTGGGACCCGTCATCATGAACAAGAAGGCCGCCAAGGCTGGCCTGAACCAGTCCCTTTTCGAGCGGCTCGTCAGCTTGGGGTCTTCACCCATCCGTCTTCAGGTACAATATCGTATGCATCCTTGCCTCTCGGAGTTCCCATCCAACATGTTCTACGAAGGGTCTCTGCAGAACGGCATCACCATGCAACAGCGCTTGAGGAAGGACGTGGACTTCCCGTGGCCGGTAGCCGACAACCCGATGATGTTCTGGTCGAACCTGGGTAACGAGGAAATCAGCGCTTCTGGAACATCCTACTTGAATCGTACCGAGGCACAGAATGTGGAGAAGATCGTGACACGATTCTTCAAAGCCGGTGTTAGTCCCGCAGCCATTGGCATTATCACGCCATACGAGGGACAGCGCTCTTATGTTGTGCAAAGTATGCAGCAGACAGGCACATTCAAGAAAGACCACTACAAGGAGATTGAAGTTGCTTCGGTGGATGCTTTCCAGGGGAGAGAGAAAGATTTCATCGTGCTGTCTTGCGTTCGAAGCAACGACCATCAGGGCATCGGCTTCTTGAGTGACCCGCGGCGGCTTAACGTTGCTCTGACTCGTGCCAAGTACGGTCTGGTAATTTTGGGCAATCCAAAAGTACTTAGCAAGCATCCGTTGTGGCACTACCTCTTGCTACACTTCAAGGAACGCAATTGCTTGGTCGAAGGCCCACTGAACAACCTACAAGTGTCTTTGCTCCAATTTAGCCGGCCTAAGACCTCCTACCGTGGACCACAGCGCTACCAGATGGCGTATCAGCACGCCAACCACATGGCTGCTGCCACCGGAAATCGCATGAACGGCCGACGAGATGGGCCACCCGGAGCTGACAACGGAAGCATCATCGGCTACATTCCCGATGATGTGTCTTCGGTGCACTCTTCCGCTCTCGGTGGTGCTGCGCTGCCCAGCCAGTACCCGCCGATGTTCCAAGGGTTTCAAGAGGCTTGGCCTACTCTCTCAGGCCCTCAGCGCAATGGTACGATTGGCGAAAAGACTCACGCTCCTCCCGAGTCTGTGGCTGGCGAGAGCGTTGCTGCGAGTGAGATCACGGACGTTACTACGAATGGCACGTCCAAGCCTGGACACGGCGGCGTAAGCTTGGCGGGCCTCAGTATCAATGACCTGAACAAGCAGGCGTCGCTTTCCCAGTCTGACAAACTTCGTCGGTACGTCGAAGCTCAAGGTGCACCACAGCCTCCGATCGGTGCTGGAAGAGCCCGACCACAGCACCTGGATGAAGATGCCCAGAGCGTCAGTACTGCCTTTGCAAGCCAAGTCGGTGGTGGTGGGTATGACTGATTGCTTCCTCCAACTCGAGCATAGCCACCAGAGAAGTTATGCTTGATGAGATACAAGTTACCTTGAGTCTATGCGACATGGAGATCCGCCACGTCAAAGTCACCACCGACGAGCAAGAGGCAGCAGTCAGGCACATGGCCAGAGCTACTGGAGCATCCCGCAACGCACCGGTCTACTATATCACAACTGCCAGATGAGTCTTTCCGGCGCGGACGGACCCGATATCTGGACCGCTGTGCGAGCCTGTGGTGGCCCTGGAACAAAGCAGGTCGCAAACACTCGAGGCACGCGCAAGAGGAAGAAGCCCGTGTCAGCGGAGCAAGCTCATCCGACCATCAAGCACACCTTACTGGAGCAGAGGCATTCGTACAGATCGGCCTCCAACCATCAAGTCAGCATGCAAAGTCAGCTTGCCTCGGATTGCTGCGTTGTTATTGATTGATCCCATCGCTCAGTCCTCCACTCATTCACTTTCTTGAGCGCGTTTGATGGTCTGAAAATGAGAAGAAGAGAGGGGCAAGAGAATTAGCTTTAGTCATTCGTTTCGATACGCTCTAAATAAAAAATCCTGTGTGTTGGCGCACATCCGACCGCATCACATGCAAAACCCAATAGGAACTACGAAAGTCTGATTCATTTGATTGTCCCATACGCCACCGTTGCTCTGCCGTCCAAAGGCATTCCATGTTGTAGGTTCTCAGGTAAAGCTGGCACGCCGCGCCACGCCGGAAATAGTTCATTGTCATGTTCTCTTCTTCTCTTCCTGAAATGATGGCTGTCGCCGGATTCGAGATCTCATCTCGGGCGAGCATCTTCGGCAAGCCATTCCTGCCGCTGAAATGTGTCCTTTGACAGCTTTCAGAGGAGAGCGGTCTTCTCGTCAAGAGTGTGCTCGCCCTGGGCAGTCGACTCGTATTGCGGTAGCACATCGACACCGCGGTTGCCCAAGTGCAAGGCGTACACCTGTTTGCCGTAAAGCCTGACGCCATCCTTGACTCCCAAGAGCGGTTGCACCTCCACGGCAGATAAGTGGTCGGCGCGGAAGTTGAAGGCGGAGCTCGCGTGCAGCCAGGCCATGGCAGAGCCCAGGCTCGCTTCCAGGACGAGGATGCGTGTGAAGGAGGATTCATTGACGGGCCACCACGCAATCACAAAGAAGCCCAGCATCATCCAGAGGTGGGACATCTGCGTGGTGACGATGCGAGCAGCTGGAACGTAAGCGGCCAGCGTGCCGTCCGTGTCGTTCGTGCGGTGGAATTTGGCGATCAGATATCCGACTCCGAGCATCTGCATCATGGGGAAGAGGATGAAGACGGCGGAGAAGAGGGCGACCATGGTGACGGCGTTGATGGCGAGCTCGAGCCAGATCCGGAGGTCGTAGCTCTGCGGGTTGGCGACGACATCGTCCTTGATCGCATAGATTCCGATGGCCGCGTCGACCATCCAGATCGCGAGCGCGTGGAACAGGTAGACGAGGGTGATGTAGAACTGGGTGCGCGTTGCGCGAGCCAGGCGCTTGTTGCTCGCGGCGAAGATGACGGCGCGGTTGCTGGCGTCTTGCTCGATGGCGCGCCGGGCACCGCGCATGCTGACCAGCTGGCGGATGCCGATGAAGAGCATGACCAGGGAGACGGAGTAGCAGACGGCGAGCGTCTCGCACTCCAGAGGGCGATAGGTGCGTGTGAGCCATGCCCGCGCCCACGCTGCTCTGACCGGCAGCTCACGATCCATTTTGACGGTGAGCGGATTGAGGACTGAGGATTGAGGATTGCTTTCGAAAGGGTGCGGATGCTTCCAGGTCAAGGCGGATGGTGATGGTGATGATGGGCGGCTACGATGGGGCTGATGTATGGCGCAGCACTGCGCCCGACCTGTGAGGCAAGACGAGGTGACGGTGACTGCATGTAGAGTGAGGTGCGAAACGGCGCTAGTGCGTCATTTATGCCTGAGGCCTCATTGGTCGATGGTCTCCTGTTTCGACGTGCATCTTAAGGATGTCGAGGGAGATATAACAAGTTGCACATTGCCACTTTGGAGGTTGCCAGTAGTCTGCTTTTTCTTCTCAACAACAGTCTAGGAACGACAATCGCTACCATGGAGTACGACAAACTCGCCTCAACAGCCACAAATTTCATCACCGCCTGCGCTCCCAAATCCCCAAACTCCAACACTCCCGACGCTGAGGCCATCCTCGGCATCCTTGCCCCAGACGCGAGACTTCAATGGGGCCACAAGACCTTCATCGCATCCTCTCCTTGGCTGCAAGGGCACAGGACTCCGCAGGAATTCGTACAGCACATGAGTGGAATGGCTTCCAAGCTGGGAACCTGGAAGCCCTCGGTCACCAACACGATTGTCGATGTACGCAAACGCCGCGTGATGCTCCGAGCGGACTTCCACATGACGGCACAGAACGGTACGACGGTGCTGAACGACATCATCTTCATCATCGATGTGGACGAAAGCTTGGAGAAGATTGTGACGGTCACGGAATTCATTGATCCCAAGGCTGCGGAGCTGCTGAGGGAGGCTATCCAGGCTTGAACATCCCCATGAATACTTGATCCCCGCAGATAGCTGCTGGGGAAAATCCGGCATTCGAGACGTGACAGGCTTGACAATCGATATCGGCACAGTGTCGGGATGCATGACGAGGCGGCGAACGTGGCAGACGAGAACTGGGAGAAGCTGTTCTTTCGGAATGAGCTCCTGAAGATGGGCATGACGTCGGTTGTAGACGTGGCGAACGCAGGTTCCGCACTCGGAACGGTGAATTCTTTCGCAATGCGCAACATTGCATTGTCGTCAGTGCGGAAAGAAAATATAGCGAGCGATATCGCGCTAAGGCATCAGCAGGCTTGGGATTGCTTGGCAGGGCTAAACATTCAGCGCAGACAAGCTTTCGGTCCCGTGCACGGGCAGGATCTATCTATCTGAGCTCGAAACGAGAACGTCGCTGCTTCAGCCCAACTATGATTCCCCGCCGCACTCGATCGCAAAGAAGAGCGACGATAATAACTGATCTCCTTCGTGTACACCGCTCGTTGTTGCACGCCAGTAGCAGGTACTAGTACTAGTACTAGCACAATTGAAGTACCTCCTTATTAGTGGGCAGGGGAGCAGCTGCTGCGCCTGGCAAGCGCTACCGAACGACCTGCATCTGGTGTGTCCGTATCCAGCGCTGAGGTGTGCCAGTCTCAAGCCTCCGCGCACGTCACCACCTCTGCCCGTGCCATACCATACCTTACCTTACATGTACCTTATACCTCCATGACCTGACCTGGCCTGTCCTGCTCACTGCCTTACTACCTGATTGCCCTGACCTATCTACCGCCGACTTGCCTTGCTACGCCTTCGTGCCACGCGTGCTGCTCAGTTATTATTTGTTTCATTATTCACATGGCCCCGTGACACCTCTCCGACGGCCGCTCCTGCGCCCCTCCCACTCGCTGCCATCTCATCCTACCCGCTCCCACTTCCCTTGATCGCCAGATTTGACTCGTCGCGGCCATGGCTCAGCAACCCAATGGCACTCCGAGCGGGCCCCGCGTCGACATCACCCCGCCCATGCCGCCGCCGCCGCCGCCGCCGAGGAGGACAGATACGGTGGAGAGCAGGCCTTTCGTCGATGCGCCTGAATCCCCTCCCGAGCAGCCAGAGCAGGCCAGAGCGCAGCGCCAACGCCTGGAGCGAGCGCCGCACTCGACCACCACCATGAACTCGACCGTATCAGTTCCGCCTCCAGGATCCGTCCTCACTGGCAAGCAGGAGCATTACCTCAAGCGCGAATTGATCTCTCACCAGACACAGTGGGAGGTCAGTGAGCTGTCTCATCCGACTGCGCTCCAGCGCTTTGGTGCTCCCTTTCGCTCGGAAGCTGGCGAGGTGAAGCCAGAGGACTCGGAACTGCCATTGCTGCGCTACATCTTCGTCCATCATGTACGGAACTTCCCATTCTTGAACCGGGCGAAAGAGAAGGAGTTCTGGCAGGACAAGCTGCAGGCCTTCCTCGAGAGCTTCGCGAATAAACACATCTCCTCGGCTGAAGACCGCTTGGAGCAGACGAAAAGAGCAAAGCTGGCGCTGAAGGCGACGAAGCTGGTCGAGTTGATGATGGTCTCGGGCATTCCGACTGCCTCCGGCTACGAGGAGCGCATTCGCTTCTCCGAGATGGAAGTAGTCGATCGGGGAGCCAATGAGCAAGGGTTGGTGGTGAATGTGCCCGAAGGACATAGGATCAATGGCTGGGACGTTAATGTCGCAGGTGTGCGGATGGTCAGTGTCAAGAGACATGTGCGACACCACAGGCACGCCGAGTTCATTCTCCGCGTGAAGCACAACGACGAGCGTGAGATATACGTGGCACGGCGATTCGGCGACTTTGCGCGGATGCATAAGAAGCTCCGATTGGAATTGCCTGGCAAGGTACTGCCACCGCTGCCCCGGAAGAACATGGCACAGTCAATCTACAGCGGCCGCGATGATGAGGATACGGATAGTGTCTCTTCCTTGTCTACTCAGGGTACTGGGACACCTGTTAATGCAGAGCCCACCGATGCGTCTGCGAGCAACGGTGGCGGTTTCCGCGCCTATTTATCGTCCTGGACTGGAGGATCAAGTAACAGCGCTCGACACGGACGTAACACATCTCGGTCTTCCCTGACTGCCCCTTCAGTCTCTCCTCGCGCGTCGTTCGATTCCACCAGCAAAGGCCCCATAGCCCCTTCGGTTAGGGAGAAGCCTCCCGACACCGTTCTCCACCGCGAAGAGCAGCGTGTATCGCTCCGAGCGTTCTTGCGTAATTTCTTACACAATGAAGCAATTGCGAACTCCAAGGCAATGACTGACTTTCTAACAAGCGACCCAATCTCGCTGACCGACGAAGAGGTGCAAGACATTGAACGACGTCGGGACATGGACGAGAAGCGGCTGGAAGAGCAACGACAATTCTTCAACGTGGCCAGAGAGCGTGCTCGTGAACTGGACGTGCACATGGAGAAATTCAGAAGAAGCGTTGTCGAGAGAAATGGACTGCGCAATCTGTTCTCGGAAATCAAGAAGAAGGAGAAGATTGCAGACCTGGATCCTGAGTACAAAAAGTTCGCAGAATGGCTTCGCATCGAAGTTGCCGCAACGCTTTACCACCTCTTCCTGGCAGAAGACAATTCACCAGAGCTCTTCGCGCAGTTCAAACGCATACACAGCCTTGTTCCTTATTCTGCGCTCAAGCAGGTCATTCGCTTCACGAACCCAGCGGCCGTCATGGCTAGCATCCTCGATATCTTCATGGCACAGCCGCTGGGGGCCAAGTCACTCTTGCAACGAATTTTCGGTCTGGCACTCGGCGATGGTATCCGCAGTCTGCAGAGGTCGATCGACGGTCTCACCACTAAGATCGATGAGCCCGATTACACTGAGAAGATCAAGAACTACATTGAGTCATACGAGGAGATCAAGGATACTATTCGCAAAGAGGCTAGAGAAGAGCAAGTTGATCTCTTGGTCAAAGTGCTACAGTGCGAAGAAACCGAGCCTCGTCTGACGAGCGAACAAATTGGCCGCGCATTCAATGCATATGTTGCATGGGAGAACGCTGTCGAGAACGTGGACGAAGAGATGCGACAGGGCGCCGAGCTATTTGCACGACTGAAACAGCTCTTAAAGTTATACACCCGGCAGAGAGACAAGAAGAAGATGTTGGAAATGGTGGAGGAACCCAACACACTTCGTCTGTTCCGAGATCTGTTCACAATCTTTTACGAGCCCCTTGTGCGAGTGTACAAGAGCGCCAACGTGTACAACAGCGTCACCGATTTCGCTCGATTCGCAGACGACGCCATCCAGACCATTGAACGTGCACAGCGACAGGATGTCTCCGCCGATCCGAACCAAACTGTACAGAGCTTCATCGATCTCTGCGAACGACACGAGGACGACCTCTACAAGTTCATTCACGAAGTCCATATCCATGACAACGGGTTGTTCGACAAGCTGATGACCTGGATAGAGGGCATTCTGGACTTCCTCAGGAATGGACCCAAGGGCGGAAAGCTGGACATGAACGCGCTCTTTCAAGGCGGACTTGAAATGAAGCAAGTCGACAAGGAACTTGCCCTTCGCGAGATCAACAGTCTCATCAAGTGGCAGACCGCACGCAAGCGATGGCACTCGGACAAGACACGGCAGAAGATGGCGTCGGGTGGGCAGGAAGCGGACGAGCTCGGGGCACTCGCATCGACTTTCAAACCGAGCGATTTCGGGCTCGATGCCCAAGACCTGCAGGACATGTCGCTCGAGGACGACGAAGACGATGAGTCGGATTCGAATGATGAAGACGAGGCAGATCCGATTGCGGCCGAGAGGAAACGGAGACAGAAGAGGCAGGATGTGCTGAAGAGGACGGCGGGGGAGCCTCTGAAGCCGCCTATTTCGGAGATTTACAAGATGATGCCGCAGTTCTTGGCTATGCTGAGGATGGTGTTGGCGGAGTAGAATGTGGATGGTTGGTCATCTCTACGCGATGCGATGGCAATGCATTGCATTGATGACTCGGGCGGGAGGCGTTGCGATGGATTCGTGTTACAAGTAAGTCGTCATTCTCATGCGCCTAATCAGCGACATGGATAGCGTTTTGCTGGCGTTGAATAGAACGAAGGAAGTGTGTGTGCTTTGCGTAGATATCATACGCACAAGGGGTGCCTGCCATTAGAACGGATTGAAATTATTATTGAAAAGAAGTTTTGGAGTGTGGTGGGTGTCGCCACCAACTCCCGCCAAGAAACACCATCTCCTTCTGCTGCTCAATACCATCCGTGTCCCTCTTCTCCCAGCTTCTTGTTGGAAGGGTTCAGACTGATGAGCCGTTGGCCCGGAATCTCGCCGTTGATGTTGGACTCGAAGATGCCTCCGATGGCTCGTCGACCGATGTTCGTAAAGCTGTTGTAGCTTCCTCCTCCCTCCGCTGCGGCATTGGAGCGGCCGTTGATGGCCGTCCATTCGGGGGACGTGTACGGGCTGCTGCCATCGCCCAGGTCCGTCCAGCGCGTGACGACGAGCGCATGCTTGAAGGGCGTGACCTTGTCGGTCGTGTCCTCGACCATCTGGACCTCGACCAGATACTCCGTCGGGCATTCCGGACATCGCCGCGCGGGCCGGCACTCGTCGCAGCCGCGCACGATGAAGTCGGGATTGGCGGCGGCGCGGGAGAGTTTGAAGGATCGCTGCATCTGTTTGTGGTAGGGATCCGGGGGTGCGGGGACGTGGGACATCATGCATTTGCAAATCTTCGTCAGGTCGCCGTCGCGCCAGTGCGCGCAGACGGAGAAGAAGGGCGTGTGTTCCTCGCGGTCGTAGAGGATGTGGCGCTCGGCGGTCTCGGTGAGGTTTGTGGCCGGCGGGGTGTAGACCTGCGAGACGACGCGCATTAGCAGACGGCCGTCGTGGACCATGAAGCGTGTCCGGTGCGTCCAGCCGGTGTCTTTGCACTTCCATTTCCGGGCGAGTGTAGAGTGGTCGACGCCGTACGCTGCGCCGTACTCTGCGTGTCGGAGCGCCAGTTGGACGAAGGGGTAGATCAGCGTGCGTCCATAAGTCACGCGCATGCGCGGGAGTACCGTGGCCCTCACTCGGGGGCAATTGAAGACGGGGTACGTGACGTATTCAATCATCTTCATCACTTCCTTGCCGGGCTGGAGTCTCCGGTGGTACTTGGCGCACGGGAAACATAGCAGGTGGTCCGGCATCTGTCTATCGAAAGACAGAAGGAACTTGATCTTCAGGTGCTGGTTTTCGGGCTCGTTCAGCGCGTCAAAGGGTACCATGCCCAACTTCCGGTAGAGAGTCTTCTTGGAGAGGGCCAGGTTGGCGGCATCCACGGGATCCAGAAACGAGGCAATCCGCTTCCATAGCTCGTCTGGGAGGGAGGATATGCGATTCTCGTCCTTTTCGGAAATGTACACGGTGAAATTACGCTTGCGGAGTTTGTCAGAGGAAAAGTAGGGGTCGCGGAGCTCGTCGAGCATGTGAGGCTTGTCCAGCAGGGAATCGAAGGAGTCGTGATGCGCCAGCCGATGCATCATATCGCCGTGATCTTTCTCTCTCCTGGAGGTCGTGCCCCGTTGGTCGTCAAAGATTGCATATTCGCTGCGCTCTCCCAACTCATTGGTCTTGGGAGCGGCCGGGGCATTCTTGAGATTCCTCTTTCGCAATTTGGCGCCCTCCTTCTTGCGCTTCTCGGCCACGGCAGCTTCGGAGTATTGCTTGTCGGACCTCAGTCGCCTGCCGAGTCCAGTGACAAGTCTAGTAGACCAGCTGTTGGGGTTTGCTGGCCGGTTCAACTCCATTGCAAGCCAGGGAAACAGTGTAAACAGTGCGCTTCTCCCTTTCAGCCAGCAGGCAAATCCAGATCAAAATGTTCGAGGTAACGGAAGAGGACCATATCCACGCGGAAAGGGAGCTACGAGATGTGTAGCGATGACATTGTGAGCATGTGAAAAAGTGGAGCGGACCTGAGTGATCATGGATGCTCGCGGAAGGCTGCAGCGCCTGCAGCAGCAGCTCACGTCATTTCCGGTTGGCGCCGAGATTACATTTTGTACTCTTCACCAACAACACCACCATACCTTAGACTCGACCGGGCTATGAGTCCGCCCATACATCTCTTCGGAACGCGCTGTACATTCCTACACGCGCCCTCGCGCATTAATTACTTACTTACAAGGGTATCATAGTGCTCGCTCGTCGAACTGCCCACCTGGCTCATCATGCCGTTAAATAAGTCGTACTGGGATGCAGCACCGTCCCTTCTTCAGTCATGCTTTGGAGTCGTACGGCGTTTCCTGCCCACAATACAATCGGCACACCATACCATGGATGCAACCAACATCAGACCAGTCGCTACCCACGTAATGACCAGGAATTTGCTGCCATGATCCGCCGAGATGCCAATCTTTTCGCCGTGCTCGTTGATGACTTCGGTGCCCTTGACGCCCACGGCACTCGCAATGGCACTCGCGATGCCCACCACCACAAACGCCAACCAATCGACCACGACATTGACCAAGGCACTCAGCCGGCCGTCGAGGAAGAAGCTAATGCAGGCCAGGATGAGCGCGACGCCGACGAGACCGAGAGAAATGCAGTAGAGCACGAACGTCGCCCGTGCCGCGAGTCGCAGGGCCCGGATGCCGTTGGTGATGTCTTTCGGCCAGTCGAGATTGCGCTCCAGGTCGATATAGCCGTGTCCGCTGTTATTGAGCTCTTGCTGCAGGATCTCCGCGGGGTCGAAGTTGTACATGGCCGTCTGGTTGCTGCAGGAGGTGACGTTCTTGCGAATCTCGGATTTGGTGAGAGTGCGGTTCGGTAGCGGCGAAGGGGTGTAGTAGCCTTCGCAGTAGTCCATGATGTGGACAGAGTAAAAATCATGAAGCCCGAGCTCTTTCGCCAGCGAGGTAATGGCATTTTCGACATCCGATTCAAGAGATTCGGGGACGATATGGAGGATACTGGATTCGAGTCAGCGCTGCCATTGTCGAAGACTCGAGGAATCCTTACGAGGAGATCTCGCTCGAGAGCCCGTTGCCGGGAGAGGTCAGGTCCTTCAAGACATTCTGCCCTATGCGGGAGGTATTGAGCGTGAGAATCGCATAGTCTTCCATGAAGCCCTTGTCATTGCCGGCAAACAGGCACAGGAAAGTGAGCACCAAGGATGCCGTGCAGAGGAGAATCGGTACGATGGCAGAGGGGCGCATTGTAGGCAAGGTTTTAGGTATGCTACCGTCGTTGCGATCGATGGTGCAGTTACATTCGCACCGCGGCGAGAAGAGTTGGTGTGTGGGTAGTTGCGGTACATGTACCTCGCCTCACGCGCGAGCCTCAGCCTACCTGCGTCGCTTGTACATAAAATAGACAGGAGCCTGACGAATTCGCACATGCGCAATGCGTTACCTGTCTTATGAGGCATGCCCGTGCTTCTGCAAAGCCACAAATGTGCGCAAGACAGGCAGCAAAGAATGCCGATCGATACCGCGACCATCACACCATTCTTGTTGGTGAAGTGAGCCAGGACCAGGATACCAAACCTGTTTTCATCTCGGGCTGTTTCACAATGTGCATGTGGTCGACGCGGAATCTCAGACTTCTCTCAGAAATCAAGCTCCATCATGAGAAAGCATGGCTTTGCAAATTCTGAACATTCTTCTCAGTGGAAGAAAATCAAGACCGCGTCTTGCCTAAACAATTCGCTATGGACGTGTCTCTCAGGTTGACAAGGTGTCCCAGGGAAACTCCAGAGGTCTTCGTTAGAGAGCTTTGATTGCATGCTCAGCCAACCTCAGCACCGGCTCACCAATTTCGCAAATCATAGACTTCGTCGACTCCAAAGTAGAGCTTCCTCAGCGCCTACCATGTCGTTCACTCCGCACATGTCGCTCGCGGTGATCCCTCGCGTTAATGCAACTACTGCCACTGTTCGAGCTTCCGTCCTCTACCTCCACGCTGGCACTGCGCCTCTCCTCGATGTGGTACGGTCCCGTGCCATCGACTCGCTGCCTCTCGGTCTCTTCGAGGAGTTTCTCCCTAGAAGGAGACTCGCTCAAAACGCGGGCAAATGCCTTCACGTTGCTCGGCAATGTACTTTGTGCTGTCGCCGTCTCGCTGGATCCAGACGGCCGCCGTGGTGGTCTTGGAGTTGATTCGTCGTCTGTATTAGGAGCCGGTCGATATCCGCGCTGCCGAGAGCGTATGGTGTCCTTCTCGTAGTAATAGCCATTCTGATCAGCAGGATCGCGGCTTCGTGGACGGCCCCTACGCTCGTACTCAACGGTGTAATCCTCATGTTTGCTGATAGAGCGGTCGTCTCTTGGTAGCTTAGCCTGACCTAAGCTTCGGAACTCAGACGAGTTGGCGTCACTGTTCGGCGGTGTTGGGGATATGTCAACTTTGTTAGAGAAGCGCACTCGACTAGAGGCATCACTTGGCCGTCGCGTCGCAGGATGTGTGTGAGCCCTCTGCGGCTCGTTTGCAGGGGCATCACCTTCAGGAATCCTTCGCCGATGGAGATATTCTCGCGTCTCACGGTAGTAATCACCCTTCTCGTCGTCGAAACGCTTCGCAAGCGGCCGATCCGCTGGCCGTACAACTCGCTTGACGTAGTAATACTCGCTATCATCATCGCGCGGAGCTCGCACTTCGTCTGGACTGTTGCAGTTTCTCGACGTATGACGGCTGGGTGATGGCATTTGGAGAGGCATGCTCTGGCCATCTCGTGGATATGGCGGCTTTCGCGGCTGCGAACCTCTGGCTTGCTGCTCTGTTGTGGATTTAGCCCGGATCTCAGCAACTGCATTTCGATTGCGCACTGCAGTTGGGGAGGATAGTAGAGCGCCCTCATTGCCGGTGGATCTGGACCGCCCCTGCAAATGTGAAGCACGAGAGTCACGGGTTTGTTCTTCTTTGGCCAGCTGTTCGATGACATGAACAGGACGGAAGTCGGTAGAGCGGCCATCAGCTACAGGAGCCGGCTCTTCATATCTCCAGTATTCTGTATCTTTCCATGTACTAGAGCGTCCAACTGTCGAGGATCTTTCATCGCTGTGATTTGGATTCCTACGAATTCCCGATTCGTGTTGTGACTCGGAACGCACCTTCGATTGGTCCGCCGATACAGCAAGTCGCACATCGGGATGCTCCCAATCGTCGACTACTTCGACGACCTCATACTTGCGAGGCTTACGTTCAGCCAGAGTCGGCGGCCCGGATGACTGCGCCTCAACTTCCTCTACACGGTACTGGCGTGATTGCGTTGTCGACGGCCATCTGGTCTTTTCTGAGGCAGAGCTGGATGGAGGCCGAGGACTCTCATGTCGGAGAGGACCATCTTGCATTCGTAGGTGCTGTGTGCTCTTATGTCTGTCCTCCTCATCCTCTTTAGTGGCAGTGGCTTCCTTCATCTCCTTCAACTCCTTCATCTTCTTCATGTCCACTTGAGTGGTGGTAAGAGCGAAAGCAGAATCTTTGCCAGGTCCCTGTGGCTCTGATGTGTGCTTCCAGGGCATGTAGTGAGCGCGGTCTTCCTGCAACTCAATACGTCGTTCCACAGGTACCCGCTCTCTGGTAAACATGGGAACCAATCTTCCATGTGCATATGGTTGACGGTGAGCATCCATTCGGCGCTCGGCCTGTCTATAACGTTCAACCTCATCTCGGGCCAGTCTCCGGATCTCAGACTCACTACGCTCTGACTGTGCCGGTATCCCGAGGGCTGCTGTATTGCAGTAGGACGATTGATGTTTGCATTTGACAGATTTCGATGCCTGTGTGGAGACTGATGCTGCGTTACTATCGATCTTCCGAACGTCAGTGGAAGTGTCGGTCCGTCGCCGCGGTGGAGGTGGCACGCCGTGTTGAAGATCCAGTTTACTCGATCTCTCACTTTCGCTCTGGTAAGATGTCGAACGACTGCCAGCTGGCTTTTCTGCCGACTTTGCTCTTGAGGCTTCGCGCAGCGGCGGAGGGGGCACAGCAATGTGAATGTGACGATGAATCACTTCAGTTTTATCACTCGGTTTTGGTTCCTTTGGCGGCAAAGGCTCGAGCTCTCGCCACTCACTGCGACTCCATTCGTAATCTGATTGTTTGTCTCTCATCTCCAAATTGCTGATGTATTCTCCGTCTGGTACAAGACACTTGACACCGAGCTTGATCTCATTGCTCTCCGGCCGCTCGATGATCTCAGTGACTGATCGCAGCTCGTCTGCTGGTGAAACGCGGCACCGCCTGCAAATGCTTGGAGGTGGAGGAACACCGTCGATGGGTATCGGGTGATCACGATGATAGCGCGCGCTGCGCGGGCGGAGACATATTCGGCAAATGTGGTATACCGCCAGCGGCTGCAGGTCGCCATCTCGTCGGTCTTGTGAAGATTGGCGCTCCTTGCTCGCGGCCGTGTACGCAGACGCCGCGGTGAACAAATATCTTTCGTCGGTGCCGTCCAGAGTGGGTGGATATTGGCAGATCGAATTCTTCGTTCGCGGCGCTGATGGATGCTCTACGCCGCGGTCGGAGCCAGACGCTGAGGAAGTGATGACTGTCTTGTTGAGCTTTTCGGCTAAGTAGAACTCGGGCAGTGGTGGTGGCGGTATCGCCATGTAGGTATTGCTGGTTGGATTCGCCATGTCAAATGAATGACCGAATGTTGATGTTGGAGGTGGAAATGGAAGAGTGATGTGGCTTCGAAGAAGTCGTTGTTGCAGTGCCGCGATTTCGACGGAAGCACATGCAGGAGCACTCGCGACTGGTCCAAGCTCTTCCACCACGAATTAGGAAGCAGCGCGGCGTTGAAGTTGGTGCACTTCCAGATGTCGAGTGCGGACTGAGGTAGAAGCTGAGATGATCGCCTCAGTATTTGCGCGTGATGATGAAGGCTCTTTGTAAGAGACTGGTGACTTACAAACATCCGCCGCATTCATTCAGATCGGCGCTAACGCCTTTACCCACTGCAGGTGCAACTGCAGCGCTACTCTCAGGTGGCGTTACTTACTGGCTGTCTTCCGTATCATCAACGAGGCTTAAAGGGAGAGGGAGACCGAGTCACTAATTCTTCCAGAGTTCAGATAGTTCAGCTTGACAACTCGGGTTGAAGGGCCATTGATGCTTTCGTTGGCCCCCACACGAACAAGGCCGTCCATGGCCAAGACGAGAATCCTCCAATGGCTATGCACGTCTTTTTGAAACGCGACGTATGTCCGCAGTCCTATAATTGCGATATCAGAGGTTTGCGACACGATGGCTCATTTGTACTATGCCTCCTATTCGGCCACGATGGCTTCGAAGTTGGTTCGATACAAATCCAGTGCTGCTGTACTGTGTAGGTCGTCTCGCCATACGCATCTTGAAAGCCTGTTGCATTGCAGTATTCTAATCATTCCCCAATAACGTAGGTACAGCCTTCCTCGCCCATCCACACCTCGTGTCGTCTGTTCGCATTGACTGCAGTATTCAGCCGAGTCAGCTCTGGTTGCTGTGCAGACCGGCCTCACTGCTGAGAGCTCACCATCTACTCGAGCACCTGGTCCAAACGTCTCTTTCTGGGGATCCGTCTCGTCGGGATAGGAAATGGTGAGCTGCCCGCGCAGGATAAGATGAGTTGTTAAGCCCGTATGGCGGTGCGGCGAGTAGTACGCATGCGGGCCGTCAGTCCACGTAAAGATGTGCCGAAAGCCCCAGGAGGCCACCTCCTTCTCAGCTTCCGCGCGAGTCTTGGGAGTCATAGCGTGTGCAGCAAATGGCGATGGGCGGGTGGGAACATGTCCAACACCAATGTCCAATACCAATGTCGATGGATGGTGAAGTCGGGGATGGAGGTGTGGTCTCTCCGCTCTACGTCATAAGTCAACATAATGTAGTCCTCCGTACCGGCGCGGCTCCCGTCGATATGACCTCCCGGTCGTCCCTGCCTCAAGTACTCCCGTCGCGTCTATCCTGCGCTCCTGCCCGATGGAAATAGCCAAGGTACGGTGTCGGCTTGTTGCCTTCCATTTGCAGGCGGCAGTGACTTCCAACTTTTTTTCTTCCTGGCAAGGCAGGCACGAGCGACTCAGCGGAAGCATGCCACCAGCTGCGGTTGGCGGTGAAACCACTGCAGCGTTCCGTGGTCTGCGCTTTTCAGCTGCTCGGCTGCGCAGCAGTTCGCATTCACCTTCACCTTCACCTTAACATGCCCTCAACCTGAGCATTTCCTTGATATCATCTTGCCCTCTGCTGCTCTTCAATCTCCTTCCAATTCTTCCTTTCTCACGTACAGTACACGAGCAAGAACTAGCCGTCCGGCCCAGGCAGACCGACTGGGTGCATCTCATCATCAGCCATGGATGTTCCGCACACTCTCGCAGACCCCGTCCGGAAACACGCCAAGCAGGCATTCGACCGCGATCCCAAAGTAGCCACAAACTTCGAGCAGTTCCTGGAGAGACTCCTGGATCCAGCCTCGTCGGCGGCATTGCCCATCAAAGTCGATCTTGAGCACCCTCTGAGCAGCTACTTCATATCCACGAGCCACAATACTTACCTGTCTGGCAACCAGCTATGGGGGAAATCCACCACCGACGCGTACAAGAACGTTTTGAAACGTGGCTGCCGATGTATCGAAGTCGACATATGGGACGGCGACTCGCCTTCTTCCTCCGGGGCTGAAGACGAAGCCGATGATTCCCATGATGTGGGCAAGTTGTCCAGCCTGCTCAAAAAGGGGCTAAGCAGGATACGCTCTCACTCAAACCCCGATAAGCCACAGGAGGACTCGCCTGCGAGCACCCAGACTTTGATGCCCACACCTTGGCGGACCGAATCTGGCCGAGATGAGCCAGTGGTCTATCACGGGCACACTGCCACCAGCGAGATGCCTTTCCGAAAGGTATGCGAAGTTGTTCGAGAGTACGCATTTCGAACGAGTAACCTGCCACTCATCGTTTCCTTGGAACTTCATTGCAGCCCGCCCCAACAGGAGATGGTCGCACAGCTCATGACCGATTACTGGGGCGAATTCCTCTTTCAGCTACCGAAGGACTTTTCCGATTCCACGCCGCTCCCGCCGCTGTCGACACTGAAGAACAAAATCCTAGTAAAGGTCAAATACACTCCACCCGAAAAGGCCACCAAGGCCGACAAGAAACCGTCGAAGCGGACTGATGATCCAGAAGCTACCGAAGAAGAAGACAGTACCAAAGCAAATCAGACGGAAACGGTTGTAGAGAAGCTCTCTAACATGGGTATATTTACTCGAGCCTTCCACTTCAGCAGTTTTGACCAGCCTGAAGCACAAATTCCTACACACGTGTTTTCACTATCGGAATCGAAACTGCTAGAGTGCTGCAGAGAACAGCCAGACGAGCTCTTTGACCATAACCTACAATATTTAATGCGGGCCTATCCAAAAAGCACACGAGTAACGTCCTCGAATTTGGACCCGGCTCCGCTCTGGTAAGCTAAGCTGGCTACTTGAATCTCCATCAATACGCAACTGACGCGAAATGGTTTGTTCTCGTAGGCGTTTCGGCATCCAGATGGTAAGTACTACCCATTCCTCCAATTGACGTTTCAAGCCGATATACTCACGACATACAGGTCGCGCTCAATTATCAGAAGGTCTGTCAGACTTGGACACCTTATAACTTGTGCTAACAAAGAGCAGCTTAACGCGGCGATGATGTTGAACACAGCTCAATTCGAGGACTCGGATGGCTGGATCCTCAAGCCTCAAGGCTATCTTCCTACCAAGGGCAAGCAATCATGTGCTGCGACGCGAGTGACCATGGACCTTTCCGTCAAGATTTTCGCTGGACAGCATCTGGGAGCCGATCACGACATTCCCAATGCATACGTAAAATGTGAGCTGCACGTAGAAAGTAAAGCCGAAGCGAAGGATGGCCAAATTCCCAATGGCGGAAAGAACAAGGGTGGTGAATGGAAACGCCAGACTGCTGTGCGGCACGGTCGCGATCCAGATTTTGGGGCAGCAAAGCTCGAATTCAAGGGCGTGCAGCAAGTGGTCCCAGAGATGAGTTTCTTACGGTACGTACCCATTCACTCTTCTTTGCTTATGTGTTGGCCACGAAAACCGCTGGCGTGTAGGCCAATGCTTTACTGGTCTCCGTCATGATCATGAGAGCTCGCGCTTGGTTGTGCGCTCGCGAAGCAGGCATTGCGTTGCACGCTGTCGATGAGGTGGCTACTGCGTCCTCGTTGCTGGCAAAGAGAATGAAGCACAAAACCGGAACACGGCTGGTGACACGGAAAGCGTTGAGATCCAATGTGGTCTTGCTCGATGGTCTTGCACCTCCAGCTACGCTCTTTAGTGACAGCGAATACCGAGCAAACGGCAATCGGTGCTCGTGCTTAGCGCGCACATACCCCAAGCAACACGTACCGTTGCACTGCCGGTCGCACTGCGTTGGCGCTTCCGGGGAGCACAGCGTCCTTGGCCACACCGAAGTGGACGTTGAGCACGTGCGCTGACTTTTGCTGCTGCAGGTTGAAGGTCATGGACGATGCCTTGGCCCAGAAGGATCGCATGCTTGGATGGATCTGTTACCGGCTTGACAGATTGCCGCGAGGTCTGTTGCTTCTTCATCTGCGTGGAGAGGATTCGAAAGCCACGGATGGCAAGCTCCTCATCGAGGTCGAGACACAGATCGAGCGCTGCGCTCCTTCGGCGAAGGCTGCATGATCGAAAGGCACTCGTGCTACCGTGATCAAACCGCTCCACCACAACAATCGGGATCAAGCCCGGGCTGGCGGTGCTCTATTGCACAAGTCGAAATCGCTAAAATGGAAGTCACCTGAGCGATTGCTTGCGGCTTCCTGCTATACGCTACGGACCGATTCCGATTCAAGGACAGCACGGAGAGAATGCTCTTCCATTAGATCTGCCGACATCTCCCGTTTCCCGTGTGCAGTGAAGAGATTTTTGCTTCTACGTTTCTGACAACAACGTGATCCTGGGAGAAAGAAGTCATCGCTGAAGCGAGGCGAGGCGAAGCACGCAAGGAAATGCTTTTCCATTCCCTGCTTTGTCCCAGGCTCTTGACTATCATGCACTCTGTTGCCGGCATTTGGCAGATCTATCCAGCCTCTCTGATGGGGATCGCTGTCATATCCATCATCCCTGCTTGGTCTCCCTGGCCTACGGTGCTCGCGTGGCGGAATCGTTGGAACTACGAGTGCATTCGTGCTTTCTCTCATCAAATCATGGCAGTACAAATGCCGCGCAGAAAGCACACCGCTAGTAGGACACGGAGCGCTGCCAAAGCACCAAGCAGAAAGCGGTTGTGCTACCCGGCACTGCTATTGTATTTTAGAATTTGTGACACTGTCGTCGTTTTGTTGACACCGACACAGCAGAGGCATTCTCGACAGTCGGTCCCGGTCCGAAGGCGCGCAGTGAAGTCCGGAAGGTCGTGGGTATCCGTCTGCGACTCGGGCGAGCCATGATGAGGCCATTCTCACCCTCGATGGCGTTAAAGCTCATGCGGTGCTGCGTTGGCCGAGAAGAATTATTATTATTGAATGATACACATCGAAGGCACCGCCTTTTTGACATCGAACCCGGTAACTCCCCGGCCAGAATCCGTCAGCCGGGGCCAGGAAGAATGCATAGCCGCGCTGGCCCGCTGCTCACATTGCCGGGGTCGACGGGACTCGGGAGCGTCCTGGTAGTAGCGGCAGCGGACCGCCGGCTGGAGTCAATTTCGACGAGTCGCAAACCACTTCAAACCTTCGTCATCTCCAACAATGCAAGCTTCTGTTCGAAGCACAACACGCACCGAAATGCACGGCCGCGCAAGCCCACCCTGGAGTGGATATCGTGTCAGTCCATGTCATCCCTCCTACGACCTGTTGCGACTCCCACGGGTCCCGGCGAACCCATCCCTGCATCCGCTCCTCAGACCAGGACCTTTATCTATTAGCGAAGGAATACTGTCCTGGCGTTCGGAACCGACGACGGGAGCAAGCATGAGCACCAAGTGCGCCAGACTGCCGACTGCAGAGACTGTACAGCGCGATCGATGGCCATTCATTCGAAAGCCTGAGCTGCTGTGGTCCGCACTCAAATTTCCTCTTTCCTCCCCAGCTTGATTTGAATTCGGGACCGAGTAGGAGGGACAGGGTTTCGCGCAGTCTCAATACGTGAGGGTTTCGCTTGGAGACATCACACAACCTTGTCGGAGGCTTGTCTGTCAAGTCGTTGTTGGGCGCTTCAAACAAAAAAAAAAAAATTGTACAGCTCTGCAGAATGATCTTTTTCGTGCTAGCGTTACAAACTTTCTCGAGACCGGAACCAGGACTTGATGTCGATATCCTTAAGATCCCAATACCTTGGGAACCAAGTCACTGCATATTATAGCTCCCTCACCCGGCTCCCTCACCTTGACACAGCAGTAGTATTTGACACAGGCCAGGCCAATGCTTGACCCCCGGTTCTTGTGCGAGGCACCAATTTCGAAGGATGAGAAGAGGCTATAAAGATCAAGAACCGCTCGACACCTAGATGCTGCCAACTCAGTCTCTCTCCTACGACCGTCTTCTCTCAACTCAGCTCTCTTCGCGGAACTCCTCCAGTCTATCGTGTTCCCACTGGCCCCCTACGAACTCCAACGCACGTCCACTCTACGTCTATCCACCATGACCTACAACCAACAGAGGAACGAGGCACTTCAACGCCTGGGCATTGAACAATTGCCTACGCTCTACGCACCGCCGGAGCACATCGACACTTGCCCGCTCTTTGAGCAAAGCCTCCCGGTTCGACAAATGCCTGTAAGTCAAGTAGTCTGGCAACATCTCATGTCTTCGCTCTGATTGGCAATGTAGGTGCCAGGCCGTCGTTGCCCAAGCTGCCTTGCGCAAGGCAAGACGCAGTGGGTCATCCCCGGAAAGAGATGTCCCAAGTGCGGCACCGAGGTCAACTAGCGATCGGTACCACGGACTACGACCCATCCGAGACAACGAAATGCTGCCGTCTTTCATACGACTGCTTGAGCGTTGTTTGGTCTACGACTTTAGCGCAGGTGCTTTGCGGAGAGATCAACAGAGAACGTTCAAGCGCTTCCTTTTCACATCGGTATATCCATGTCAGGCGTGACACAAAAGCTAGGATTGACGGGAGTTTTGGAAATCGGAACAATTTCTTCTGGTGTCAGGAGTATCATCACAAGGCAGATGGATGTTGGTTTCTTTGCTCTGGGAATTTTTACAATCTCTTGTATGATTTTGGCCTTCTTGTGGCAGTATTCGGATGGGAGATATGCATGGGTAAACGAAAGTGAGAATAGAGACGGCCGTTAATGTGACTCTAGTTGACCTTCCACTCTGATCCTTCTCCGTCCTCTCCAGTCAATCTAGAAACTTTGATGGATCTGTAGGTGCATTCGAGCGCGTCGCTCCAGTCTCGCTCACGCACATAGTCATCACTGAGTACGTGACCCTCAACGCGATTCATGCAGTTGGAACCAAGAGGGAGTCCAGTCGTGGCACGAATTTCGAAGTCATCGGCTTCACAAAACAGACGCAGCCGAAACCCGAACTCCCAAACATCCCACGGATTCTACAAGAACCGCCAAAAGCTTTCGTCATCCATTGCAATGCTTCTTCATTCATCATCTCACATCAATGCCTAATAGTGGCACACGATCTTTATGAGTTGCAATGTGCCGCCTCTCTCTCTCTCTGAATTGCGGCCGGCTTGCATCGCCATCCCCGCCCTTCCTGCGTGCTCATGCACGCCACAACCGCCGAGCCTCGTGTTATTGACGTGTAGGATTTTTCCCTCCGTCACCACCCCTGCCAGACTACCGGTCCGTTGCAGCTGAGATAGATCAAGTGACCGGAAAACGCATGCGGGCTCTTCTGCTCCCGGACGAACTGTGGGCCGGACGGGAAAATCTGAATGTTGTGTACCGTGAAAGGATGGATCCCACTGTGGATCGATCCCCCGACTCCCCTCCCCTGCGCTTCGCGATCGACGCGCTCGGGTACGGGGACATTGCTGGTCGTGGTCGTCGTTCATTTCGGAGTCTCATCAAGACTTGTCCGCAAATGTACAGAAGTCTGCGTTTGGTCGTCGTCATGTGACGTCGGGAGATATCACTCGATTGGGACGCATGCCACCGACAGAAAGGAGGAAGGAGAGAGATGTGGTTCTTGCGCAGAGGGCACGGACGCCCAGGCTTTCCCCGGAAGGGAAATCACAGTCAGCTCGGGAACTGCATGTGAAAGCTATGGATTAGCTCTATGGCATCCGCCGTCAGAATCGATGCATTATGTGAATGTGTCTTTCTTGTGATAAAGTAGAGTATGCGTGATATATGCTTATAAGCGATTGTGAGATTGGCTAGGCCTAGCAATTCGGCTCCGACCAAGGCAACATAGGAGTCGAACTACAGCAAAGTGGCGTCAGTGCCAGCCCGAGACACCTTCTCCACGCTACACCACGCTCTACCCCAATCGCCATAGATCAGGGCCCTCTTTACTTGTGCTACCCATTCGACATCTCCCTCTCCTTCTTTTCTCTGTGCAACGACAACACGCCTTCCCCCACTAGGTAATGATCCATCATAGACAACATCATCGTAGAGCTCCCATGACGTAACCACTAAATCACAACGGCATCAAAACAGCAGCCAGCACCAAATGAACGGAGCGCTGTGTTTGCAGTAATTCCGCTCTCTCCTTGCCATCATGTCTTTTCAACTCGCAAGACATCTGTTCCGTGCCACCCGCAGAACCACACAAGCGACCCAGATCCGAAAACTAAGCTACAACACGAGAAAGATGGCTCAGCCAACTCCCGCCAGCCAGGCGATTTCGGAGACTGCCAAGCAGGAAGGAGGCCCAAGCCCAGGGAGCACTTCAGCTCAAATGCAGAGTCAAGTTGGCAAGACGCGCAACTTCGAGCAGGCAGCTGAAGAGGTATCCTAGAGGCCGACGCAGTGATCGTGGCGGAGACCGACTGACAGAACTTCTGCAGGTTGGCGCGAAGATGCGGAATGATCCAGCTAGCGTCACTTCGGAGGACGCACGATACCTCAAGTCACGAGAGGCTAGACTTACGGGCCAGTAAGTGTCTGGAGAATCTTCTGTTTGAAGCAGCAAAAGGAAGGTACTCACATCACCCTCCACAGGAACCAGCCACCGTCAGATTCCATAAGCGCCGACGCTGAGCGCCTCGCCTCTGCCAACGAGGGCGCCACCAAGCAATCCAATCCCAAGGCCGACCTCGATCCAGCTGGGCAATCGGCAGCCGACCGTCTCCAGAATTTCGAAAACGCAGCGGAGGATGTTGCACCAAAGATGGCCACGGACCCAGAGCACGTCACCAAGTAAGTATTGTCCCCATTTTTACATTTTGCAGTCCATTTACTCATTCTTTCCCAGGGAGGAAGCAGATCTCTTGCACAGGTAAGTCCCAAAGGCTAAAATCCTCGCCAATGCATTACTCGTACCCAATCGTCAGCCAACGGCCCCGTCGTCTTTCTCGCTTCGCATTGCCCGAGACGTCAATTTATCTGCTAACTGTTTGGGTGCGGCAGCCGCGAGCAGCGAGCCTTTGGTCAGACCTCCAAGGGTGGCGTCGCCTCTCAGGCGCAGAGTCTCGCAGCCGAGAACGAGCAGAAGGGAAATGTCTGAGCTTTCATAGCGATGAATAGCCACGCATCCACATGGTCCAACTGCACCACATCGCGTTGAGTCTTGCGTTGCTTAAGTTTATAATAAGCGGAAGCATCAACGACGTCTTGAAAGAGCTGCTAGCACGTAATATCTGAAAGAGCGGAATTCACGACGTCTTGCACGAGCTGCTAGCATGTAATATCAGAAAGAGCGAAATCCACCAGATTTGGAAACCGCACCACCCATACCTTTTCTGATGATCCAAAATTCGAAGCTGAAGACGAACTTGAGTTGACGGTGAATCTTGCACATGCGTTCATCTCCTCGTGGCCTACTTAAAAGCCCCGTGTAGTGTTTATGATACATAGCTCTATTGGCGAGCTGTCGTCGAAAAGCAACAAACGCCGCGCTGCAAAATGTGGTCGGAAGGTACTGCCTAATTATACTGCGCATATGCCGCGGTAGAGTTGAACTTTAGTCCACCTCGGATGACCTTCTCCACAGCGCTGAGGAAGTCTTTCTCGCTGGCGACCTTTCTCCGAGCACGGATGGCAAACATTCCAGCCTCTGTAGCGACGGAGCGTAGTTCTGCACCAGTCGAGTTCGGGCACAGACGCGAGATGAGTTCCCATCTGATGTCACGCTCCACAGACATGGACTTCGCGTGGATACGGAGGATGTTGGCCCGTCCTTCCATGTCCGGCAGGGCAAACTCGATCTTGCGGTCTATTCGTCCAGGTCTCATGAGAGCTGGGTCGAGCGTGCTAGGTCTGTTCGTTGCGAACATGACCTTGATGTTGCCTCTGCTGTCGAAGCCGTCAAGCTGAGTGATGAGCTCTAACATCGTCCGCTGGACCTCGTTGTCTCCACCGGCACCATCATCGAAACGTGCCCCGCCAACAGCATCGATTTCGTCGAAGAAAATAATGCAGGCCTTCTTTGTGCGCGCCATCTCGAACAGCTCTCGGACCATGCGGGCTCCCTCTCCGACGTATTTCTGTACCAATTCGGATCCGATAACACGAATGAAGGTCGCATCTGTCCTGTTTGCAACCGCTCTGGCGCAAAGAGTCTTGCCGGTACCCGGTGGACCATACAGTAGCGCACCCTTGGGCGGGTCAATACCCAGATTGACGAAACGTTCCGGTGACAGCAGCGGCATTTCTACCACCTCTCGTAGCTTCTCGATCTGCTCTTTGCATCCTCCGACGTCTCCGTATGTGACATCTGGCTTGTCCTCGACAGTCATCATGGTAACGCTCGGATCGATCTTCGGTGGCAGAGGCAGCATGATCTGGTACTTGTTGCGGTCGACACCGACACGCATTCCCTCCTCAATATCCGTGGGACTCACCCGCTCGCCCAGGTTGACCACAAACTTGGCGATCTGCTTGACATTTATGACATACTTGCTCTTCTCGCTGTCCTTCTCGTCCGGGATGATCTTGGTACATCTTGCCACCTGTAGCGGTTGTTCTTCACTCATGCGTTGTCGGTCGGCTGCGATATCCCAAAGATGTGGTGGCGCGAGACCTGTGTCTGATTCCTTGACGCCTATTTTCTCGTTGACGGACGTCTGCTTGTCCTTGATGGACTTCTCGAGCTGTTTCAGGGCGGTGGCATATGGGGCTGAGTTGTATGTCTTGAGCACCTGGATATCCCTAAAGATCCGTCAGCCTCGTTCTTTCATCAGCAGCGCAACATTAGCATACTCGTCCGAAAGCGGTGTGATCTTCTTCTCCTCCTGCTCATCGTCGGCGAACTTCTTCTGGTATTTCTCCCAATTCTGCCCAGTTGCCGAAGGCATGGCTGCTGATATCGACGGTCGTCACACGCGGCGTTTGTTGCGTTGGCAGCTGTTGAGAGTCGAGGCTGACTTTCGTTCCGGAAATATAGCGGGACCGGTATGTGGAGAAAGTCAGATCTGATGAAGTCGAGGACGGTGATGAGGATGGTCGAGTAGTTGTGTGCAGTGGTTGATGTGTTGGTTGCTGGAGAGCTCCGGACGCGGCGTACGGAGGTGACGACGAGCGGATTGGCCCGTGCGCTCACGCTCAGATCTTCTCGACAGCAGGCGCGTTTCTTTGGAAGCTCAAGAATTTGGAAGCTCGCGTCCCCAGAACAATCTTCTGCTCCAACGCCAAATAACCTACTTCCCACAGAACGACACACGCCGAGTAAGAAAGAATTCGCACTATTAGATTGCCTGAGAAATTTCCAACATGGCGCAAGGAGCGCCTGCAAACGCGGGCAATAATGCCTTCAAGGACAAGTCAAAGCCCCAGGCAGTCAGAGAGGCCAACATCACGGCCGCAAGAGCAGTGGCAGATGCGATCCGAACGTCGCTGGGACCTCGTGGCATGGACAAAATGATCCAGACCGGCAAAGGCGAGACCATCATTACCAACGACGGCAATACCATGCTCAAGGACATGAGCGTGATGCACCCCGCTGCAAAGATGCTGGTCGACTTGGCAAACGCTCAAGACATCGAGGCTGGAGATGGCACAACATCGGTGGTCGTGATTGCAGGTAGCCTGTTGGGTGCAGCGGAGAGGTTACTGGCCAAGGGCATCCATCCGACCATCATCAGCGAGAGCTTCCAGAGAGCGGCAGCACGTGCCGTCCAGATACTGGAAGACATCTCTGTGCCGATCAATCTCGCGGATCGACAGACACTGCTCAAGGCTGCGTCAACTTCGCTATCATCCAAGATCGTTTCACAAGAGCCAAAGCTGGCTCCCATGGCAGTCGACGCCGTGCTCAAGACCATCAATCCTAACAATGCACAGAATGTCGATCTACGCAATGTACGCATTCTGAAGAAAGCAGGAGGTGTCATTGACGATTCAGAGATGGTCGACGGTCTGGTCCTCAGCCAGCAAGCCATAAAGAGTGCAGGAGGCCCAACGCGGATAGAGAAGGCCAAGATTGGGCTCATTCAATTCCAACTCAGCCCACCGAAGCCGGATATGGAGAACCAAATCGTCGTGAACGATTACAGGCAGATGGACAAGATTCTCAAGGAGGAGCGAACCTACCTTCTCAACATGGTCAAGAAGATCAAGAAGGCCAAGTGCAACGTATTGCTCATTCAGAAGAGCATTCTGAGAGATGCCGTGAACGACCTGAGCTTACATTTCCTCTACAAGCTTGGTATCATGTGCATCAAGGACATCGAGAGAGACGAAGTCGAGTTCATCTGCATATCGACAGGCTGCAAGCCCATTGCGGATATTGACTCCTTCACCGAGGACAAGTTGGGCTCCGCTGACTTGGTCGAAGAGGTCTCCGGCCTCGGGTCGCGGTACACGAGAGTCTCTGGCGTCAAGCACCCGAACCCAAATGCACCACGCACCGTCTCGATTGTTGCTCGAGGAGCGAATCCGTTGATTCTGGATGAGGCTGAGCGAAGTCTACACGATGCGATGTGCGTAGTCCGCTGTCTGGTTAAGAAGCGCGCACTCCTGCCGGGAGGTGGCGCACCAGAAATGGCGGTCGCCACACAACTCTCCAAAGATGCCCTCACCTCGCAGTACCCGGACAGCACATGTTTCAAAGCGTTCGCGGACGCACTCGAAATCATTCCAGTTACGCTGGCAGAGAATGCAGGACTCAACAGCATCAAGGTCGTCACTGAATTGAGAGCAAGACAGGCCAAGGGCGAAACCAACGTGGGCGTCAGCATCAAGCGTGGCGGAGTAGGAGTTATGGGCGGCGAGGAGAAGAGCAGTGCGGGCGAAGGTGTCATGCAGCCTCTGCTCGTCAGTACCAGTGCCTTTGAGCTGGCGAGTGAGACTGTCAAGATGATCCTTCGGATCGATGACATTGCTTTGTCAAGATAGCCGGTCGATGTCAACGCATAACGAGGACTGTATGGTTGTGAGAGCGACGAGACGTGAAAGATTACTGTCTGAGCAGAGGTACTCCATATCGCCTGCACGAATGACGGCCCGGCCAACTCCAGAATCGACCGATGCCGACGGCTGTGCAACGCAGTGTTCGGCGTGCCTTCGCGCAGCATCGCCGGCTACGGAGGACGTTCCCAGGCCGAATCGTGCAGTGTACAAAATAATGAGCATCCTTTCATGGACGCAATGAACGGAGAACGAATGTGCACAACGTTCTCCTTTTTCTGTTCACGTGGCACAATCCGTTCATCCGTCAAAGGCGGCGAAGAGCGAGAGGAATGATGTTCCTTAGCTGACTTGTGGCTAGGCAGTGCAATGGCCTCAGGCACCGACTATTTCCCCTTGCACGGCACACGGTCCATGTCACATGCTCCCAAGTTTATGTTTGCCTTGACATTAACATTATTTATTGCCCTGCAGACTTGACGCCAGTAAGCACCGTCCGTCGCCCGGCTGCAGCTGCTTCGCCTCCTCTCCAATGATGGACATAATCGGCATCGGACCACCCATCCGCGCGACCAATTTGCTGGATCACCCTGTCGGAAAGCACCTGGGACGCAATCCTTTCTGAGCGCATTGCGGAATCCGTGGCCCCCGGAAGTCAAATGTTGTACGGTCGGTCCAGTGGCTTGGAAACGTGATGTGGTACATTGGCGTCTGCGAACCGGCCAAAGAACTGCGTCGCCTTCTTCCTCTCAGCGGGGATCAGGCTGTACAGGCCGCGGTTGCATCATCACTGTCTGCAGGTTGCCGACGCAAGTCACTTACAACCATACGAGACACAAGAGGCCTCTGTCTTTCTTGCCATCTGCTGCTGCAATTAAACAAACCCATTCAACCACACATTCGCAGGACAACTCAAAGCAGTGCGACCGCATCCACTTGATTCCGGCTCATTCTAAACTGCAGCACTTCCTGTTCCTTTCGTCCTCTTCTCCTAGCTGCACCTCGGAGGCTGCTTGCCTGCAACATATCCTTCTACTTCCAACATCATCCTTGATGCCCTCCACCTATACTGACAGCATGTACCCGTGTCAGTTTTGTCACCGGACCCATAGCTGACACTTGCCTTCAGCGTTTACCATGTCCGACTTGGAAAACAGCATGAACAATCTCAGCTACGACAGCACAAGGCCGTACGACCAGGCGAATGGAATCGCGGAGATACCTCCCTCGGTCGACCCCAGTCGTCCACCGCAGCGCAACGACGACAACCAGAGCTGCCATTGCGGCTGTCCGTGCTCCAAAGCCGCAGCAGCGAAGGAAGACGTTGACGAGGGCATCCCAGTCCAGATGGCAGCCAGCCAGCGCTCTTTCGATAGCGACGCCAGCACCCTCTGCAGTGACGCCGAAATCGACGGCGACGAAGGCGCCCCCGAGCATCTCATCGAAGTAGGCGACTTCGGCTTCCACTCTCCCGCCGCGATCCACCGCACGCTCGCACGCCAACGACGTTGCACTTGCTTTTGTCCCAGTACGTGAAAGCCTCTCTCATGTGTGTGAAAAGCTTTCGAAATCCACGTCTTCTGAACTCCTTCTTCATAGCTCCTCCGCAGGACTTGTGGTCTATGTCTATGATCGACGATGAAAGCCCCTCCGGCTCTCCGGGCGATTCCATGATCGTCGAAGGCCGGGGTAGTAGCGCAGACCACAGCGACGCCGGCACGGCTTCGTCGGGAGCCTTTGGCTTTTACTCGCGTTCGTCTTCTTCGGTCTTCGCCTTCACGGGCGGCGCTTTCGGCCAGGAGCATCATGTCCTGCAGTCTTTGCTCACTCGGCCCCTGCCGCTGACACCCGATGTCAGATTCGATTACCCGCTTGGACTGAGCATTGCTGCCGGCGAATTTGGTGATTTCAGAGAGTATGACATGTGGTAAAGGAATTTATCTGGTTGTTTTGCCACAGGGGTAGTTTGCGTTGGTCGTGAAGGCTTGTTTGGCGTGGAACAGGGTGTGTGTGTACGGAATTCTGAACGGGTCACGGCAGAAGTGTTTTCAATTGTGCGCTTGACTGCTATGCTATGCAATACTGATGCGCGGGTAGAGCTAAATCTGTACGATCGAAGAGAGAGGAAGGGCTTTAAAAACGCGCTCATGAACGCTCATCTCCCGTCCCTACCCTTCGGACATCACCACCACCGACCTTCGTCTCAACCAATTCCCGATAAATTCTCTTCAACTCACCCACATCACTCCTCAATTCCTCGACCTCCTCCTCCCTCTCGCCAAGCATTTCCAGACTAGCTTCGTACCGTCCCTTGAGCTCCGCGATCTCCTTCTCCAACTCTTCAGTCTTGCTTTCCGATTGCCGTTTGGATTCCATCTCGCGCATCAGTTCTACAACTTGGTTCCGGGCATCATCTCGCTGTGCACTCAAGCGAACGAGCTCATCCTTAAACGAGGCCTTTTCAGATTCGAGCTTCCGCACGAGTGAAGACATTCTCTCGACCAGTTGGACTGAGGGTCCCGCGCCAGGACCTGCAGTAGAAGTGCTGACGAGGTCAGCAATCGTGCGTTGAGGGGAGTTGAAGTCTTCAAAGTCGCCGGCTTCACTGGGCCGGGTGGTATCAACTTCGATTGCAGGAGTGAGTGGATGGTTCGGCGCATCAAAGGAAAACGTGGACTCCCGTCTGCTGATGGAAAGTGAGGCTTCGGTAGGGGTTGCGAGGGCGCGAGAAGATGTAGGCGTTGGCATCACGGAGCTCCGTCGGCTTACCGACCGTGGATCAATGTGTAATGTTGCCAAATCATAGGAGCCCAGGCGTGTCAGAGGCTTGTTGCGGTGAGACATATCTGTTGCGGACGCTTTCCTGGCAAATGTCGCGTTTGACTCTGTGCGAGGAGACCCAGTTCGGTTGGCGCTTGAGCCCAAAGTCTCCCGACGCCATTTGATTTTCTCCTCTTCCAGCCGTTGAGCGAATTCGGCATCCCACAGCTTGCGCTGATTCTCGAACTCTGCCTTTGCATCGGATTGAGAGGCGGATGCCTGATCAAGGTTTGCTCGAAGAAGTTGGAGCTGTTCCTGTTGGCTCCTCAAGTCCTGCTCGAGCTGCTTGATCTTGTCTGTCGAACTCTCCAGTTCCTCTTCAGCTTTTCGTGACTTCGTGCCCACGTCTCGCGCCTTCTTGCGAATGTCACTCTCTCGCTTACTGATCTCATCCCTTTCCTTCTCCAACGCGGCGACTCTTGCATTCAACGAGCCTTCAATGGTCTCCCAGTTCCCCTTCGCGAGTGCGTATTGTTGCTGGAGAGTTTCTACCTGCCTCATGAGTTTCACGCTGCTCTCACCTTCCCCACCAGGACCTGAACTGGCCTCCTCAGCACGAGCCCTCATCGCTTCTAGTCGAGATTCCAGGCCAGAGATCTCATTTTTCGATTCAAGTTCACGCACAGCGAATCGTTCTAGCTGCCGCTGAGCTTCGTCTTTCGCTCTTTTGGCCTCGGCAGCAGCTCTATCTTCTGCGAGCTTCTTCTCAATCTGCGCGTCTTCAAGTTCGTTTTGAAGGTCCGCTATCTTGCCCATGTCGGCCGCGGAAGCTTCGCGGTCGGCCTTTTCAGCCTTCTCCTTCGCCTCTTTTAGCTGTGTCGTGAGGCTGCGCACCAGTTCTGCAGCATTTTTCCGATCCACCTTTAATTCATCAACCTGCTTCTCGATCACAGCAATCTGCTTGGTCTTTTCATTTGCTTGCCGTTCGGCAACCTCGGCCTTCCTCAACTTGATTTTCAGATCAGCTTCCGATCTTTCTGCACGCTCCAGCTTCTTCTTCAAGTCGGCTGTGGACCTCTCGTCTTCCGTTGCTTTTGCGCGTAGCTTTTTGATAGTCTGCAGGTGATGCATTTCGTTCTTACTGAGCTTCTCTCCTTCCTCCATCAACAGGGCAATCTTCTCATCTCTTTTGGCAAGCTGCTCCTCGGGACTGCCAGCCGCTGCAGATGCATTTGCCTCTTTCGCCGCCGCAACTGTCTCCCTTGCCAGATACGTGAGTTTAGCCTGCAGGGCATCGATCCGTTCCAAGTAGGCATGCATTTCATCTTGTCGCTGGATCTCGGCCTTGGCGTGATCCGATTGCATCTGGTCCGTTTCGGCCTGCAGCTCAGTCGAGCTTCTGGTGGTCTGATTGGTACCGTTTGGTGTTTCAATGGAAGGTCTACCAGAGCTTTCTTCACGGATGACATCTGCTGAGGGCCGCGAGCTGTCGATTGATATCCGCGCCGGATTTATAGGTAGCGCTGATGTTGTGAGGGAGCCCGGCTCACTAGAAGACGGTTTGTCTGCATCTTCACCATTGGCCTCCGCATCTTTGTCAACTCTCTCTGCCACTTCTTCCGTCGCATGTTTCTGTATTTCTATGTCGGGTACTGTTCTGGGCAGCTCTCCAGAGCGCTGGCTCTCGCCGCTGGACCTGATCGCATCGTCCACCGGCGTTGATACTCTAGACGGAGTCTTCTGAGCTGTAGCGCGCGCCAATCGTTCCGCAAGTCGATCATTCACTCGTGTTCTCGATGTCTCTCTGGAGCCAGCGTCCGAGGTATTCGAAGGGGTGGCTAGCCTGCCCGAGTTGGATCGCTGTCGATTCGCTTTGGCCGCTTCGAGTGCTGCGCGCTCTTTGGCCGAAGCTTCACTGTCGTCGGCGAGGATGGTGTCGAGACGAGATTCCAGATTCGCGACGAGGTTGGAGAAGCCCCATCCGCCCTTCTTTTGGGCGCTCATGTTGTTTTCCGGATGTCGTGTCCTCTCAGCGGAGCTTATACGCGCGGGAGGTCTTTCTTACGACGCCTCATCGCACGTCGTTCGCTACCGCGCCGCGCTGCAGTACATGACAGTTGTCGATTCCGATGTTGATCACAGACTGCAATTGAGATGGCTGGAAATGTACCGACATGTGATGCAGAGTGAAGGTCGGTTGTAGAACGTGAACGGGCAAGGAACATGGCCCGGTGGACGGTTGAAGTGGAGACTTGGCTCGGCCCTGATGCAGCTGCTGTTCCTGAGAGCTTCACGGCTGTATCCTGATACCAACATCCATCCCCAAAGACCAATCGCACCGAGATATGCGCCGTGCTTTCCGATCAATAATCTACGCTGCAGACCCACCGAACGATTGACCATGTCCTACACCCCGCAGCCGTACTCCATCCCATCCATTGCCTACTCTTCGACCCCGCCGGCACCACCGCCCAAGCCCTCAACTCCCGCAAGAGGCCCTCCTCTGCCACCACCTCCGCCGGGCCAGGCACAGAGTGAACCTTCGGAACTAGACGGCGGCCAGGCATACTACCAGCACCATCAAGCACCTCCTCGACCTTCCCTGCCACCCATAGAAAGCAACTGGCTCCCCGAATCTCTCAAGGACAAATCCACCCAAGATCTCCACCACTTCCTCTCAACCCCCTCTCTCCAGACCGCCTTCATCTCCAACCCTCAGACAACACACCCCGCGGTTCCTGCATCCGAAGCAGCCCTGACTGCTCTCATCAACTCCAACCTCTCCCTCGCCAACTCAACGTTGGAGCTCGAGGCCCGTCTCACGGCGCTTCGTGAAAGGACACAGTCTCGTCTGTTGGCTCTCCGGGCGTTGGAACAGCAGCACAGGACCAAGATTACCGAGACTGAAGACGCATTGAGAGACTTCAGTCCCATGGCCCTATATCAGAGACTCAACTCCAGCGTGCAGGAGCAGGACCTGCTGGTGCGAGGAACAGAGGAGAGTTGGCTAGAAGATGAAGGCATAGCAACGGAAAGGGAGGTCAGTGAGTTCGTGAGAAGGGTCAAGGATGTAAGGAAGGTGGCTTTCTTGCGACGGGAGCGAAAGGGACGCTGGGACGAGGGTCGGGTGGGAGGATGGCGATGAGAAAGGGTTGAATCGATGCTGGAGCAATGATGTCCTGCACAATCAGTCCGAGTCGGGACAATCAACTACTCTAGTCCGCCATGTTTCATGAGCCCGTGCGACGACCCGGCCACCATGTCGACCGATGAGCCAACGTCCTCCACAATGTCCTATGTGCAAGATGGGACTTCAGCACAAGACGAAGCTGGTTTACTGAGAACAAGATAGGTGGAACGAGCACCAGTAAATCACCACCGTGCGGCCTTCCTCTTGAAAGGCTCCCCATCGAAGTCACCGCGGTTCCACCTCCTGATGTCTTCTCCGCAGGACGCCCAGAGCTTTGCGTCCAACGACGCACGCTTCTCGTCTTCCTTGCGCCTCCGCTCAGCTGACGAGGGCGACTTCTGCTTTTGAATACCGAGCCCCTTCCGCTTCTCCGGAGTCGCATATCCAAGCTGGAGAGCACCGGGTGGCCGCTTTGCTGACGCCTGGAAAAGGCCCCGTCCTTTCCGCCGCGGTGAAATGGACCCTTGAAATGTGACGTCCATGAACGTGGAGTCGTCAGCCAGCGGGCTGTCCGTGAGATTGGGCGGCGTTATGTTCGGTGCCCTCAACGCGGCATCGCGACTGCTCTCGGGGATGCTGGCGTTTGAATCATATGTTTGTGTCTGCTTCCGTTTGACAGGGCTTTTTGAGGGACTCTTGCGTGGACTCGGCGGATATTCTCGCTCCATCTCCTCGGACGTGTCCTCATCTTGATCCATGATCAATTCGCCAAGTGGTACTGCAATGCCTCGAGGTCGACGAGGAGTCATTGCGGCCATTGGCGAGCCGGCCTTCGTTGGAGAATTCGATGAATTGTTCTCCTGCTCTGCATCCACCATTTCTTCGTCATCTCCCTCTTCTACCTGCTCCATCGCTTGAGTGCGCTGAGGAGGAGCCTGCGATCCAAACACGTCGTCGTTGCGTGCTTGATATACGAGGGATCCTGCCTGCGCAGCAAGCTGCCGCCGCCGAGCTGCCGGCCCCGTAGGCGTGGTTTCTGCTCTCCGCATGCCTTCCCGCACCTTTGCTATTGTTCTCCTCCGTCGCACAGGAGCTTTCGATATCTGCGCTGCATCGTTGTTCTCTTCATCTTCCTCATTGCTCTCTTGGCCTCTGTTCTGCGCCTCCTGTACCGCCGCGCGCATTGCATGTGGCACGACAGCGTGTATACTTGTCATGAGCTCTGCTCTCCGTGCAAATGCCTCGTAGTCCTCATGGATCAGCGCTCCTGCTTCTGCATTCAAGGCGCTGTCCGGATTGGGCTGAATGAGCAGACAAGATATGGTGATCAGTACGTCCCTCAGGGTGAGTCTGCTATCCCAGTCGCGCTTGAGTGTCTCCACACAAACTCCGCCAGTCTGAGGGTCGACATTAGGATGGAAGATCGGGGTGCGAAACGTGGCAGTCGGCGGCTGCTGAGGATAATTTGGGGGTATCGTCAGGTGCAGCTTCCATACGCCGAGAGCAAACGGTGTAAAGGTCGGGCCAGCGAGGAGGATGTCTAGCTGTGTGAGGTTGTCTGTTGCTGCGCCGGCGGGGAAGAGGAAGTTTGGCGGCAGTTCGTTGTGCAGAGCACCATGATCAGCTGCAAGGCGCCGGAGCGCGCGAGAGTTCTACTGCTCGTCAGCGCTTCTTGATGCAAGTTTGAGTGCGGTTGCTATGCAGCGAAGCACGCACCATTTTTGATGCCGAGTGCTAAGCGCTATCGGGTGTAATTTCCTGCTTGTCGAGGATGCAATACTATGCTGTTACTGTTGCCAAATGTCATGCGAGTGCTAAAAGTAGGTGACAAATGTAGCGGCAATGTTGGTGTTGTAGATGGAGAAGCGGTAGGTTGAGCTGTTGGTGGATGGAGTAAGTCAATGTTTGGTGACCGCCCGAAACGGAAAGAGTATTGGAGTTTGACGCGAACGCGCCTGCCTCGCGCGTCCTGTGCAACCGTGCGTGGGCGGGGCATTCCGAGTGTCGACACGACTCGACTTGACGACGTCTTGCCGTGCGATAGTGCATGTGGCCTTGAGAAAGTATTCGGAGTACAATGCGAATAGAACTGAGCATCCACTAACTCATACCATCGTTGTCCTTCTACTCATCGGAGCAGTATGTGCAATTTCGCAGCCCACCGTCTGCTATGCTACGTATACCATGTCGTCGTATCCCATATCCATTATCCATGTTACCAGCTCCCGCGCAACTTGAACCATCCCACCGCTTGCTATGGCAAGAAGCATCCGTAATCATCCTACACGACAGAATAGGCCATATGCAAGCGTCTAAAGGTCCTCCATTGCCTCGGAAAACTTGCTCAAGAGTCACTGACTCGAATCTCTGGTGCCTGAGTGTTCTCCTTCTTTGGCGCTTGTGTGGAATTCCCGTTTGCCTGCTGTGATGACTCTGTCAACTTCTCAACCTGCTTCTCCGACTGCTTTTCGACTTGTCTCTCAGGCCTTGGTGTTGCCTCTCGTTTGGGCACCGCGCCAAGTTCTGCGCCCTGTCCGCTCTGTCCTCGCTTTCTGCCTGTCAGGTGATGCCACGGGCCGCTCTTATCTCCACTTGACGCTGGACGGGGCTCGTCGTCGTTGTCCAGGATTCGCGCGAAGATACCACGCTTCTTCTGAGGCTGCGGCTTGGGATCGTCGATGTTTACATCCTCGAACCTATCCTCCTCCTGCGTTTGAGGTACTTGCAGTGGCCGGTGGAACGAGTTTGAACTTCGCGGCGGAGGGTGGAAAGTTCTGCTGTCGAGTGAACCGCGCGGCCGGCCCTCAAGAGTTGGAATTACAGGAGATCGGGCAGAGATGTCCTATCCATGTAAATCAGCGACCGTGCCTCAGTAGCACCTAGATCTCTCGCAACTTACGAATGACCTCCGGTAAGAATCGAAGGACTCCCTTGAGATGCTGAATGGCTCGTTCTCGTCGAAGGCGCATCGGTGCAGCGAAGAGGATGTCGTCGATCGTGACGACGCAGCGCCCCAGAAGCTCTTCTTCTCGTTTGTGGGCGAAGGTGGCAGATAGACTCCCGAATCATTGATCTCTGGGATCCCCCGTCAGCGCATGATCGTCACAAGCGTCTACAGCGGCGCATCGACTCACCACTCAGCTTGTATTCGACCGGTCTCTTCTCACTGAGATCAACCTGACTGGCGCCATTGCTGCTCCCCGGAGGCTTCTCTGCGCCATCGACGGCCAACGAGGGGCGCGCATTCTCGTCGTTCTTGCGAAATGGGTTGCGGATGATCGGCATTGTCGGCGGGATGGACGGTATGGCGTTGCGGAAACGTCTAATGCTGTCGTATATATTGAGTCGATAGCATGCAGTGTAAGCAAGACGTTGCGTTACTACTGTGTTGCGTAGGACATCCAGGGTCTGTCTGAAGCGGACCAGAAAAGCAGGGCGCGAGAGAAGGCAATGGCAGGACTTTAATGGTGGGAAGCACTGCAATCTGGGTCAGATGGATGGCGTGGATGGCAGCGGCAACCGGCTTCACTGGGGGCGATCCTTCCTGACTTTACGTGCACAAATCATACGACGGCTCGGGATGTGAAAGGTACAAAGGTGCCCCGCGATTGGGAGATGATAGACTTTCAGACGAGCTGGACTGCTCAGGAACCGACGCTCCGACGGGACTGGCGATAACCAGAAAGGTAACAATAACAACACTGGTGTCTTTCGTGCCACAAGACCATCGCCAAGGCGACCACAACCGCAAGACTTATCGAACACAGGGCCTGTAAGCGCCACGACAACATAACATCCGTGTCCCGTTCTCCGAGAGATATCATGTCATGCCGTGATCAATGATGCGCCGGATGATGATGTCGACAGCACACGTCTTCCCGACTCGGATGCCTCACGTGCGTTCCTACATCTGCCAAATCCAAGACGCCCAGCACAAGTCTGGAGGCGGTCTTTGGTTGCATACCTTACGGCCCGAGGTGCGTCGCCGGTGCGGACGGATGCGACGCCGACGTGTGTGGCGTTGTGTCAGCAGCAAGCCTGGACGGACGCGGACACGCGAGTCGAACCTCATCAGCACATCCTCCGCAAATCCGTGACGCCCAGGCAGCGGAAGAACCGTTGCACATCGAGTGCCCACCGTGGAGACGCTCACCATTGCAGGGTATGTACTCTGTATGCTATCGGCCTCAGGGGAGTGCGGTCTGGTGAATTGTTGAGGTGGTGAATCGCGTTGTCCTCGCGCTTGGCAACATGTTATGTACATAATACGGGTAAGGCGAACTCGATAGACGATCGAGAATAAAAGGCTTAGTATATATTATAGGTTGAAACACAAGATAGGTGGCATAAAATACCCAAGGTAAGGTACTCTCCAAACAACTCTACGTCTATTCCCGCTTACTAATACACCGACGCCACATCCTTACAGTAGCTTACCTTACTTTCCGAACCCCTAACCAATTATCGCTGCGTCCTACACGCAGTCCACATTCGGCGGGCCATGGCAGTGCCGACTCTGCTTCCCTCCGAGGCAACGCCTCTGGACGCGGGAAGGAAGCGACGGCACAGCGAGTTCATCGATCTCACTGTAGACGACGGAGTTGCCACTGCTGAGCGAGCGCCGGCCACCAACCCCGAAAGTGAGACTCGCCAAGATGGGAGTGCCGACCATGTCAAGCAAGAAACCGAAGGCGAGGAATACGACGATGGAGGCGACGATGGCGATCAAGACGACGAAGACGAACGAACGCTCTGGGAGCAAATGGTGGACCACTTCGAGGATCAGCCATTCACGAACGGTAAGCCCAGCAGCCCGACCTGTGTGGTGTTGGAACATGGAGCTGATACCGTTCAGATGGCTCCACCGGCGTGTCGGTCGAGCAGGCAGCTGCTCTACGAGCCCAGCTGCGACAGGTCGGTCCAGAGGAATTCTTCGAGCAGACGCTAGATGCCATGACGCCCGCCCAACTCGGTACCGTCTTTGGTCTGGATCCCTCCCTTGCCGTGGCCGACGAGGAGACCTTCTTACGAGTCCTCGGTGTGGCTGTGATGCGGACCTTCTACCGACGCCAGAAGCTACAGAACTACAACACGATCGACGACGCAGCAGAGCTCCTGAAGCGAAGTCGAAATATCACGGTCATCACTGGAGCCGGCATTTCCACCTCCCTTGGCATCCCGGACTTCCGCTCCAGAGGCACCGGCTTCTACGAAAAGATCCGCGAGATGGGTTACTCGGATCCCGAAGAGGTCTTCGATATCAGGAACTTCGACGAGAATCCCGGGTAAGTCACGAGCACAGCGGATACTCGCGTTTGTGAAAAAAGTTGACTGAAGTTCTTTGCAGCATCTTCTACTCCCTAGCAGGCGACATACTACCAGATCAGAAGCGTTTCTCCCCGACACACGCATTCATCCGCTTACTGCAGGACGAGGACAAGCTGCAGACGAATTACACGCAGAACATCGACAACCTCGAGGAGCTCGCCGGGATCGACGCGAACCGCATCATCCAATGCCACGGGAGCTTCGCCTCTGCCTCGTGCCGCAAATGTCACTTCCAGGTCAAGGGGACCGAGATCTTCGACGACATCCGGGCCCAGAGGGTCGCGCAGTGCAAGCGCTGCATCGAGGACATACGGAAAGCCGAGCAAGCCGCTCGCCCCCCGCGGAAGCGCAAGAAGTCGCGCAGTCGCTACTCCTCGAGCGACTCGGATGAAGACGACGACATTCCACAGCCGGGCGTGATGAAACCGGACATCACCTTCTTCGGCGAGCAGCTGCCCAACACCTTCTTCGACCGCTTCACCCAGCGCGACGCCCAGCAGACCGACCTGGTCATTGTGATGGGCAGTTCCCTCAAAGTCGCCCCCGTCAGCGAGATGCCCAATCACTTGCCCCACGCCGTCCCGCACATCTACATCTCGCGCGAGCCCATCAAGCACGTCGAATTCGACATCCAGCTGCTGGGGAATTGCGATGATGTCGTCTTCGAGCTCTGCCGCCGGGCTGGGTGGCAGCTGCAGCACGAGATGCTGCCGGCGGGGTTTCAGGTCACTGTTCATCCGGAAAATCTCCATCACCACTGGCGTCTCACACCACGAGCGCAGGCAGTATGCGCCGCGGAGTTGGAAGACGAGGAAGAAGAAGCGCCGGAGGAGATCCAGGAATCCCTTGTGCCCGAGGAGGTAAACCGAAAAGGACAGGCACAGGCACTCCCCTGTGCTCCTCCCACCCAGACCAGCCCCGAGGTTCCTTCACGCAAATGATACAGCGCTACGCACGCATCATGGTTCATGTTGATATATGTTTGCAAGCGAGGCGTCGGGGAGTCTGTGATTTTGACATGAAAGCCAAGCATGAGGGCAAGTGCACTTGAAAGCACGGATAATACACACCTGCATCTGGGTTTCAGCATCTGGCTGCAGGCGCACAAGTGGCATCGTTATTGGTGTTGCTACAATAATTAGAACAGGTGCCGCGGCAGTCTACGATTGGGTGGGCAATGTAATTCCTTCCATTTTCTCTCTCTGTTCATCTCAGCTCTGTCCGCCCAGCCCCGGCGCCGGAGTGCCGTCCCCATGATGGAGTCGTATTTGCTGGTACCTCTACCCGTACGCCTGATGCGAGGGGATAGGGTATGTAGCTCCGCGTCGAGACCTTGCATTGATCCCACTGTAGGTAGACGTGCTGGGAGATCCAGAAACCGTCTGCCAGAATCCTTTGTATGGCCGTATCAGGTACCTCAAAGTGGTACATGTAGCCGGCCGCTCACGTCTCGACGCCCTGCAACCCGTCCATGACCTCTTGCGCAATTCCACCCGTCTCCACCACCGCCTTGATGACCCGCGACATGAGTGCTCTCCCAATACCACCGCGCGGCGGCCGCCACACCGTCTGTCCGGCATCTTTCTCCCGCAACTTCCACGCCTCGTCGGGCGAGACGCTCCCGCCCGCCGTCGAATTGATGCGATCCGGAACGCCGGCCGCCGTGAGTCGAGACGGGGGATCAATCGTCCGCAGAGCCACCATCTGCAGGCTGCCATCCTTGCCCTGGGCCGTCGAGACCGCCACGACGGCATCCGCGACGGCGAGTTCCTCCTTGCTCGGGTCGAAGAGGATGTTCTCCCGCACTGTCATGACGAGCAAGGTGACGGGTGGCTTCGACTTGGCCGCGCCGCTGGTGTCCCGAGGGAAGAGGTATGTAGCCGCCTCCCAGTCGTCGTTGAACAAGGGGTCTTCATCCTTCTCCGATACCAAGGCCGGCAGGCGCGTGGAGAGCAGGGCCAGGTGTGCCGTGAGGGAGAGCAGCGGGAGGGGATACGAGAGAGGTTGAGAGAGGAGGAGAATCTGTAGTAGAAGGCTTACCGTATCAGCCAAAAAACCGCTCTTCCAAACAAAAAATACTCCTTCGGTCCGCAGGACGGAAGTGACGGTGTAATGTGATGTTGTTGTTGTTGGGCACGTACATCGACATAGAGCCTCCAATGAAACCGCGAATTGATCCACAACCGGTCCTTCAGCTCCCCATCCGCAAGCAACGCTTCACTCAGCATGGCAGAGAGAAAGACCGGCAGCGCATCATCATCGCGCATCCCGGGAATCTCAATCGCAATTTCCAACCAACTCCCCTCGCCTTTGCCTTTCCTCGCAACTTCTCCTCCTTCTTCATCATCATCATCGCCCATATCCACATCGTCTCCTCCCCCGGATGTACCGAGTCCGCGTTCCCCTTGGGCAGCAGCAGCACGACACATCCCACCGCGCCTCGAGCTCTTCTCCACCTCCGCCTTCACTCCGACCACCGCCTCGGTGCCGTCTGCGAAACAGATCCTCGCGCTGCCATTTGCCGAGGGGAGAATGTCTGTCTCGGCGACGAGCGGGCGGAATTGCGTGGGCGCGCGGCCGTCCGGTCGGATGGGCGGGTCTTGGGAGAGCGAGGTATGGAGGTAGGAGAGTTCGGCGGGCGAGAGCGGAATGTTGGCGAATGGTGCCATTGCTCTCCCTCTTCCGATCAAGGCGAGACGACAGGGATTTTGGGTGTCGAGGTTCAGGTTTGCGAGGTGCGGTTGATGGAGGAAAGACGGATTTCTGCCACCTCGCGGAGCTTAAACTAGTCGGAAAGGAACGCGTTTTGCCCGCCTGCAGAGTGACATTGACACGAATCACACGCGAAAGGCCGAACAGCTGATAAATCAACCAACAATTCTATCGACTTGGTAGGATTGTTGATCTCAACACAGAAAATGGACTTGAAAGCTGCAGATTGATAATTTACAAGCTTACATAGCGGTGCCCAGATAAATCTCAGTAACAATCGAGCTGGCAGATTTCGCACGAGCTCTTGGGTATCAGCTGACCAATTGATGGATGGGATTTCGACTGCTAGCAAGACAGTCTACTCTCGGCAGAGCGTTGAACGGCAAAGAAAACACGATGCTCCCCCTCTCCTCCCCCATCTGTACAAAACATGTACCCCGGTCTGCGCCTTCCAGACAACCATCCGGTAGTGACATAAGAGAGTCAAGAACTGTCCGCTCTCGCCGAGCTTCGTGACGTGATGCAGAAATATGGTCCAGATCAGTGAGCAAGCTGTAGATGCTCCTGCAGCAAAGATTCTGTACAGGTCGAACGCCAAATTCGCGCCTTCGCAAGCGATGTCTGCTGCCTCCCACCAAGCTTTTCCGCTCCTATCCAGTTCCTGAACTCCAATTGTGATATTAATAGGTATTCGCCGTCCTCGAGGCCCGCCAGTCGAGTTCTAGGCCCAGCAAGACGCGCCAAGCAAGACCTGCGCCGATTGTGCATGACAAAAGAAAAGTTTTGGATGTTGTAAGGAGGACCAACGCGCCAGGCGCAGCTCACTGCAAGCTTCTATCGGTAGGCAGCTTGAGTCGCAAGAATGCTAGCTGCAGCGGCCGCGGCCCAGTCATTCTCGTCGTAGGGAGGCGTTGGCCACTGTGGATTCACCACCTGTTGGGTTTGCTGAGCCCGCATGGGAGGAATGTCCATTGGCTTCGAAGGTGTGTAATCCTGCGAGGCAAAGTCGACGCTCATTTGGTCCTTTGAATGAGACGGTGTTAGGTATGGTGCAGGGTAGGTGGGCTCTGATGTCACGTGCGCGAGTGGCGGCCGCGATGACTGGGTAGTCGCTGTGGCATTGTTTGTCGGAGCATTATCGAGCCGTTTGGCAGCGCGGTGAGCAGACGCGAGCGCTTCATCCAGCAACTCATCCTCTTCGCACGGTGTCTCGTATCTGCTGCTAGGGGCGTGCCTTAGAGACCTGCGAATCCGGTTTGCTGCTGATGCGCTTCCCGACGGGGGGACATCCTCCTTTCCGTATGGCAGGGAATGATGCCTCTTCAGGGCTGGATTGCTCGCAACCCGAGTAGGATGCTTCGGCTGGACATTGTTCGTGTTCGCAGCTGCATCGAGGCTGTATCGCACGTTTTGGAGCGCGCGATCCAATTCGGCGAAGTTGGGGTCAGTCGATGGATCGGATGCGACAGGAGCAGTTTGTTGTGGAGCCTCTTGCACGGACTGCCTGGCATTGGTCCAGGGTGCACAGCCAACGTCCGCTTCCATGTCTTCCGGTGCGGGAGATGTGGTGCCTTGGTGACGTCCAGACAGGCGCCGAGCACGTTTCCGCAGATGCGAGAAAAAGCTTTCCCGTTGACTGCCCGTGGGTGATTTGAGGCCATTGCCACCGGTCAGTGCGCGCTCCGCTTCTTGTCGGTGAAGGTCTGCATAATGATTGCCCTGAGAGTTCACAGAAAGCTGTCGGCCGATCTTCTTCATGGGTTTGTCGTCAGGCTGCTGCGTGCGGCGAGCGTTTGCTTGGGCTACCGATGCATCCCGTAGAGGTGAGATGGGTCGGATCGAGGGCAGGATTGGAATAGGTGCGGCATTCTGCGTGGCACCGTTTGTCCAGGTTGCCCGTTTCGTTGCAGCGGGTCTTGCCTTGTTGACTACTGCAGGTCCGTCTGTCATCGTCTGAATTGGAGCTGGTTGGTTGTAAATGGGCTGCGCGTGTTCTGGCACCGCAGGTGCAGATGGTTCGCGGATCCCGCCGGCACCCATAGATTTTCGGAGCCAGGCAGACGTCTTCGTCGACAAGGTCTGCCCACCATCGCTCGACTCCGCGCCGTTTCCGAGGACAGAAGCTTTGCGTCCGAGAGCCTTGGGCACCGCGCTCTTCGGTCGGAGTGGGTCGAGGGCGTCTCGGAAGTACTCGTGTTCCAGTGCCTGCCTCGATGTTGGTCGCACTTTCGGGTCCCACATCAGGCACCAGGTCACAAACTGAGCAAGACTGGCAGGCCACTGAGGTGCTGACAGCACGGTCTCCAGGGAATGCGGTGCCATCTTCGGGAATGAGAAACCCAGCTTCTGTGCGAGCTTGATTCCTTCCTTCCATTCACCACCGCCCACCTTCTGTCCTTGTTTGTTCATCCAGCCGCCTGGACTTCCCATGATCTCGCACACTCTCCAGACCTGATCCACCTCATTACCACCGGGAAACAAAGGCTTCAATGTGGCAATTTCAACGGCCATGGCACCCACGGCCCAGATATCGACAGGAGCCGAGTACTCTCCTGCCCTCAGCAAGACCTCGGGTGCACGATACCATCTCGTAGATACATATGTCGTGTACGGCACTCGCGAGTGCGTTTCCCTCGCAAGACCAAAGTCCGCAATCTTGATAGTGTAGGTTGGTGGGGTAGAGGGCGGCGTTACAAGCTGCGAGTATCTCTTGAAGGTGTTGCTGTTGTCGGGTGCCGATGTCGACACGAGAATGTTCTCCGGCTTGATGTCGCGATGGAAGAAGTGGTGTTCGTGAATATGCTCCAGACCGCCCAAGATCTGAAACAGTATGCTCTTCACGCTGCTGCCGTCCAGAGGCTTGTGATCCCTGGCTTTCAAGAGTTGGTAGAGGTTGCCGTCCATGTACTCCATGGCGATGTGAAGCTTCTTGCTCAGCGGATCCAGGAAGATGTCATAAGCAGGGACGAGATGCGGATGGTTTGGCAATGACTTCAAGAAGATGACTTCTCGCAGTTCCATGCACTGCGCGAAGTTGTCGAAAGTCTTCTTCATGGTCTTGATAGCAACCTAATTTGGCGTCAGAGCTGACTGACTTGATGCCTACGGAAGACTCTTGAGCACCGAGCACTTACCATGGTACCTCGACGAACGAGATGGGCGCCTGCGCTTCTCGTCCTGCCCAGGGCAACGCTGCCAAAGCTGCCATCGCCAATGTCCTTGATGATTTCGAATTTGTCTTCGAGACAAGCGGCCGAGTGGGAGCCCGAAGACCAGCCGCGGTACGACATGTCGTATGTGACGGTCATGATGGCTTCTCCGAGGGCTTCGATGCTCGAAGCCTTTAAGTCGCGCCGTAGTTGACTGCTACCGTTGCATAGATCTTGAGATGTGGGATTAAATACTGCTTGACGCGTCAGGAAGATGGATCGATTGAACGAGGCAAGGTACGTACATACTGGTGATCTGAGGCTTCAGCAAGGATGATGATAGACGGCTCCGTGTCGTCGAAGAAGGGGACCTTCAAGGTCAGATTGGTGGATTATGGATTAGAAGGCGCCGGTAAGTGGTGGGCTGTAGATGTAAAGGTATGAGGATGTGGAACCAACAAGGTGGAAGAGGTCAGGGTCCGGTGGAAACGTCGAGCGGGATGTAAATGAGTGTAGACGGCCGTAGCCTGGAAGGTTGATGTCGGTGGATGGAGTCGAGTTGGCCAATGTTGGAAAGAAGGGAGCACCAGTCGCACGGTTGACGGAAGACCTCCCGGGAGGATGGTCTCGTCTAGCAGTCGATCAATAGGACCAGTGCCGAGATAGCGTGGCCGATGGCTTGACTCGCCGGGTGGATGGTGGCACGGTGGGTACTTCTTGGGGTGATGAGACAGGGCGATGGCTCCTTTGGGTGTAGAGGAAAAGGAGGTTGGCTGCGGGCCTGCAACCGCGGTGCTAGGAGGGTCGGGAAGGGTGTCGGGCGTGGACGTGAGCAGAAGCGTTGGCCTGGGCGTTGGCGTTGGCGTGGGCTTGGATAGACGCAGGAGGGCAACAATGGGGGGCGGTTGGTGACGATATCGTTCTCGAGTTCGTGATGCGCGTCTCGCAGCAATTAAGACACGAGGTGGACGAGGGTTGCTGGCAAAAGAGCCAGGGCAGCCTCGACGTTAATTAAGCGGGAATGAAACGAGACAGAGACCCCAGACAGGCCAGAGGGGGGGAGTAATGAATGTGGTCGAAGAGGGTTAGTGCCGTTTCCAGCGGGTTGCGCACAGATGCCGCGGCGGGAGCAGACGCGCCAGAAGTCCACGAGGAGGTGCCAGCGCAGGCAGGAGCGGGCAGGTTGGCAGGGCAGGAGCAGGGCAGGGCAGGGCAGGGCAGGGCGGAGGGCAACGAGCGGGTCTGGTTGACGATGCAGTAGTGTTGATGGTTGCAGTGATTATTGTTAAAGTTGCCGGTGGGCAGATTCGCTCCGGGCTCGACACTTTCGCTGGCAGCGAGCAGCAAGCAGGGGGAAAGGGCAACGGCGGCGCAGGAGACGAGACGACAGCGGTGGGACTAGCTCGCGAGCGGTGACGTGGGAGTGGACGACGAGATAGCCGATGCCCAAAGCGCAATGTAGGGAGCCGGTGATTCGCTCGCCATCGGTATGGCGTCGAACAGGAGGTGAGTCGCTGCGCAACGCACAGCTGGCCTGGCGGGCGCAAATAGGTGAGACGTGAGGTGATGATGAGAGAAACAGGCGACAGCTGGAGGACAAGACACAAGAGGGCGTCGGGTGTGAAGGCTGGGCGAGAAACAGCAGGCGCTACCGCGGCGGCGAGGAAGGCATGGCAGCGACGGGCGGCAGTGTATGGGGAGTGAGATGAGAAGAGAGGAAAGAACGAGGGTGGTGATGATGGTGATGATGATGATGATGATGATGATGATGATGATGATGATGATGATGAGATGATGTGAGCCGTCACAAATCGCGTCCGCCAGTGCATCTCAGGCTCCGTCGCTGCTGTGTGCTGCTGCTCGCTCGCTCCATCACACAGGACAGGCACGGGAACGGTGTGGGACAGAACGTGCGCTTCAAGGTTTGTTGCGGCACCGCGGCTTCCCTCTCCCGCTCCCGTCTCCCCTGGCCGTAGCTGGAAGTCTGATGTGAAGTGCGCTGTTTTTAGCCACCGGACCGGACCACCACATTCTCCTAGCCAGCGAAACACATGTCATGTCTCGTCGCTACATGTACGGCCAGCGAACCTCGAATCACCGTCGTCATCACATCAGCGACCGCGACTGCTGCCGCTACCGCTGCTGCTTCAGCTCGGCCGGCATGCGCTGCGCACCAGCACACCACCACGCTGACCATGTCTGCATCATTAGTCATTGCTGCTGGCCCCGTAGCAGGGCGGTCTCGTCGGGGTCCGCGAAGCCATCCGTGTCGGGTAACGGGCATCAGCTCCCCGTCGCCCCTGACTATCGTTGACCTGTGCTGTGCACCGCTCCAGCCGGCTCCCTCCCGGGGAACTGTCGCCCGCCACGCTAGGAACAGGCTCCCGCGCGACGATTTGTGATTGGCCGGTGCGTGAGTCGTTCCTGTCTTCTGTTCCTGCGCCGGTCGCGACTCGCGACTGCCAAAACCGCTGGCATGGATGATCTGATCTGGTGAGGTGGTCATCGATTCCACGTTGCGACGACTGCCATGTATCAAACAATACCTCCCGCATGCATCTTCACCACTGTCTGTCACCGCCACACGCCCCCATCTGCTCGTCGTGTCCCGATGCACTTCCCTGCCACTACTCCCATCCCACACATCCCTCGCTCCTCTGGTGAACCATGATCCTGTGCACAGCTGTGTTGTGCTGTGCATCCATCTTGTCATGTGTGTGCCTGGCAACCTTGGGACGGGAAGATCAATCCACCGGTCCCGCCGGCCTGTCCAAGCCGATTCCTATCGAAAACATGACGACTTCACCTGCTACTGTACTCGTACGCCTACGGCGGTGGCCTATGGCGGTCAGGGGACTGCTACGATTACACCCTCTGGAGACTTCTCCTGCTGCTCCATACTCCACCTGGAGAGTCAAGCATCGAGGCTGATGAGATCATTTCGCCTGAATCGTAGGGATGCATCGATACTCTCGCTCCCAATGTTTTGCGCAGCAGAACAAAGACTGTTTCCACAATGGGTCGCTGGTGTAATCATGCTCTATTCCCACTAGGACGAGGGTCAGATGCAAGGCTTCGCTTTGGTGTTGATGATCATGTGCCGATTATTGTTGCCAACGAAACATCCAGCACGCTAGAAAGCTCCTGGCCTGCTACTGATGAGGAGTACCCTCGCGATTCGTCTTGATGAGCAGAAGCCCGCTGCTCGCCCTCTTACTCACGGGCCGCAGACTGTAGTGCACAATTGTACCTTCGGAACATCTCGACTGTCCACGCCGCGATAGGCTAAAAGACTTGCACTCCTGCTCGCGTGCATCAGACCACCAGGATAATAATCACTTGCTGGCACCGTTATTGACCGCCGACTCATCCCATCTCCGACAGCGCATTGCCATCCGACTCCATCTGGGTGATGACGCATCTCAACGGCATCCGACTGTTCGCGACACGTATCTGGGATCATCACCGATACCATTCCGATCTACTCCCGGCCACAGAGCGTATTTTGCCATGCGACATAAGGCCAAACATCGGCGGTTGCCCCGTGGCCTTCGGCTACAATATCCCTACCCAGGAGTTCGCCTGGTCGTCGCGACAATAATCAGACTAATCGCCCGGCTAGATCACTATCTTGGACGGACTGTTTCGGGTTACACAATGACACGAGCGCACGAGCGAGGTGCCAAGTGCCACCCAAGCCGAGCACAGCACTTTTGTGATCAGACGCGACGCAAGTGCGCTATCCCAGGTCACCGGTCAGCGCGAGAAAGGTCCACTACATAATTGGCAAATGACCCCCTCGGTCCACCCACGCTCTCATTTAACACCACGCTCGAGCGCGTTCTAGTGGCCTTCGAGAAGATGGCACGTATCTGAATTGTGGATCATTGCGAGCGCAGTTCATCGACGAGGATATAACTCGGACACGATAGTCAGTCTCGAGAAGCCGGACAATCTGTGCCCCGCCGAGAAAGGACCAATTGCCCGGACAGGAGCATCGGACATTTGATCGTTCTCGGCTCTCTCAAGCAGACAGCAACGCTCTTGCGTGCCCGGCTATCACGATCGGGACATTGTCAGAAGACCAAAATCTCAAGTTCCTTGTCCAAGCAAACGATCCACTTATCACAAGACGGGAATCTGGAACTGAACTCTTGGGGTCCAACATACGGTGCAGGACCTATACTAATGGTAGTTGGGTAGGTGCATTGTTGCTGTTTCCAATACCAGGGCCAACCCGGAACACCGACAGTCCAGATCCCACTCTCCGCTCCATTTTGTATTATATGTATCATGCCTAAAAGCACATTGAGGCCCAGGATTAACCCCCGTCCAGGATCGTGAACTGTCCGAAGCCTCGGTGGTAAAAGCAGGTCCAGAGGCTGAATGCGTTTCAAGAGACCATGGCGCCGTGGCGTGGTCACTCGCATGACGGGCACTTGTTCCGTTGTGCCGGCCACCAAGTCTCTGAAGAATCAGCTTGACAAGGATATCAGGAGTTTCATTCGCAAAGTGCTGTATGTCTACCGGTAAGGGTGTTGATACTAGCTAGAGACCAGCTGCTGACGCGAAATATCATCGAGGGTGTTTTGGTTGGTATATGGGAATTGCAGGATCCATGAGGTGCAGGGCCTTTATGTTGTTCATCTACCAGCCTCCTCCTGCAGCATGAGCCAGAGCGTTGACTCGATCCATCTCCCCACCGCCGCCCTCCTTTCCGACATCGCTCTCGACGACGCGGTACGTCGTATTGAGAAGCACCTCGAGCTTGACACCCGTACTACTCGACCAATGCTCCAAGAATCGCTTCACAAGCCTCCGGTCGACCCCATCAATGATTTCTGAGCTCGCGTCTCCAGCACCGGAAATCACTGAATCGCGCGCAGGCGAGCCTTCCATATCGATATCGCCATCCGTGTCCGCCAGGTCATCAGACCCAGCACTCCAATATGCCTCATCCACCTGCGCCAGCCATTCCCTCTGCGCCGGAAGCATCTCCTGATCACCTCCATTCTCGATGCCCGTACCTCCTACTTGTCGGAGCGTCGCGACGTCTCCGACTTTGATCTGTCCTCCGCCATTCGTGCACCCTCCTGGGCAAGCCATGACTTCGACGTACGCATAGTCGCTTTCACTGCCGCCAGCAGCCGCAGCATTCGGTCTCCGAGCCACGCCTGGCTTGCGCGAAGCTCCAGGCATACGACTGGCTTTCGGCGGCTTGAGGCGTCGCACAAGGTTTTGAATATTTCGGAAGCCATAGTAACGGGCTGCCTTGAAAAGCGTTTGACCCTCTGCATCCACCACTGCGTATTCCGAAACGTCGTTGTTCCTCCCTCGGTGAGCTTTGATCTGCGATCCAGCGTTCTGAGCTTGCTTGGTCTGCAGGATATACCACAAGTACCCTCCGCTAGTCCCGACACTGTTTGCTTCCTCCCTTTTGCGTTTCTGTCCCCGCTGCATGCCGAAAAGGTAGTCATTGACCGCTGGGTCCGGAAAAGGAGGTGCGTAATCCGGTGATAAAGGATACCTCGGGAGACCAGGGAAACTAATATCTCGGCTTTCAGCCAGCATAAGCAATTCGCGTGCCGTAATGACACAGTCGACATCTCTCACTGCGTCGTCTTGCTGTCCATGCCAGGTATGAGAAGTGAGCTCGCCGCGTGATGCCTCCAATTTCTTGTCAAAGCAAGGCATGACCGCGAGGTGCCATACGTTCTCCGGAGCAACGTCGAATTTCTTCGCCAATATGGATTTCAACAGGATGCCCGTCAAGGCCTGGGGGGATTTGAGCTTGCTAAGATGGGGCAGTATGTGGGGATGAGTCTTCTCAGCATAGCAGATCCAGCCCGGACACGCGGAAGTGATGACGGGCCTCTTCTGTGGTTCCTCCCTCCCCTCCACCGGAGCCAGATTCGATTGCTCAATTTCCTCTGCGGCCGCTGCCAAGCTTGTCTCCCTCATAGCATTCGTATCCACAACCCAGGCAAACCCAGAACCATTGTTGCCACCACTTCGTAGTCCATGAGGCCCACTTAGAAGCTGGCTGATCATGTATCCCGCCTCACGCTCAGAGACCTTGTACGTAGCCGCGATACTCGCTCTCGATTGTGGCGAAACACTCGCGACGAAGAGCTTCTTCTCCGCGCCATCATTCTTGTCACCACCGCATTGTGCACCACCCTCCTTGACGCCAGGCACCCTCAGCTCTTTGAACTTATCCAGGGTATCCAAAACCTCTCCATGGCTCTGTAGGCTGACCAGCACGGCCTCGGCACTCGTCACACACCCGGAACACGCGAGACAATCCGTCAAGGAAATCTGCGCCGGCGGCGCCACGGTATTCGCATTCACTTTCTCCTCCGTGGTGACTTCATACGGGTTGTTGGCCTCGTCGCCCGGTGGTGGTGGTGGTGGTGGTGGCTGTTGCTTCGGCAGCGTCTCGACGGGCTTGATACACGCGACGCCCGGGTTGATGAAGTCATTCAGGTCGTCGGCGGAGAGGATGGCGGACATGATCGGCAGCCTCGGGATGGACACATGTGTTTGGTATATAAGAGTATAAGTCGGGGAGAAGGCTTGGAAAATGTAACTGCGGAGGCGAAAGATGCGGTGATGATGGTGATGGGGTGGACGCGGAAGTGGTGGTGGGGCCAGTCGTTATCCAGTCATTGATAATCGGCAAAGCAAAAACCTCCACTGACAAAGCAAAGCCCCCCCCCGGTTCTCGGCGCAGGGCGGCGGCGGCCCGAGGAAATCTTCCCAGTGCAGTTCACATGCCACATGCCAGCGAACAACTCCATCATCATCTCGAACTTACTTCTTCGCAACAAACACAACCACTCGATCCACAAGAAATCCCAGCCAACCACCACCACCACCACCAAAACCAACAACACCAGACCGCCCTTGCCGACCACACACCCACACGCCAAAAATGTCCCGCGAAGCCTTCACCCCCCCCTCGGCCCTGCAGAACAACAATGTCGGCGGCTCCTCCTCCTCTTCGCAGCAACAACAAGGCGGCTTCTCCATCACCGGCGCCGGCAGCACGTTCGAGGACACCTCCAAGCCCGTGCAGTACCTGTGCGGCGATTGCGACCATAAAGTGCAGCTGAAGAAGGGCGATCCCATCCGGTGCAAGGAGTGCGGGTATCGTGTTCTGTACAAGGAGCGCACGAATAGGTCGGTCGAGAAACTGCGCGCATGGAATGGTAAGGAGGGCGAATGCTGACTTGTGGACGCAGGATGATTCAATTCGAGGCGCGTTGACAAGGGCGTTTCTGCTATCGAGAAGCGGAATGGCCGTACCCTGTCTCCTGACATGGCGGCGCTCAATAGGGATACACCCTACGCAGACGATGGAGAATGATGATTAGCGCGGCGTTAGGGTTCAGTCTCTCGCGATGCGAGACGAGATATCTTCAAGGAAGGCAGTATCATTCAAATTCACTACCTAGTATACCGCACGCAGCACGGTAGAGGTGCACACGCGAATCAGAAGCTGCTCCAGCAGCACAAGCGCCATACATGCAGTACAATTCCGCCAGGACTTGGAGCGATGACCAGACATCTGCTCCCCCGAGTGCGCCAGGCGCCGGGCGGATCCAGTCTCACACTTGCAAATCAATTTGCTGCTTCCATGCCGTGCTTCTAGTTCGTCTCTTATCATTACACGTCCCACCGTATCCGAGTGCCGATTTCGCCTGACTGATGCAATGCTTTGTATTTCCCTTTTGGGCGCCGACGCTATGCCATAATGTGCGCAGCTTGTTCGGGGTTGGGCTCGGTGTCTGTCTCTCAACTGCCACGGAAAGCATCGAATCGCTTGTAGGTATAGCCGATGAACGGCAAGCTCAACGTCGACTCCTCTTGGCCCATCGAAGCTTCAGTTTGAGCACGCAGCGCGGCCGAATTGTCGACCTGCGGGATCTCGTCGATCGGGAAGTACTGAGTATCGACATTGCTTTGCAATTTGGGCTCGAAGGGAGCACGAATCCGACGCAGCTGATCCCAGTTGACTCCATGAAAGAAAGGATGGGCCTTGAGCTCGGCGGCGCCATGGACTCGACCAAGTCGGTTTTGAGAGTCACAAATAAGACTGCACGCAAAAGGTCAGTAACCATGATTCAGTGCCAATGCTGTCATTGGGTCACTCACCTTCGAATGAAATGTTCAGCCTCGGGGCCCAGCTGTTGGTCTGGTGGAAAGTTAAGGTGTCGAGGCCAGTCGACAATCTTGCGATAGGTGTCATGCGGCTCCTCGGCGCAGAATGGTGGCCAGCCAACCAGGCACTCGAACATGATGGTTCCAACACTCCACCAATCGCAGCCAAAGTCGTAGCCTTTGCCGCTAAAGATTTCCGGCGCGATGTAGTCTGGAGTACCGACGGTGGAGTAAGCGAGTTGGCGTCGAGATTTCCGCCATGTGTTGATCTGGTTGCGGTTGGAGACAGTGAGTTGAATCTGGTCGATGGAGACGCTGTTCCGGTTCTGGGCAGCGGACTTTTGCTTGCTCTGAGACATTAGTTGCTGGTAGTACGATGCCGAGTGCTCTTTTGAGAAGCCGGTGGAAAGACCGAAGTCGGTGAGCTTGATATGTCCGCCGCGGTCAAGGAGAATGTTGTCAGGCTTGATGTCACTACACTTTATTAGCAAGTGGCCCACTGCGCCTCAAAGTAGTGATTTACCGATGGATGAAACCCAGCTTGTGCACGGCCTCAATCGCGAGAGTGATCTCTGCCATGTAGAATCTGGTGATGTCTTCAGAGAAGATCTCATACTTGATGAGCATGGTCATCAAGTCCCCACCAGGGAGGAACTCCATCAGCATGTAGAGGAAAGTGCTGTCCTGGAAAGATGTATGCAGCTTGACCAGCCACGGGCTGTCTGCATTGGCAAGGATATCACGCTCAGCGCGAACGTGAGCGAGCTGATCCTTCTTATGCTGTATTCTGTGTCAATGCTATCCAACATCGAGCGCACGGGAAGCCAACTCACCATCTCCTGCTTGATCAAAGACTTCAGGGCGTATATTCTGCCGTCGTGGCGTCTCTGCACGAGTCTGACCTCACCAAAGGCGCCCTTACCAATGATCTTGAGAGTGTTGTAGTTCGAGGGCTTTTCGCTCGTGCGTAAAAAACGAAGGAAGTTGGCCTCAGCCTTCCGCATGCTGTGCTTCTTGCGTTCTTTGGACTGCTCTGAAGCCTCAGAGGCCATGATCGTATCAAGCTCCTTTGCTCTGCATTTTGTTAGTCACTTGCGTTTCCGTGCATCTCAGCTATTGACAAACCTCTCATTGCGTGCACGGGCTCTCTCGACGTTCTCCTTGAAGAACTCCTGAGTGAGCATCTTTTGTACCTTTACCCGCTCCGTGATTGCAGTCGAGTACTTCTCAGAGTTCTTCGGTGGTGGCTCGTCATCGTAGATGCTCGCAGGCTGCGGAACGGCAGGCACTGGCGCGCTCAGGAAGCTGTTGTACTGCGTTCCCGTTGCTCCGGCAGTGCGTGGGCGCCCAGTTGCTGGAGACGCTTGCCTGCCGTACGGACTGGCCGAGCGAGGGGTATTTCCTCCCAAGTTCTGATGTTGGAATTGGTGTGCAAGACCGTTGGTCACATCGTTGAAGGCAGCTGGCGATCGGTGACCCACGCCAGGGGAGGCATTGCTAGTATATTGGGCCTGGTAGGCGTTCGGGTTGCTGTAGAAGTAGCCCTGATTATTGATGCCGCTGGTGGTCTGCTGGGTTCCCCAGACCTCTTGCTGGCCGTTCTGATTTGGGAAGGGCTGTGGAAAGGTAGAGGGCGTGGTAGGGAAGGCACGACCTTGCTCGGCGGCGTAGTTGGGAGAGTTTGCGAATCCAAAGTTGAGGTTGAGCCGATTGGGATTGCGACTGTCGGACTGGTGCTGCTGCGAATGAGGCTGCTGCTGCTGCTGCTGGTAGGCCATGGTGGAGAGCGGCCTCGACGGGATGGAGGGGGGAGACGCGGTGGTCAGCGAGGAAGATGAGGGTACTCACTCGCCTGCCCGGCGAAGTGTCGCAGTAGCTAGCAGAGGTGACGCTGGAATGGGGGGGGGGGGGGGGTCTCAAGCTCCAGGAGGTTTCAAACTTCAAAGGAGAGAGGGAGAGCTTGGCAGCGTTTCGGCGTAAGGGGGTCGAAAGGTGTGGCCCCGGCGATTGGCTGGCGGCGGTGTTGTCCTGTGTGCTGGGCTGTGCTGCGTGCCACGACGGGAGTGTCGCTGCAGGGCAAGAGCGAGGCTTGCGTGAAGGGAATTGATGGGTTGGCGGAGTTGGAGAGAGATGGCAGGTGCCGTGCAGTGTGCAGTGCAATGCCCTTCTGAGAATAATTGCCTCCACAGCCGAAGCAAGAACCCCGGCCTCAAACGATGTCGGCCGGGCCCGAACCTTATTCCGCGACTTCCGCCCTGCACACTGTATCAGCACGTGAGCTGAAAGAACTTTCTCCTTCGGGCCTCCTGCACCGTTCCTGCGGAACACTCTGCAGCGCCACCACCTTACATATTACAGTACCTACCCCAGGTTGCAACCCCTTATCACGTGGATGAATGTCTCTGGCAGCACGTGCCCACGATTACTGTTTAGTCGATACGTGGATATCATCGACGCAAACACTCGTGCGGGCAGCGGGGGTGCGTCAAGCAAGTATGACCTTCACGACCTGGAATCGACCTCGGTCATGGTTTGAATTGCAGTATCGACCACGGAAACATCGCTACCGTCTTACCCCTATCTGGCGGCTGATTCTTCTCTCACTCCAAGGCTTCATCGCTGGTGTATGCTGGTCATGAGGCTACAGTCGTTGGGCCAAAGGCGCCGTGCCCATGGCCCTGACTTCGCCGTGCAGTCAAAGAGGATGTTCTTGCTACGTTGCCTCTACCCGACAACCGAGTCGCATCTCGCTCAAGTGAGCTGTCGATTTCAAGGCTCCATCTTTGGCAACTTCCGGCATTCTTCACCACCATCTATCACCAGCTTCAGGAGCTTGTCCACCAACTGCTCCGTCGTTGAGTTCTGCTTGAGCTCCAGCGAGTCTTCAAGCGTCCTCAGTTCGTCCGAACGATCTCCCTTCATCTTCTTTGCTTGCGCCAAGATCTCCTGCACGGCGCGGCTCTGATATTGCGCAGCTTTTGGATCAGACATTGCACTCTCTGGGCCTTGCGAAGAGTTTGAAGACTTCACCGATGTACTCGAGCTATCAGATGCACTGCAGTTCCGGGAGCAAGCGCATGAGCACGACGCAGAATTGGGTTGCCTTGGTGGTAAAGCAGGTACAGACATTGCCTCGGCCTCTGACGAGTTGGGATGACAGTTCCGCACATGCTGCCTTAGATGGTCTCTCCGCGAGAATCTCTTGGTTTGGTCTTGTCGTCGACACAGCTCGCATACGTGTGAAACGTGCTCCGATAGGTGTGTTCTACGATGGCGTGTCCAGAGATCTCTTCGACAGTAGCTCTTGTCGCACCCCGGGTATGGACAGCTGAATACGCGATGTGCAGACGTCTTCGCATGTTGCTCTAGCGCCTGAGCATTCGCGAAGGTCCGATGGCAAATCTCACAGATCATGCGTGCTGGAACGTCTAGCTGTAACGGTTCGTCGCATTTCATGATATCCGTTGAACACGACTCCGCTACAGACCATTCGGACGTACTCCTTCCATCTCGACCAAAGGACGCATCCGCGTCTGGGAATAATGACGCGGTCAAGGCATCATCATATACTGGACGGTCGTCAGCGTTGAAGTTTGCTCTTGCTTTCTGTGCGTACGAAAGAGTGATGATTCACGACCTGGTCCGCCCTTGTCGCCGAAAGTTTCCCACGGCCATTGATCGTTCGTATGAGCTGGTGCTGTCGTGTACAGGTCACCGCTGAGCATCAAGTCACTACTGGCGTCCAGGTTTCTAAAGGCATCGTCGAAACCGCAAGGGGCGATAGTCTCCATTGTTAGAAGGCTGTACAGGACGGCGCAGTGGGCTATAAGTATGACACCGCGGCTCTCGCGTGAATGAAAGCTGACCAGCAATCAGGCTCATGCAAGTCAAAGACTTGGTCTCATTCCAGCGATGCGGGCTCGTGTTGCGGCATGACAGGAGAGAAACGACGCCTGTGGCTGCAGCTATCGCGTGAGCAGCCAATAAGCTGCTGCGTGCCTCCACTTCACTCCCTAGGCCACCACTGGGCAAAAGAATCATGCCCTTTGCCCTTTGCCTTTCGGTGATGGTTATGTATGTGCCAACATGAAGGTTGTCAGTGCTTTAGGCTCAGGACTGGATTCAATGTTGACAATCATTCGGGAGGGAGTCGAGATAGCTCTTCCCTTGGATGCGTCACATCGCTCGTCTCTGAGCATCTCCACCGGTCAAGCTGGACACGCCTACCATCCGGACTCGTTTACTTCAATGGGACAGTCACACGCCCTTCCTGCGAGCTCTCAACGATTAATTGGCCCTGCAGTCATGCAGAATGCTACTCCTCGTCCGACGTCCCCCGATCCAATCCACCTCGAAGCCGCACCTACCTCTCCACTACCGCTACCAATCCCCGATTGACACGACAACAATAAAGACACGAATCCTTCGTGATGACCAGAAGCATCTGTGACGCCGATCGCGCGAGGTTATCATTCCGAGCGTGAGATGGGCAGCAGTAGCGAGAGGCCGCCCCGCCCTGAACGAATCAAAGGCGATGAGCCCAACAGTACTCTGCAATGGACCAACCCTGTCGAAATAGGTTGGCGCCTCTTTGCTGCCGTGGCCACTGCCTGACCGCTGAGCGCTCTTGGCGACGTACGCCAGGCCTCGGCCAGCTTGGTCGGAGCCAACGGACGACATCGGAGGGAACTTGGGAGGCACGCCCAAGGAGTCGACACGAAACCTGAGGCAGCAGGTTTATTCTGCAGTAAAAGAAGTAGGAGCACCGAGGACATGATAGTCGACGACTTCTACCTATCATTGTAGCACAATCCGCTGGCTCGCGGCTCTGCAACCTCCAGTGGGTAGCTCGATTTGGAGCTCATGGAGCTTTCCGACGTGGTCTCTGCCAGCTGCGACCTATCATGCCTACTTCCAGCTCGAATCAATCAGTCCTTCCGTGCTCCTAGCCCTCCATTTGCAAGCTGGTACCTGCTGATCCTCTGCTGGAGACGAGCCTCTTCACCACTGTGAGTGAAGTGTAGTTCGAGTGACGAGAGTCGGATTGAGATGGACAAGATGACCCGGACTTGCGTGTCTGGAGGGCGAACTGTAGGTCGGAGGGGGTGGAGGAGAGACCTTCTGCTCCTCTCCGGCGTGCTCCTTTACTTGCTCCCACCTACCCCCTCCGTCTCTTCGTCTCCTATTTTGACGACTGTTACCTCCACAACACTTTCACTTACACAGCTGAAGACCAAGCAGAACGGTTTTGCTGCTTGCAAAACTTCAGCTTCCCTGGTCTTACATAAAACTACCTGCCGTGACGCTTCGCAGCAGCCTACCTTCCTGCATCCTTCTTCGCCGCCGCAATCAGGATGGATGCTGCCTCGCGCGACCGCTCTGATCCCCGTAACCAAGCTCCCTCCGACTGTGAGTAGAAGCTAGCAATATTTGCTGATGACCATGCTCACACTGTTGTTGCAGCCACCGGACCTGATAAGTCTTACAATTCCAATGGCGTTCTGGACATACCTCGTCGTCGCTCACCAGGTATGTCGCCTCTTTTTCAGCCAAATTGCTTCCCATTCGCTGGACTAACTGTTCCGAAGGGAACTCTCGACCGAACACTCAGCAACAAGTAGGCCGCGCGGCCGGCTCGCAAGCTGCCGCTCTCAGCGACGGCAACGACAGTGAAGGAGCGAATGCATCTGGCGATTTCTGGAATCCATCGCTTCCGGGCGCGAATGCATTCGGGTACTCAGATCCCGGACGAGATTCTGGCGGAATCAGCAGATCGGACACTGTTGTTGTTCTTGGCCCTGTTGAACCAACCACGCCAGCTCCTCGTGCTCGTAACCGCCCTGTTCTGCACCAATACCTGAACGGCACTGTCGGCAACAATGCTGTAAACGATGGTCGTTCGCCGTCTCGCAACACTGGTGCCGTCGCACAGCCTCGCTCCTCGGGTGACAACCCGCAGCGCCGGGGAGAAGCTCCGATGTCAGCAGAAATCAACAATACTCTCTCCCGCGAGAGGCTGCGTCAGTATCAACAAGCACTGCATCGTTATACCAGCAATAGCGAAGACGACAGTCAGCAGTACGTCAACCATGCTGGTTCGCGGCAGCGTCGCTCTGGTCCTTCATAACCATAACATCACCGGAATCGTCTCTTGTGCGGCGTGGCGTACCTTTCAACTCCCATCCGCGCTCCTCGAAGGTGTAGCCTTCCGACCCAAAGACAACAGCACGACCGACACACCCATTCCATCCCCGAGTCAATATTTCGCCGCGGGAATCGCTTCCATCCGATCTGTGTGTCTGTTGACGATGTTATCGAACCAGGGTGTTTTTTTTTTTCTTTCTTCCACGCTTTGCGAAAGGAGTACGGTAGTAATGGAGGCAAATGTTGATACCCATGATAACGCCGCCAGTCCACACACACACAGTCTTTGGGGCGGGAATCGATTTTGCGATGAAGGAATGAAGGGCACGGCATGGCATGGCATGGCGTGGCGTCTCTCAGTAATGCACCGAAAGTTCTGCAGGCGGAAGAGGGAGGTCTTCTGGGTGGGTGGGTGGGTGGGTGGGTGGATTGATTGTGCTACTTTATTAGATAGTTCGTCTTCAAAGCAGCTCGAGCAGGGAGGCAGGCAGGCGGGCAGGCAGGCAGGCAGGCAGGCACACGACTCTTATGTATTATCTGGCCCCAGGCGGCACAGTCTGGAACGAATCCCACATCATACTTTCATCCCACATCTCATTGTAAACGCCTTGTAGCTAGCTTTTTTCAGCTGAGCTGAGCAGGCCGGCTGGCCTGGTTCGTCTGCTTGTAGGCCGCCCGCTCGTACATTACTGCTCTTCGCCCCCAGCCGGTGTGGCTTTTGGCTTCACCTGCCACAGCCTCACAGCCTCGCTTGTGCATTGCGTCGATAAGGTAGCTCGACAAGCCGCCAGCCTCCTGTGACCATCGGTCTATGGTTGCAATCAATACTCATGTCGAGCTCGGAGGTGTGAAGCTTGACGAGCCCTTGCTCTGAACAAAGTGAAGTGTGACACTATTTATCTACATGACAGGTCGTGATATGAAACGAGCCGTTCGGGAAATGGTTGAGTAACGAAGCCGGGTTTTCTGCAAAAACAAACATAAAGCCCTCTGATGACAAGACTCGTCTTATTGTCGCTTGTCCAGAATGCTTTTGACCCACTCCATGCTAAAGATGCCGCCCTGTCCTCCTCTTAACGCCTTTGCTGTCAATGCATATTACAGAGAACGCAGGGTCGTAGTTTCAATGTCTCTCCTGCGCTCTGTCGAAGCTCTCAAGCACCTTCTGCTGCATCTCGCTCTTGGGCGAAAGCTTTTCGTTTGGCTCTGAAACTTCTCCCTCGGCCGTAGCGGATGACTGAGTGTCGCCAGTGACAAGTTTCTGAGCCTGGGCCCTTGCTTGCGACTGGCTGACATTGCCGTAGACAGACATCGCGGTTGCGATCATCTGCCCAATGTCGCCGACGTTACCAGGAACGACGACAGACGTGCCTTCCTTGGCCAGCTTGCCAAAGGCATCGACGTACTTCTCGGCAACAGAGAGTGACACAGCGCCCTGAGCAGATTGCTTGCCTTCTGACAGGCTCTTTGCGACAGCGTCGATACCAGCTGCGGTAGCCCGAGCCTTGAGCATAATGGCCTCTGCTTCTCCTGCAGCTGCATTGACCCGTTCTGCTTTGATGGCTTCAGATGCCAGGATGACGGACTGCTTGCGACCTTCCGCAATGTTGATTGCCGACTGCCGTTGACCCTCTGAATCGAGGATTTCCGCGCGCTTGCCTCGCTCTGCAGTGACCTGTCTATGCATGGCTTCGACGACTGGGCCGGGAGCGTGGATATCCCTGATCTCATAACGAAGACATCGAATACCCCAGTCTGCTGCTGCTTCGTTGATTGCTTGTGTAATGTTTGTGTTCAACGCTGCCCTCTCCTTCAAAACATGGTCCAGAGTAAGCTGTCCGATCTCGCTACGCATTGTTGTTTGCGCCAATTGCGAAATGGCATAATCTGCGTCCTCTACTCCGTAACTGGCCTTGAACGGATCAAACACTCGAGTATATAGTACACCGTCCAGCTCCAGCGTAACGTTGTCCGCAGTGATTGCGCTCTGTGATGGTATTTCCATGGCGTTCTCTTTCAAGCTCTTGACGTAGGCTATTCGGTCGATGACAGGTACCAAGATGGCAAGTCCGGGCTGCAGTATCCTGTTGAAACGACCCATGCGCTCAACTATCCAAGCAGTTTGTTGCGGAACGAACTTTACCACTGTGTTCGCTGGAAGGGAAGAGCGCTGGAAGTAGGTGTTTGGCGGGCCCCCCACGGTCGAGGACATGCGGAACATGCTCTCTGAAGGGGTTGGCAACCCATTTTGCGGCGTCGACGAGAAGGCAGCCCTCTGTGATGCAACGAGGAGGGGATACCGGGAGTTCTGCAATGCGGCAATGGAACGGCGAGAAAGAGGTGTTCGTGAAGCGCTGAGCAGCGACATGGCCGGTTCGATTGAACTGGCCGCGGCCGCCATCCTGCAACCTGGTGGTCTTAATCCGAGCTCGGTTTTGGTGATGGTGATGGTGATGTTGAGATTGTTGCGCGGGTCTGAGTGTTCGGTGTTTTGACTAGGCGGCCATGTGGTGCTGAGTAAGGAAGAGGTCTGAACTGAGATGCGTGATGTCTGTCTGTTCGAGCTTCTAGGGCCCTCCGCAAAGCTTAGGCTGCCTCGGCAGGTTCCGAATTCTTCTTCATTATTCCGTCCGGTTCAACATCACCATTCCGGCCCTCTATCCTTACACTCTGGGTGCTGAACTGAGTGATGAAGACCATCACCAACACCGCGCAGTACACTGCGGGCGCAGCAGTCAACTCCTCACGCGTCGCTTTGGTCAGGCCAGACATAGCACATCCGAACAGGAGCGTGAGACAGATCCTACATCCGACATTTCTACCGGACCACCACCGGTAATGCTATCAAGGCGATCATGAAACATGTAACGATGGAGTTGACCAGCTTGTCGACCCGCGCTGGTGCATAGTAACGCAGCCTCTTTTGCGACGTCTTGGTCCGCAGCTGGGGAGTCATGGAGATGCGTTACAGACCCCATCAGAGATCGCACGCTCCACAAAGCCGTCGAACCTGCGCTGGATATACTGGCTCTCGCCTTGGACAAGAGGCTGCTCGTCAAAAAGCCAGTCACGCGCGGACTCAAAGTCTCTTCGAAATGGGTTTTGGAAAGTAAGAACCTCTTTTGTCTTCAAAAAAAAAAAAACTTCGTCTTGGCAAGGTCAGCTTGCAGCTGGCAATCATCTCTCGGACGCCAAGTGGCCCCAAGCCGAAACATCGCTCAGAGACGCAGATGCAGGTGTTCTCCTGCTCTGGAGTGTTATTTCTTGGGCAGCATCGCGGATGAAGGGTTCTCAATCCCAATCTGGACGTTCCCACGAGCTTCTCACGGCCTGCGGCAGGAATGAAGGAACGCCCAAGCCCGGCCGACGTTCCTCTACTCGAGCTTTGATCGACTCCTTGCACAAGGTTCTCAAGGAAAGCGACATTCAAGGGCGAAGAATTTCTATCTTCGATCTCGATCAGATGGTCGTGAGACGGTATACAGTCGACTGAAGAATCGAGCGAGCTAGCATATTCATCTTGCTCCAGTCGCGGCTGCATGTGATGACCCATCACCGCCCGAACTGAAAGGTAATACCAGACGTCTGCTCGTTCAAGTTGCGCTCCAAGAGCACAGCAGCCTCCAGTCAAGACATCTAGGCGACCTTTCAATTCATGTCCCGAGCGCTTCGATTCCCGGAATCGCAGCCATTGACTGGAGAAGAAGACGATGATCAGGGAGAGCTCAGCAAGAAGAGCCTGATCTGGACAACCCTTATTACATTCGAAGTGTAATGGCAGTTCAACGTGGAACCAGTCTGGGGAGCGACCTGAGCGTTTCCGCGCCGATCTTGATCCACAGAGCGTGGTCAGTTGTCCGAAACTACAGGTGCTCTCTCTTTTTAGCCTTCATTCCCCAGGACCGCCAAACCGCTTCACCCGGACATTGCTACCTCCAATGAGACGCTCGGCCGGAGAATCATCTGCCGTTGAGATCGTGGTTGGTGGCCTATCCCAATTTGATAGAAAAGTAGAGATAGATTTATAAGATGTATATCTAGATTATTACCGCGGCCATGCTCGGAATTCTATCGTACTATGTAGGTACTTCGACGATATCTACGATACTAGAAATATTAGAATACGATCACGTCAATACAATAAGATCAGATCCTCTAAAGAGGTGTTTACGGTGTGGTATCTGCGTTGGGGTTGGTAGGGAGGTCGGCTTCCAACACAACTGGCCAAGCTCCCGGACCAACAACAAACACGGGCAACCACAACGGCACACACCTCCTCGGAGGAGGAGGAGGGGCTGACATTCGTGAGATACCTTAGTTGCATGTATCATCATCATCCTTGCTTCATCAGAAAACATCAGCTCTGTGCTTTATTGTCGAGACTATACATTCTCACGACATGCATCTACTACACCTCCCATTCGTCTGCCTTCTGATTACCGCAACACTAGCTCAAGTCGGTCCGCAAGCCACTCTCCTGCCGTCATGCATAGTATGTGCAAATTTCTTCTATTCCAGCTAGCGCTGCATGTGAACTAATGGCATTTGCTCGAGAAAAGAAAACTTGCGATCCACCGGCCATTGCATCTGTAAACTGCACCAACCCGGATCAGTACTGCCATTGTGTACGCCAGAGCGGGATTCTATCCAACATCACGGCCTGCGCGGATAGGGCATGCACGAATCCGAGCGCGAGTCTTTACAGTAAGGAAGAAAACCAATAATTCCTGTGTCTGTCCACGGGTCGGCTGATGACCTTTCTAGCCTTTACCACCCTGTTCGGTCAGGTGTGCTCGCAGTTCAATATGAGTGTGCCCGTGCTGGGTAGCAATTCGTCTGGAAACGGTACACTGGTTACCCCTCCATCGAATGGTCCCTCTGCGGTGCCTTATACTGGGCGCGGGAATGGGTTCAGTGGATGGAGATCGGAGATCATGCTCCCGGCAGGAATTTTGGTCTTGCATGCTGTTGCTGTGTTGGCATGATTTCCTGCAAGCGAGTGAACAAGGCATTCTCATATGCCATATTCCAGGTTGGCGATGCCAAATCATGCTGCAATTTTCCCAAGTCGGGCAATCGAGTCAAGGGTGTGAGAAGAATTTGGAGAATCGACTCAAGCCTGGAAGAACAAGAATCGCAAATATCCCACTAGGGTATCTCGGGAATCGAAATAATAATACCGCCGCTGCTTTCTCCTTTCCCGTCGTTCAATCCACCTCACTTCATCTTCAAAACTTCCCTGATTGTGAATTCGATGGCGTTGGCCACCTCCTTACCCTCTTTCCACACTTGGTCGTGTGTTCCGTGGAGTTCCATCAGCTTGAATCTCCGGTCGCCAGAGTCTTTGAAGGCTTGGGCTTTCAGTGATTTCATCATCAGCTCAGGCTGCTCCCACTCCACCAGCTCATCCGAACGTGAGTGTGCCAGAACCACCAGTTTCCCATCCTGCCAGGTCTCGTTCAGATTGGAATGCGTCGGACTCACAGGCGCCCAGCTATTCTGGTCCGCACCGAACGCGCTCTCCGTGAAATTCCTGTACAAAGGCTGATTGCTGTGGTTTTTCACCAAAGCGGGAAGATCGTACAGTCCCTCGATCCCGACAATAGCAAGTGGAGGAGTGACGTTGAGCTCTAGCGCCAAGGTCGATTCATACTGCGAGCCCCAAAATCGCTTCATGGCCACCTGGAGTACGAGACATGCACCGCATGAGTGGCCTGCAAGAACGTAGCGGTCCTGAAAGCGGTAAGTCTCCTGAAGATGTAGAATTGCAGCCAGGACATCGTTGATGTGGTCCGGGTGCTTGGCATTCCTAGCCGGGTCTGCAGGGTTGGAGGGGTTTGTTGGGTGCGAAGGGGCGGGTGAGAGACGGTAGTTGATGGAAGCGAAACCAGCAATATACTCGGCGATTGGGGATCTGAGCAATATGTCCTGGGCCTTATCGAAGGTGGAGGCGTTTTGGTCGGGGTCGAACCAGGCGCCGCCGTGAACGTAGAGGACCCAGATTCGGGAGGAGTCCTTGGCAGAAGTCGGGCGCGGGATACATGTCTGTAGCGTGTTTAGTCTGGAGTCGTCGGAGTAGTGGATGTCCTTGCGGAACTGCGGCCAGTCGTCGGTGACCATGATGGGATGGGGGGGGGGGGGGGTACTCCAGAGGCCAGCGGGAGATAAGCGGCAGCTGGCTGGGTCGGATTTTCTGTGCCTGTTTGAGGGGCGCGCGCTACTTGACTCGCGCCGCGAACGCCTGCCGACCCGACCCACGATCGGAGACGGGAGGGAGTTGGGGAAGGGGCAAGCTGGAGGCGCGGAGCTCGCGGTGGGAGAGAGCGAGAGGATCAGCGCGCACGATGGGAGTAGGTGTGCAGATAATGTAGTGTCTGCGGCGCGTGCATGAGACGCCTCGCCCGTCCCCCGGAAACCTCGCGATCGTAAAGCGAGACGCGATATGTAACGCGGGCGACTGCTTCGAGAAGGCGCGGGTCTAGACTGGGCTGGGTCGTGCCTACCTCTTGCGTCTCAAGTGTACTGTAATATGGAGACAATCTTCAGAGTTCGGTGGCGCGCAATATGGGTCAATCCGAGCTTATTCGCCGCGCCGCACAGGTCGAGACGGTGCGATAACGCTGGACACGTGTTGCGGCTGCTTCTGGAAGTGTGCACTGTGTGTGGACGGCGGAGCGCAGGAGGACCCGCGAGGCCGGAGAGGGCCGGTTTGGGGGGGTCGTGCTGGCTGCCAAGATCCACTCTGTGAGTTTGTGACGTGACCTGCGAGCGCCCGCTGCTGCTACCCAACGGCTGCCCTTATGACGCAATCCCACGCACGCAGCTGCCTTGAAACGAAACCGCATTTCGACCTTCTTTTCCCGACCAGCAGCCACTGTGCTGTGCGCTGTGCCGTGGCAGAAGAAAATCTCACATCTTCACCGTCGCTCTAAGCTCTCAAATCTCCCTCCCTCCCCTCTGCCTTCCGAGGTCTTCTTTCCGCAGCAATCACCACGACCAGCACCTCCCCCGCCGTGCCTTCCGTATCGGCTCCGGGCGCCCCTCGCGGCTGCTTAATCTCACCTCACCTCACCCTGCTCACCTGCTCTTGCCCTGCGAGACCACTGCCTGCGTCAGGGAAGTGCCCGCAGCGCGTGTGCGCCCCACCACCCACAGCGAGCCCAACTTGAAACCTTCGACCACCACCCGACCTCCCGCCCAACACCTACAAACCTTATTCCGCCTTACCACTTCACGCTAGCACTACCTTTCCAACTACCACGACCTTCCTCTACTTCAACAACACTCTTCTACCCTACTACCTTTGGAAACCTTTCACCCTGCATTGGTACACACCGACCATCACTCGCCCGTCATGAGCACTTACGACGCCTATGACGACGAGCCGCGTCGCTACCGAAGCGTGAGTCGTCTTGCCCACTGCCGCTCTTCGTCATTCGCATGTGAAGCTAATCTCTTGACGCAGGTCCGCACTCGCCCACGTGAGAGAGACGAGCCAGATTATGTGCGCGAGGAGACGTACATCGAACGTGGCAAAGGCCCCGGTCCCAGGAATGCAGAGCTGGTCTACCGAGGACGTGAAGACAGCATCGAGGACATCCCCCGTGACTTCCCTCCGCCCGGACGAGGCTACGGAGGTCGCCGCGAGTACGATGACTACGGCCCGCCGCGTCGGAGCAAGAGTGCAGGCGGCAGGCGGTACCCAGACGACTACGACGACGACGGATACACGGATTACGGCGCTGGCGCTGCGGCTGGATATGCAGCTGGTCGCAGTCGCGGAGGCGGCAAGAGCAGAGTCAGCAGACGCGATGACCGCGACTACGAATCAGACTACTCCGACTCACCACCCCGCCGCAACGAGCGTAAGAAAAGCGGGGTAGGCGATGCTCTCGAAGGCCTTGGTCTGGGAGGACTCGTGGGCGGCCTGCTCGGCAAGGACAAGGACAAGAACAAGGGACGCTCACGCTCTGGCTCTCGCAGCGGTCGTTCCGTCAGATCTCGCTCTCGCGCAGGCAGCCGCTACTCCGACGAGAGCGGTCGCAGTCGATCCGGGCCTGGCGACAAGAACAGGGGCGAGAGAAAGTGGGCTCAGGCGGCTCAAGCCGCACTTGTTGCTGGTGCTGTCGAGGCCTTCCGCGCGAGAAAGGTGCCTGGTCCCTGGACCGGTGACAAGGGCAAGCGTATCGCCACCGCTGCAATCGGAGCCGGTGGTATTGACGGTCTCATCGATCGTGACCCGGACAAGAAGACCAAGCGCCATCTCGCTGAAGCTGTCATCGGTGGTCTTGCTGCCAACCGTCTGGCGAATGGTCCTCGCTCGAGATCTCGTGGCCGTGGTTTGGACGATGAGCGCGACTTCTCCCCAGACAGTCGTGCGCCTCGCTCTCGCAGCCGGAGCATTATTGACAGGCTTCGAGGTCGGTCGCAATCCCGTGGTCGTGCTCCGAGCCAGGAGGGTGGCGGCCAAGGTATTGGCGCATTGAAGGGCCTAGCTGGAGCTGGAGCTGTTGCCGCTGCAGGCAAGGCTATCTACGATCGGGTCCGATCCAAGTCCCGTAAGAGACGCTCACCGTCAAGAGATTCCAGCGCAGACTCGTATGTGCCCTCCCGAACTCGTCGCCGAGATAGGGGTCGCTCACCACGTTCAGATACCGGCAGTACTCGCCAGACCGAAGGAGCTGGCGATCGCGGAGTCGCTCGAGGTACTAGCTCCGTAGCCGCCGGAGAAGCTGGGCCGCTTGCTCGACGCAACCCAAACCAGAATGGCGATGAAAACGGCCAAGGAAACGGACAAGGGAACGGTGAAGGAAACGGAGAGGGAAACGGCAACGACGGCAACGTATCCAGCGACAGTAGTAGTACTACCGATATGGAGAAGACACGGAAACATATGCGTGGCAAGGAACTGATAACTGCGGGAATTGCGACGGTTGCAACCATTCATGCGGCACATGGCGTATATTCGAGTATGGAGGCGCATGAGAAGCGCCATCGCTTGGTGGCGGAAGGGGAAATGTCTCCCGAGGAGGCTCGCAAGAAGCAAACGAAAGCATGGATTCAGGATGCTGCAGCGGTCGGTATTGCCGCGCTGGGTATCAAGGGTGCTTTCTCGGAATGGAAGGAAATGAACGAGCAGAGGTATCCTATCCATTTTCTCCTGAGTAGCGTCGTGTGCTGACCATCGCTCTTTCTACAGGCGCGAGATTCAAGAGATCGAAAAGCGGAAAGCGCAACGCCGGAAGAAGCGCGTTGCTCGTCAGAAACAGGAAGAGCGTGAACGACATGAGCGCATGATGTCTATCTTGGAAAAGAACCCTCAGCTTGCGATGGGCTATCACCTCAGCCAGAATGCCTATCCTCTTGTTCCTCCTGGGCCCAACCAAGCCGGAAACTCTCCTGCTCCTCCACCCGACCTCAGCGGCAATCCCTACGCCCCAAGAGACGGCGGCAGCCAGAGGCACTAGAAGTACCCTCGCTCTTGGCAAGACTGGGACGCCATGGGCACTCCATATCGGTAAACGAATCAGGCAGAAGAGATTACGACGAACAGCGGAAAACAGAGGCATGATGCATGTTGATTAGCGTTTGGGTTGGGACAAGGAGCAATGATACCGGGCAGATGGATTTCTGCGCTACGAGCTCTACGACTTACGACGAAACAGAATACAAATGAAGCCTTGTATGAGATAAGATACTGGTGGTTTCTCATGAGGTCTGAAGTTGATGACAGTGACTTTCCCCCGACATCCTATTCCGACCAGAAACGGGAGTCTCTTTGACGTGACGAGGACATCGTATTTGGAAACTCGAGAGGGAGTCGCAAGCCTTACAATTGCAGAACCCCATTCCGAAGCCGATCGCCTTCACAAATGTCTCCTTCAGCTCATTGGTCGTCCTGTGGCCTTCGGAACCCTGCCTTCCCATCTGCCGTGCTGCTCGCCTGAGCTGACCCTCGTATTCGAGCCAGAACAGCGCACCATGTGCAAAGCTCTGACGTCAATTCCAGCAAGATTGGTGTTGTATCATCGGCAATAATCTATATCTCGCCGACAAAGCGTTATGGTGATCAGGAGTCCCAGATGGGTGCTGCTGCTGCTGCTGCTGCTGCTACTCCTTCTTCTTCGTCGCAGGCTCCCAGGGCCGAGAAATCTTTGGTACCGGCACCGATGATGATGATGATGATGATGATGATGATGAAGCTGATGTCGCAGCAGCAGCAGAAGTAGTAGTAGTCGTTGCGGCGGAAGGTGGAGGAGGGGCAGAAATGGTCGGCATTGCGATCTGGCACGAGGAAGGCATGAAGGCCCAGAGGGAGTAGATTTTGGAATCCATTGGAGTGTTGTTCCGTCGGTATTTATCTATCTATCTCTCGGTTTTCGATTTTGATTTTAGAAAATGACGGGTTGTCGGTTGGTATTATTCTCTCGGTACTGATTTAGTATCATCTCTGCGCTCGCACGCACGCACGCACGCAACGCATCGGAACGTACATGTATTCCTTCATCATCAGCAGACGCCGGCGACCACGCAATCAATCCTGCGGAAAGAGGAGCTAAAATAAAGCGGACAAAAGTACCTTACCTTACCTTACCACCGTGGCTGACAAAACACGCCCACCCACTGACCATCGAAGGGGCATGCGAATCGAGAAGAATCTCCACTGTTATTGTTACGTCGGCACATGTGACAGACAGAGCAGGAAGTTTGGAGAACTTCAAAGCTATCCATTGTGCGAAGTAAGTATTTGCCATCGAAGGTACAAGGTTTCCGCCCCAAACGTGATGAAGCATTCCATTCTTTCATTCATTCATTCATTCATTCATTCATTCATTCAATGAAACCATCGGCGACAGAAACCCGGATGCTTACTTAAGTTTTTCGGACCCAGGCTCGATGGTTTAGAGCCAGAGCCTGACCAGGCTGTTCCGGTATGATTGGTCTGAAGGATCATGGTCCTGGGCGCGCGCTCGAAACCAAAGATTGATTGACCATATAGGTGTTCGCTGCGAGTACGGCAGCATTGATTCAGCAACTGAGACCAGTCTGCTACTACCGACGAGACTCAGCCTCTTGCCATATTCCGGCATTCGCCTTTTTCAAAATGCTCCCACATTCGCTCGTCTTGGTCACTGACTAGTCAGCCGGCCTCAACGAAGAAGATAGTGCTGATTTTGGCTCACGACACATCGAAGCCGTGATGATGTTGTTGTTGTTGTACAATTACAGATATATCCCATTAGTTGTAGTATGCACACACAGACACCGGCGGCGGTAATGGCGCACTGAGAGCACTCGATGTCCCTTTCCAACCCGATTTTGATACTCAACCCAAACAAATGCGAATCCACCACCACCACATGCACGCCTACATGACCACGCAAATCTTGATGCCACAACATTTGATGCCTTCTTGCTGCGGCTCTTGCACTTGCATCTGTTGCTGAGGTCGGCCGGCATGACCTCCCTGCTGTCCGTCGTACTGCATTTGCGGCTGCTGTCCAGCATAGCCCCCAGCAGCCTGGGCGTAGCCATACTGCGGCGCGTGGCCCATGGGGTACGCCGTCTCGTAGTGCGGCTTGCCGTAGCTCTCATGCTGCGGCTGATACTGCTGCTGGTAATCGTACCCGGGCACCTGCTGTCCATGCCCGCCGCCCTGCAGGTCAACGAAGATTCTGCCTTCGTTGTGCTCGGTGTGGTATTGCAGCCCCAGCTCCTGGCACACCTTTTCCACGCGCGGCTTGATCTTCTGGATGTGGTCCGGGCTGTGGTTGCCTTTGCCCACGATGACGTGGAGATGCGATTGCCCAGTCTGTTGTGCGTATCGGATTCGCTGCTCGAGGATCTCTTCGGCTTCCTCGACGTACTGGCCGTGCAGGTCGACGGTGTCCCCAGCGACTTTGCCGACCGCGTTGTTCTCGCGGAAGATGAATTCGGAGGCTTGCTTGTTCAGCCGGTCGGCTTCGGCAGCGTGTCTCTTGGACTGCTCGCTCTGCAATGTTGCGTCAGGTTGGTATCTTTCTCATGCATCGAGTCTCTCCGCTCTACCATTTCATGCGCGCGTGCACCGTCGCCGCGTTCATACGCTTGTCTCGCTTCGGCTGCATAGTGCTGATGTTGTCCCTGCTCTTTTCGCGCCGCATCTCGAAGTCGGTCGAGTTCCTGCTCGGAGGATGAGGTGGAAGCTGTATTGAAAGCTGCAGATCGCTCGGGGTTAGCGGAGCAGTGTGCAGGGGTATCGTCATCATGAGACCGTCTACATACCACTTCCGCCGAGGCGGGTTGCATGAGACATAGTCTTGGAAAAGGGCCAGCAATGCCTCGAAGCTACAGACTTGGGTTCATCAGGCGCTCCTTCCCAAGTAGCCTATCCAAGACCGGGCAGAAGCTGAAGTGCTGAGACCTGTGCCAAGTCCGGTCAAAAGCTTCTCCGGCCCCGACGTCAGCCAGCCATCTGTCTTTATACCTTCGATCACCAAATATCATCACCTATAAGTCAAGAAATTCACATTCGTCTCCGATATCTCGCCCGGCTGGTATAAGAACGATTGGAAGAAGGCCATCGACTCCAGGCCTCTATGGAGGGAATGGTGCAGATCGCAGAAACGCGAATTCCAGCCCAACTCAGGTGGATCAAGTGCCAAGAGGTTATACGACAGGCTGCCTATCAATCCTGCCGCTGACATTGTCCCAACATCTCCTGCGCGAATCCATCTTTACCTTCATGAACTGTGATTCGCTCCGCCGCCTTGACCAAGTCGTAAGCCATCCGGTCAGTAACCACGCTGTCCTTCTGATACGCCTCATGGTCCATGACAAAATGCCTGATCCACTTCGCTGCAGTCCAGAGCGACCCATTCGCTCTCCCTCGGATAAGCGCAAGATATTGTGCCAGCTCACACCTCGTTTCAACGTCGACATTGACGCTATCGAGGTAGGATTCTACGAGCGGAATCAACCCGGGAAAGCCGCCTTCCGCTTTGCCATTGATGATCTCGTCGACGGTCATGAGCTCGTATTCTTCCTCCACGGGACCGGGCGTTTGTGGCCTGCTAGGCTGCGGCGTATTGATCGCGGAACTCGGTGTAGATGTGCCGTTCATCTGGGCTGCACGTTTCGGGAAGGGGTCCTTGCGAAAGTAGAATTGATTGTTCAAGACGGCGTCTCGCCTGTGAGCGGTTTCCATGTTCTCCGTAGTCCGAGGTATAGGGAGGTAGAAGTTGAGGTCGAAGCTCAGAATTGCTCGAGTGATCAGAACGACGAACACTGAAAAAGCAGCATTCTCGAAATCGGTGATCTGGATCTCCATGGGCCGAACTTCAACTCGCCATCCAATGTCGTTACCTGGCGGAGGAGGTTTGAAACGCATGTGCTGCCAATTGGTGCTCTGGAGATTTTCGAAGTGATCCGTCTTGTTCAAGTCCAGCTCCTTGATGTCTTCAGCAAAGACAACGATGGGATCGCGAATGAATAAATGTGCGAAATGTGTGGCCAGCCGGTCGTCCATGCCACCTTCTACCAGGCGTGCTTTGAGCTCCTCGTCCACTACCAGTTCCGGATCGAGATACTCCGAGCGCAATCGAGGATCTTCGGATATGTATGTGCTGTTGCTCGCGTATCGCGACTTTGGTATCCGCCATCGATCATTCTTCAGGGGCTTCTCCCCAAGCTCCTCAGGCGTTCGGTCATCGACAGCTCCACTAATCTGGTTCCACCGCACATCTGTATCTGCTAGAAAACCTTTGTAGATCGGTGTAGCGGCTGTCAAAGCCAGCAGAATGGGGCCCAGAGGTGATAGCTGGTCATACATCTTCCGGCCTTCTGCTATATTTGTAGCCTGGAAGGTGATTTGCAAGCAACATGACCCCATGCCAAAGGCCATGGCGTCCATGTAGATGCAGTCGTCCTTTGCTGCGCCATTGCGGACGTCATTGTCCTCAGGCCAGTTTTGCAGGTCATAGTCCACTGTGGGGTCCTTGAACGGCTTAGGTGTCTTCTCGTCGTGGAACACGGGTACGTTCAGCTCCACCTTGCGACCTCGCCGCCATCTTATATTGGCAGCCAAAGTCGGAAAGCGGATGTGCGGGTTGGCAATCTCGTCAGGGACGAATTGTGACCTCAATTTGGGACCAGAAGGAGGGAATAAGGGTGTTATTGATTTGCGGTCTCCGAGGAGCGGGAATGTCGTGAGAGTGATGGGATACTCGTGATCGTAAATATGCTCCTTGGCAATCTTACGCCTTCATTCGGTTAGCCATGTCCAGCATTAGTGATACTTGGTCCGCACCTCCACTTCATGTCCGGTTCAACGTCCAGAAGGTCCTTGAATCCAATGCCCCATGGTTTGCCTGGAGTGGCCTCGAGCATGAAGCGACCAAATTCTGGATGAAAGGTTGGCGCTGGCCGCGACATCCTGAAATACAGTCAGACATCAACCCCCTCCGCGTCACTTTATGCCTTACTTCTTCGCATCGCCTTTGACAAGGTCAGGAACGCCGCCGCCCTGTCGTATGAGCTCCGGGTCGCTAGCCAAGGCTTCCAGAATATCCGCTTGCCGCAAGGACAGCTTCACCTCGCGCTTCTCATCGTCAAAGGCAACAACGAGGTATTCAATCTTGTCGCATATTCGTCAGTGGTCTGTCCACGACAGAAGGTAGACTGGCGCTTACCATACCTCATCTCCCCACAGCATGGCATCCCGCTCCTTGTCCTTGGCGCGATTCCAGATGGCCAACAGTTGCTATGCAAGCCGGAAACATCAGCGGTTGTCTTCTCCCACGCGACCTTCTCGAACACGAGAGATCATGGATGTTGGCTTTCCGTACCTCAATGCCCCACTCACGCACATGTCCGGCGACTTTCTTGGCCTCGGGCCAGTCGAGAGGCGTGCCCACGGCTCTGTTCAGAAAACACACATCAGTATCCGTCTTGCCCTGCAGCAGGAGCGATGCCACGCGACGCGGAACGTTGAGAGATGCGATGCGATGCAAGATGCGCGGAGATGGGGGATGCAGGAGGCAGCGTACAGGAGTCCCATGGTCTTGTAATGGAGGCCTGCACTTGCCAAGCGTACAAAGCTGTTGGGCGTGTGCTACCGCGTCTGTAGCATGTGTATGCAATCGTAGCGCCGCACGCGCAATCGCAGGGCAAATGTGCAGATGATTCTTTTGACTTTTATTTCTGTATGCGGCTCGGCCTTCTCATGCAAGGGATGCCGCGGGTGACGTCTGGTTCTGGAGCGGGATCTTCTATGGCCTCATCGTGTCGTGCAGATTGTGCATTCGCGGAGGTCGTGGATGTGGGCAGCTGGAGCGGGGTCCTCGTTCGGGGGGTCTTTCGAGCGGGATGATATTCCCGTATATGTTGAAATGCCGTGCGATGGCGGTGCGCTCGGATACGCAGGAGGTCGGTAGCGGTTTTCGCGTGGTGAGGAACGAGTAACGAGGCGGCGACAGAGCGGGCAGAGAAAGAGGGAAGAAGTTGTAAAGTGAAGCTTGATGAGTGGATTACAAACCGTTGCGCGCATCTGCCCCGCCGCCCGGCCAAGTGACGGATGATTCTTCTGTTCGGCCAACGGCTTTTCCGATGCTTGGACCGACGTCTTACATGCCACACCCGACATCACCTCACCCCTGATAATGGGTATCCTCAACTTCAACCTGCTTCACATACACCGATAAAGCCGCCGTGTCATCCTTCTCCATCTCCCTGTCGTTGTCGTCGGGCTTTCCTTATCGTCGCTACCAAGCAAGCAGGCAATCCACAAGCATGCAAGCCAGCAAGCAATGTCCTCCTACCCTCCCAAAACCTCCCTGTTGACTTGCCATGCCTGCTGTAGGACGTAGGACGTACGTAGGACGTAGGACGTAGGACGTCTCACTGCCACCTGCGGCCGGCCTCGATGACAGCTCGTACCTGCCTGCTTCAAGTGCCACGCCTACTTGCTCTGCACCACATCCATGTAAGGATTCAATTCCGCCACAGATCTCGCCAAACCGCGCCGAATCGCGCCGGATCGAACCTGGGCTCCGTGGACTAGTCTAGTACTACGACCACCTCGACTGTAACAGCACACCCGCTGTCGCTGCACCACCGACCTGTCATCGGAGGAGAAGTGCAGATTGGGACAGAGATCCATCCTCCTGTACCTCATGCACCCGTCAACTCAGTCGCACTGTGTGGGACCCGTGAACCCATCTATTCCAATCGCAGTGTGCACTTGGGATGGATTTGCCATTCTCACTCTATGTACACCGCCATCTAGCCCTATGCCACATTTCTCCTTCTCTTCTCCTTGCACTGGTCGCCCAACACTGCAAGCGCATGTGATCATGGCCGCAATCAACCATCCTTTACCGAAAGGGCAGTGACACAACTTCTCAGTCTGGTAAGAAAACATTCGTTGCCTGCAATCAACTCCGTCCCATGCGAGTCGAGCCCTGAAAGACTCTTGTGGTATAGTCATGCCGAGATGCCATCAATAACGCCGCAATATCATCCGCCTAGTTTCGTCATGGCCGTCGTGAAGAGATTCAAAGCAGCAAATCTCCTCGAGCCGTAGCCAACCCCACCCCCTCCTTACAATGCGTCAGAGCCTCTGAAAAGGCCCGGCGCGTAAAACTTTTTTTCGTCATCGCAAAAACAACTCCGCTAGTGTCGCATTCGTCAGACCTCTAAAAAGGCCAAAACTGCCATGGGTATCGCTGAAAGGCAAGCAATGAAGTGGCAAGAAATCGTGAAAGCAGCCGCATGGTGGGACACGTCGCCAGTCTCCGCAGAGAGCGTGTCAATTCCACAAAGAAAAAGTACATCCTCTCGCGTGATGCACATCTACTGCAGCATATTCTCCTTGGGCCGCAGGTTGGAGCTGCCAACACTCGTGTTTTTGTTGGCGCCATTGTTTTTCCTCGTCAGTTTCGCGTAGTGCAGCCCGCAGGCATTGCACAGCGTCCTCGCCCCATCGGGGCCGCGTCGCCATTCCGGAGTCTCAGCCCGGTTGCAGCTGTGGCAGCGGCCTGGTGGCGCCGCGCGACCTCTGCGTTTCTTCGTGTCGACGCCCGCAAATCCGCCAGCTTTGTGGTCTTCGCTCTCGCCATGATGCGAATCCGGCGGAGGCTGAGATGTCTCGCCAAAGGCCTTCTGCTGGTGACGTTGATCCGCGGCTTGTTGCTCGTACACTGCTTGCTGTTGAAGGACAACATCGCGAATCTTCATCAGCGCGTCCAGTTGCACACGAGACTTTGTGATCATGTCGTCGACTTCCACAAGTCCCGGGAGAGTCGAGAGTGAAGCTCCAGACCGCTGGGTCTGATGCATTCGATCACCATATCGGCGAGAAAAGTCGCTCAGGATGCCACTGGTCGAGGCGATCTGGCCGAGATTAGCATCGTACTCGCGCTCATTGTAGGTAGGTGCACTTACATCGTTCAGCGCCGCTTCGAGATCGTAGAAGTCTAGGTGGCGTTTGACGTTGTCACTGTATTGCGCCTGTCCAGGGTGCCTCTCGTCGTATCGTGAAGCAGACTCCGATTTCCACCCAGATGAAGGCGGCTGTGCGGCTCCGTACACGGCTGAGGGCTGGTAAATAGGACCGGAGGAAACGCTGGAAGGAGGGGTTGGAATTGCGTATCTGGGCGGATACGGGGTATACCCATACGGGAAGCTACTCGGGGGACCCATTGACCCGGCTGAATGCGAGGCTGGATGATCAAACGCTGGCGAGGGTTCCGGCGGCCGAGGGAATGTAGCGGGAGCCGGTCGTGAAGGAGCCTGTGATGTCTGCAGCTGGAGAGGGGGCTTCGTCTCGTGGGCAGGTGGATACGCAGCGGGAGCTCTGGCTGCTTCCGGGGGTGGAGGATACGTTTGTGGCGGCGGAGGCTCTGGGCGATACTGGGGAAATGGTGTATGAACCGTAGAGCTCGGGAACGATGTCGGCGGGCCCTGGGGCGGCTCCATGGGATATGATCGCCTGGATGTAGGTGATGGCGATGCAGGTGGACCCGATGCCGATTGTGGTTGAGGGAGAGCAGCTGACGGGGCAGCGGTGGATGCGAAAGCTGTTTGACTGTCCACACCCAAGGCCTCGGAAATCGAGGGCAGCGATTGCCTCGTACTCTGTTTGGCACCTTCCCTCTCATTCTCGCTCGTCCGGCGTGACTCAGGAGGAGTGTGTACGGCCGGCTGCGGTGCTGGCCAGCTGTTTGCGTGCTGTGCTGGCGGCGGCGCACTGTGAGCGTGGCTGTAGGGCGGAGGCGGGCCTGACGGGTAGGGATAGGTAGGACTGGCAGCAGCGCTGGTCGACAAACTTTGTGGGGTGCCAGCGTTGCGAGCGTGATACGCCTCGTCCTCGCGCTTGACTTTGTCGACGTCGAGATAGCTGAGTGCGGGCAGCTGTGGTCTGCAGTGGTCCGCGATCAGTGACATGCCTGCAGAGAAAGACGACAGGACCAGACGGGAGCGGTAGTAGGCACTGCAAGCCGAGAAGAACTCACCTCCTGTGGGCGCCGTCCATGGCGGCAGAGGGCAGATTTGTCGACAAAGCGACTGTGTACGGCCAGAAAATGGAGGAAAGAGGCCAGAGCAGACGCCCGGCCGCCGAGAGGGTGCGGCTTCACGGGTTCGAAGAGCAATGACGCCGATATGGCGATGCCGTGGGACTCGGAAGGGTCGACGGCGTCGTCGAGTCGGGTCGGCCCATACAAGACGATTCGTCGGTCCGGCGGCAGCAATACTCGGGAGGAAGGTCCAATGCTGCGTGCGGAAGTCGCTCCAGGCGTGGTATGTGATGCTGATTTAAGAAATTGTCAGGTGTCGCAGACGACGAGAGGCAAAGCGTGAGGTTTCGATGACGGGTGGCGGAAGTGCGAGAGCGAGACACGGCAGGCCGGCTCACACGGTACCGGGTGAATCAGTCCCTGGAACGGCGCTGGACGGAAACGATGATACGCAGACGCAGGCGCAGGCGCAGGCGCAGGTGCAGGAGCAGGAGCAGGAGCAGGAGCAGAGTTTACGTTTCGCGTGTCAGAGACGGGGCGGTTCGCAAGCCGGCCGAAAAGGATGGTGGACCTCTAGTGAGGAACCGAACCGGACCAGACCAGACCAGCACACCGGACAGGACAGGACAGGACAGGACAGGACAGGACTGGACTGGACAGAACAAAACAGAACACAACGGGACAGAGGATATCGGGGCGAGGAGGTTTGTTGAGTAGTCAGCATGCAGCAGCATCAGAAGAAGGAGAGGATGGGGCCCGCGAGTATTTATTGGTGAGAGGGGAGCGAGCGCACGTCAACGAATCAGACAAGGGCGATGGATCGAAGATCTGTCCGTGCATGGACCGGGGTATATGCCAGCCCATAAGCACGATACAGGCCCGCACGGCACAGTACGATACCGCGTCGTGCGTAGCGGACTACTCCTTCGAGCACGTCGGTAGTGGTGACTAGTGAGGTATAATACGGTACCTTCCGGTGAGTAGTGTACAGTGTGCAGTGTGCAGTGTGCAGTGTGCAGTGTGCAGTGTGCAGTGTGCAGTGTGCAGGGCGGGACAGGGCAGACAGCAGACAGGAGACAGGAGACAGGAAACGGAGACTCATCGTGAGATGAAGAGCATACCACTACTTTTGCGTGCCTGCATACTACGCGACCGGACCAACTGCTACTGCGGCAGGCAGTGCATAGTCGAGCAACAATGCATGATACATTGGTCAGATGTGGTGTGCACTGCCAGGCGTCGGTACGGCGAGCGACCCATCTGCCCAGGTCGCTTCGGCTGACCATGCGTGCCAATACCTCTCACCATGTTGGAGCTGCGTGCCGGCCGATGGGTGAGGAGGGCGAGTTATCTCGCCTTGTCACGCTGGTCACGCTGGCTTGGCTGGCTTGGCTGGACACGCTGCTCTCGGTCCTCTGCTGGGTTCGCTGCCCTGCCGCCAAGATGCTAGTCTGCAAGGAAGCCCTCCTTCGGCGGACAGCGGACAGCGTGCAGTGATCTCGCGTATCGGCATCGGCATCACCAATCCACGATGCAGATTTCATTGAGCTCCAAGCGGCCCCATCCGCTGCGCCGCCTGCTGCCGTACGACCACCATTTCTCGCGCTTCGTCCGGAATACAATCGTCATGTGTAGGCACTCGTCGCAGTCAAAGGCAGCCGACGAGCGCACAAGACGACGCAGAATTCCTCGTTGCTGGCGACCCACCCGCCAAACTAGGTTATCTGCACCACGTTGCGTCGAGACCACCGACCACCACGGCCACCAGATGCCTGCGGGCCACTAGCGCAGATCGCGGAGACACAGATTAGCCAATCGTCATGCAACAACGCCGAGCGGCAGACAAGGGAACCACTCGGGCACGATTACGATAGCACGATGATAATGATAATCATGGTAATGATAATCATCATCACTTCTGCTTCCGCCGCGATACCTGTACCCGAAAGGAGTGCCCGTCAAGCAGGGCGAGGTACTGTACGCAATGCGACCATGGAAAGGATACTCCCGCCGCATTTGTGCAGCTGCTGTAGACATCCTGTCACCCAAATGACCTTGTCTGCCAGCGCCCGAGGTTATCCAGCACTGCTTGACAGGTCTGCCTGGGCGCACGATCCACCGATCCGTGCGATCTGGAGAACGCGCCCGCGATCGCAGCCGGAAAGCACGCGCCACAACGAAACATGGAAGCGAGGAGCGGCAATCAATAATGAGTCCCTCTTTCATCAAGGAAGCACGCTGTGGCTACTCTTCCGCGCACCGCCCGAGCTTGCAGAAGGAGCGGGATTTCGATCGGGAAGATCCGGCCCGTCCTGTGCCCCGGTCCATGCCGCCTTCCACCTTGGTCGCCCTACTGTCCATGAGACGACGACGACGACTGCATCCTCCATACCCTCAAACATTCACTTTCCAGGGCGAGTCCCGGTCTTGCGCAGACAACGCAGGCAGCATCTTCTAGGCGTGCACACAGACACTTCCCCGGCCGCGTCGGCGTCTTCCAAACTTGATTAATTGTCGGCAAATCTGCCAGATGCCCGGACGGTGCAGATGCATGAGGCCCACACTTAACCGAGAGGAACACTGTGACGTGTAGAGCACAGAGCAGCAGTGGCTACTAGGGGGAGGCACGAGATCCTCCGCTTGCGATTCCCGTACAATCTCATTGCGGGCAGAATCTGCAACCAGCCGCTGTCATGTCTCAGCAAGGGAAAACGCCTCCGTCGAAAACCACATCAGCGCGAGCAGTATTTCACGCCGGCTCCTTTCGAAATCTCCCAAGTCAATGATCGATAATGCCCAACTTGACGATCACACCGCAAGCCGGCACCCTTTTCTCGGACTCGAAATGCGAAAGCCTCAGCTGGCTGTCTATTGCCGGAAACGTTTTCTGTGCGAGACACCGTTCTGTGGTTCTTGGGAAGCTGCGACAAGCCTCTCAACGGCAGACGATAAGCTAGCCAAGCTAGCCAGAGCCGGGCGCTCACACTAGATTGCGAATGTGCTGTAAGACCCTGCATCTCAGACCGTCAAGACCGTTTGCAGGCCGGAGAATTTCACCCGACCCTGAATCGCTCACCGAGATGCTTCGCACGGAACACAGTCCTGCTATAAGCCCTCCTCGCCGGTCGGGCAGCCGCAATCTGGAGTTGTAATAATAACAGCACATATCTCAATGGTATGCAACTGCCAGCATCGTGAGATAGCCGAGCGATGTGCGACGGCCCACTTCTTCCTGTGCGACTTCACCCGCTCGATCTCAACTTCGAGCATTCTACGCCCAGATCGCAGACACCCTCCGAGCATCCACAGCATCCGTTTACCGCATTCTACGCAGATCTCGTCGATACTGCTAACAAAGATAGCTCGTCGCGTCCGGATACGTGTTGCACCTCACCAACCGCCGACGGCATTAGCGAAGAGTCTGTCGGTCTCAGCTGGTGGGCTCACAGATACCACGCGCGGCACCGGTGTCATTCAGTTGCCTCATCATCTACCGCGGTGCAGACGTCTTATCGCTAGCCTGGTACGCGTGCGTGGATGTCAAATGAGGAGGCACCCATGATCGAGAAGATCTGAGATATCGCGTCAAGGCGAGGAACCGCTGCACACTTTAGTCCACGTCTCCGATTGCATCTTACACTAGACGCGCTTCTTGTTCGGTTCATCTGCGCCCGGCGAATAGCCCGGAGATCGATTGGCTGTTTCTGCTGAGAGAACGATAGCTCGCGCGCTGGGACTAATTCAATGCGTGTTCATGCCGGACTCCATCCTCGTCCAGCATGCGCCTCATCCAACGAAAAAGAGGTATTTGTCTCAGCGCATCGGGTAGAAGCACTCCAACAAGCTAGTCGACCGGCATCCGTGGTCGACAGTGCATGTACGCCGAGACGACATCGTCGCCCTTGCGTGCCGTGATGCCCCAATCTTCCACGATGAGGAGATTGGGCTCAATATATCGACCGAGATCTAGACAATATGGCACGGCCATACCCGGCACATGTGAGGAGGAGCGCGGCAGCGGAACATCTCGACCCGACTGCAGGATGTTGGGGGGGGGGGGGGGGGGGGGCGGGGGATCCCCCCCCCCGGACAATAATTCGCTGTCCGAGTGTGGGCTCTGAGAGGATGCTGTCATTCATTCCTGCACTTCTTCCTTTTGGTCGATTAGGTCCCACCTCACCTGCTGGCACGCGGCCCATCGGACCGAGGAACAAAATCGTGTATAGTAGGATCCAGAGCCCAGCGGGAACAACAACAACGAGACCGGCTGGCAGCTGTTCGATATAAATCTGCGATCGGTATGAGATAGAATTGCGTGGTCGTTTCAGATATGACACCGTGCAGTGCAGCCAGAACGTCCGTCACACGAGATCTTTCTTGCGACTTGCACACTTGGAAAAAAAGCGTACCGTACCCGACAGCGCGGAAGATTTTCCATGGATACGGAAAGTTTCTACTGGGGACCCATTCCTTCTCCAAACTACTAGATACTGACTGTGACCTTTCTGTTGGGAATACGCAACGCAGTGCAGTGGAAGGCCAGAAATCCACCTGTTGGGTTTGACTCATCTTTTATTTTCCGGGTCTGCTCGCAGTGGGCCCGAGGGGGCCCCAAAGACGTTGTTTCAGACTGCTTCATCTTCATCTCTTAGCAGCGTATCACCCTGCCCACCACCCATTATGCTGGAGATTCACCAGACTGCTACGTGCAACGAGCGAAGTGGACAGGCGACAAGGAAGGCGATTTTCACGAGCCTGACGTGCGCTGAGTAACAATCGGCCTTCCAACCGTAGGAGAGCTGCGTCGACACCCTTATGCTTGAGTGCCGCGAGATCGATGGACAGGAGAATCATGATGAAGAGATAAACACGACAATCAAGGGGTTGACCAAGGACTTCCCTCTGCTCCGGGCAGACCGAAAACAACAGCGCACGGCAATCTGTGTAAAGAGGAGCAGAGAAGAATTCCAAGTCGGGTACCTTATGTGAACTTTCTTCATTGTTGTCATCCAGAGGATAGAAACGGGTACCATGTCTCTCTCTTCCCCACAACCACATACATCAGTAAGCTGCGCGGACGCTGAGACCACTCTTGCCCGCCTCCGGTCAAAAGTCAGCGAGCCTCATGGACCGGAACAGCCTTTCTTTCAACTGCCAATCGCTCGCTCGATCCTAAAATTGGCGAGCGTTGATCCAGTGCTGTTTCGCGACGTTTGCTAATCGTCACTCGGGCTACAGAATAGCCTTGATAGCAATGGCGTAGGGGAAATCTTACAGAGGTAGGTAGCGGCATCTGCGCAGCTTCGGCTTCGTTTGATTGGGCTGTATCCACCGCTACAATCGTATCCCTTGGGGTAGGGGTAGGGGTAGATGCCTCCAGGTGGATTCCAGTCTGGAGGTGTCGAGTCTTGAGGTTTCACGCAGTGTCTCATCAAGTCTGTCCGCCACCAGCAGCCTGACCGCTCTGACTGCTCAATCTTGCTCTGTCCGCCTCATGGCCTCCGCCCTCTTCCGCCTCTCCGTCTTCTTCGTCACTGTCCACCGGCGGACCCCATCCCGCTTTCATTCTCAGCACTCGATTCTCTTCCTTCAACGCCGCAATGCGTCTCTTGTAGGGCATACCTTCCTCCTCTCTTGACTTCAATGCCATTCTCACTCCTTCGCTGACCCGTTTCAAGCCGGCCTGCCATGCCTGGTGCGTAAGCTGTGCTTCTATCGTCTCACTGCGTGCCTGTGTAAGCATCTGTGTGTAGTGCTGGTGCAGGGCGATTATGTGGTTCTGCTGCTCGAAACAATACTGTCGTATTCGATCGGTGGTCTCTGAGAGCGTTTCCTCGTACAGTTGCTGAAGTCGGATCTGCTCTTGATAGGTGCATTCAAAGGACGCGATTCGGGCGTTGGCATTCGCTAGAGCGGTCTGCAGCTGGGACACCGTGGGTTGATTCGGCTCTTCGATCGCTGTGTCGTGTCAGATCAGTGCACGCCATAGCTGCCAACAATCTCAATCATGATTGAGATGCACAAATGAATCTCAAAACATACGCTGAGTGTCCCCGTTCAACAGCGGTAGCTGGCCTTGCTGCGCTAGTCTACCCTAGAAGTTCAATGCAGTGAGTGATTGTCCGATACCCAGAGTGCCAGACTCATTAAGAGTGGGAAGAGTGTCCTACTTGCAAACGTTCAACTCTTGCTATTCCGTCCTGAACCTGAGCCCATTCCTGTCTGTTCTGCTCGAGCCAACCGCTGAGAGATTCCATGTTCTGCATGAGTGTTTGCATATCGCTGTAATGTCCTGCCGAGGGCATGATAGACCCGTTCATGCCGCTATACAGCGCTGCATTTTGTGCACCGAGGCCGTTCTGGTTGGCCATGACGGGCACTAAAAGAGAGCGTCGAATTCACGACTCACTGCGAAGGGTAGCGTGGATGCAGTTGTCCAAAAGTAGACTCGACTTCGCCGGAAGCGCCGCTGTCGTCTTTCTCGATCGCGGACTCGTTGCCGTCCAATGCGAGGTCTGGGTCGCAACTGATCCCTAGACCGCGAGCGCGACTTGCCGTCTGCGAATCAAACGAAAGCTGGCTGGTGGACGATGGGCCTGGCAACTGAGGAGCGATTGGGTATTGGTGCTGGAGCTGCGCGGACTGGTACTGCGGGTACTGCTGAGGTTGCGGGAACAGAACAGACGGGTACGGCGGCTGCTGGTACTGTTGTGGCAGCTGGTAATGCGCAGCTGGGTACTGCAGCTGTTGATACTGTCCAGGCGGGGATAGCGCAGCAGGTGGTTGGTAGTACTGAACAGCCTGACCGCTCTGCGTCTGAGTCTGAGCCTGGGTATGGGCCTTAGCCTGCGCCTGAGTGTGGACCGTTTGATCAAGCTGGCGACGTTGCTGGCGAGAATCCTCACCAGGGCCGAACTCAGTCTTGGAAGTCGAAGTCGAATCGCTGCGCTTTCCAAACTGCTTCCAGGATGGAACGGTCCAGTCGACCTTGGACAATGACGACGACGGGCCCGCTTGCCCGGTTTGATAGGTGCGAGCGTGAAGGCGTGGACAGGCGTCGGCGCGCTGCTTCAGTCCTGCCTCGAATCGCTCTTGTTTCGCGCGTTCTGAAATCCAAACGTGTTAGCGCCGGTCCCCGCAACTCTAAATCCGGATCCGTGCGTCTATGCCTGAGGCACGACTGTCACAAGGATGACTAACCTTCCTGGGCTTGGCGCTGCGGACTCTGCGGCATCGCGAGTCCACCCATTCCCATTCCCATTCCCTGGGCTTCCTCAGTAAGTCGGGTCAGTCCTCCGCCGGGTGCACGCACAAGATATCCTCCGTCTTGTTCCACCTGTCTCTTGAACTTGTTTTCACGATCCTCGCTGGTGCCGAGCATTTCGCGCATCATAGCTTGGTCTCTGTGGCGATTGTAATCAGTCATCGGAGAGACTGCATTGATTTCTGAGTTAGCGCAAGCTGCGATCTGCATGTAGAGAGCATACCATTGTAGTGCTTATCGTTCTGCATGTCGTCAAGGATCCTATCGAACTCCGACATGCCCATGGTGGACATTGGCCGCTGTGGCCCCTCAGGGACTTGGATAGAGAAAGCTCCATCCCACAGAAGGCCACAGTTCCCCGCGTTGTTGATGTTGGCGGCGTAGTTCTGGATGAAAGAGTTGTCGCTCATCTCTTCCGCGTCTTCGCCGCCGCCTAGTGCAGCGCGGCCTAATTGGAGCGTGGCTCGAGTTTGCTTTGGCAACGGTGGTAGGCCCTTGTTCTTCTTGGTTGGACTATTTGTGTTGGTCAGCTGCGCTCTTGCTGGGTATACTACCTCTTGATCCAGCCGTTGCTGGACTTTCTCCTTGCCGGCATCGGCGTCGGCAGTGTGTTTGGGCCTGGTTTTGGTGTTGCTATTGGTCCTGGCAGAGGCTTTGGCAGCGCGTTTCGCAAGTCTGGCCTTGGTAGCATTCAGTTTGACTGGGTTCAGATTCTTCATGGCATCCAATTTGGCATCCACTTTGGCATTTGTCTTGGCATTCATCTTCCGCAGCAGCGCGTCAACTTTGGCCATGGCAGGGTTCGACCCAATGATCTCCGTGTCGGACGACTCCTCGTCGCGCTCAACTCCTTGATGCGACGACCGCACATGCTGCGAGCCAGAGTCCTTGCGTGGCGGATCCATCGGACTGTGCGGCTGCGCAGCTCGGACAACTTGTTAGAAGGAGTGTGTTAGCAAAAGCCCGTGGTGGTTAAGGTTGAAAAGGGTTCGTGAAAGCTGAGAATGTCTGCATCTACTACAGCTGTTGCCTATGTGAGGTTTTGTGATGTCATAGGGTCGCCATGGGCGACCGAATGAACTTATATTGCTGGGTGAGAATTACAAAGCTCTTCCTCTTCTCCGATGGCAATGGGATCCTTTATGCTCTGACTGCCCGCCTGCACAGATTGTGGCTGCGGAGGAAGCAATACGCTGTCATTCGACCTGTTGGTGTTGGTGAATTTCTCCTGCCTTTGGTGGCTACCAGCCTCAATGTGGTTTGTTTGGCTTGCACGTGCCGAGGTTGACCCGAAGCCGCGTGCGACAGCAAGTTCCGGCCCAGACTTTGCACCAGCCAATTCTGCCGGCTTTGGCCGCACGGGGGCCTTTAGCTGCGACACTCGTTGAATCGCTTGCGCTGCTGTCTCTCCGGATTTGGCAATCGGAGTCATCCTAAGAGAGTTCTGCCAAAGCATACGGCGTCAGGAATCAAAGATTGCAGTTTTATAGACTCGACTGCAATATGCTTACCTTGAGATCGTGGAACCCCTTCAGACTCCCTCCCTTAAACACTTTTTCGGGATCCAGACCTACGCTCGCAGTCGATTTGATACTGCGAGGCGTCCAGTACCTGGAGGCTCCGTCGAGACCGAATGCACTAGGTCCTTCGTGATCTTTGCCGGAGGAGGCGGAGCTCGTGGAAGTGGCAGATAATGAAGACCTGGTCGAAGTTGACGAAGCCGAATGAACGGAGTCATTGGAGCTGCTCCTGCTCTGATTCCTGCTCGAAGTACTCGAGTACGGCGACACCGGCACGCCACCATCTTTCGGCGAATTGTCCATGGAGTCCCACGGCCTACAACCAAGCTGTTCATTTCCGTGCGCTCCTAATCCCTCTTCGGTATCCTCTTCGATATCCTGTTCGACAATATTTCCGAGGTGCTCAGCCCGCGCCTCCACCTCGTTGCCTCCTTTCACGGTAACAGACGGACTAAGCCTTCCTCGCCGCAGTCGCTCGTTAAACCGAGATTCTGCACGGATCATACGCATTAATCCGACTATGGCTGTTGACAGAAATGGATCGAGTGATGTACTTGTCCTACTGGGAAATGTCGGCCTCGCGGCTTCGGAAAGTAAGGAAAGGGCGCCTGGCTCCTCACGATGGTCCCGCTTTGCCACTCTCGAAGAGGAGGATGATGAAGAGCGAACTTCTTTCACTTCTCCATATCCGAACGGCACAGATGTCTCCTTCATAAGTGCGCCGATGTTGGTTTCTCTGAGTGGCGCTATCGCTCCCGTGAATCCATAGTCAGCAGGCCCACCATCGAGTTCTTGCTCACTGGATGTCACTGCCAGGTCGCTGTCCTCTCTCTGTTCGAACGACTCCGGATCACACGCAATTTCGAGAACGTGGCTGCGCAATCCAATGTCGAACAGTTGCCTCAACCACTCGCGGCGGTATCCTCGAGGTATTCGATCCAATAAAGTGCGAATTTGCCGTGAGACTGGCGTCTGTGGACTGTGTTGGAAAGTAGGAAAGATACACAGAGCGTTATAGGCTTCTGTCAGAGCATTGTCGAATTCGCGATTCCATGTATCCTGCCATAGAGAAGTAGGAATGTCAGCAATTGTCTGAGACATTGCGGAACAAAATACAAGGCTCGCCTGCCGACTGGAGGCTTAGACGTGAGGGATGCGGTCGGGATCGTACCTCATGTCGCTCAGTTGGAGTGCTTTCTGGATGCAAGTCTGGAGGAGGCGCAGAAGCTGGTTGGCATTTCATATACTGGTTCAGAGCACCGTCGGGCGACAATGTAGTCTCTTCGTCGAAATTATGGCCCGATGAGTGTGCGTTTTGAGGTTCCACGGTTGGCGAATGTTCCTCAACCTATGAGGACCTCTGCATCGTTTGCTCAACAGTGAGACCCTGAGCACTTTCCTGAAGAAGCGCAACTGGATTTGATCCATCTGGAACTGCAGCCAACAGCACAGTGACCTGGGTAGAGAGTATCGTGGTGGAACCGCGGTGACCCGCCTGCAGGAACGAGTCATTGAGATTGCCCCCAGCGAGACACGCAAGGAGGTCGGAGGCCAACGGACCTCGAGGTGCACCGTCCGCTTTGATGCAGTCGTCGTCTCTGCCTTTGGATGAGCTCTTACATTTGTCCGGGAGACAGATTGCAGAATCCAACCTCGTCAGAGGAGCGCTTCGCGTTGGTGTTATGGGCAGGTAAGTGGTCGCAGGGTGGTCGTGCTCAACATTCACATATCCAGCTGTGTCCGGGACGTTGGTATTTTCAACCAGCGGACTCGCATTGAGGGCAGGCATAAGATCGTCGCCAACTTCATCCAGCCATTGAGTCAATGCGCTCCAAAGGCCGAGGAAATGCGCCATGTGATCGTCCTCTCCCGCGTTCTTGCTCTTCTATGATTATTCCGTTGCACATGCAAGCTGACCTAGAGGCATGCTTGATGGTGATGTGTCAATGCTGATGGAGCATCTCAAGTTTGGGTAGTCTCAAGGTGTTATCTTTGTCGAAATCTCACGCCGCAGGAGATGACAGGAATGGCAGTGGCGGTTCGGTGGCAGCTGCACTCGGAGAGTGTCGGGAAAGGCAGGATTGACCTCGACCTAACGGTTTCCCTCGAGGCCTCACTTGCTCACACGGCCTGCGCTCTCCATGCATCTTGCTAAACTTGCAGTGCAGAAGAATTTCACATTTCATTTTTCAGACAATACAAATCTTCGCTCGACCTCACGCGGTGCCTCGTCATCCTGGAAATTTAGGCGAACCATCTCGCCTTTCTCCTTGTTGAGCTCCTTCGCCCGCCAATCCTCGATCACCTCCGCCTTATAGAACGTCGTAGTGTCAGGATATTGTGCGAGCACTGACTTCGTTTTGTGCAGATCACTCAGTCCTCTGTTATCCTCAGGTATTTGGATGAGCTGCGAGACCGACGCGCGCTGAGGTGGTGGCGGGTCTGCTTGCAGGTCTGCGTCCTGGACCTCGTACCGCCGTTGCTTGCCCTCTCCGATCACATTGGTGACTCGACATAGTATGCCCTCGCCTTCCGGAGGATCACCTTTCTTCGGATCGTAGTTCTTCATGTCATGTCGGCAAAAGACGATCTCTCCGAGTTTCAGGACCAAGCGGTTAGATGGTCGGTTACTTCCTGAAGATTTGGCTGTCCCTGCAGCGGCCGAGACGCCATCTGCGCTGCTAGCAACAGATTCAGCGCCGTCTTCGATTTTGACTGAGGCCTCCCTTGTGGCGGGTATGCTGCCAGAGCGGGAGGATTTCTCTTTTGTCGAAAGCCGATTCGCAGCGCCTATGCTGATTCTCGGAGAAGGAGCGGCAGAGACTTCGTCTCCCTCTTCGGTGCTAGCAGTGACGGCAGAAGCGCTCTTGCTCCCACCCTTCTTGGGTGCTCTAGACAGCTTGCCACTTGCTGCACGATGCCCTTGGCTTGCCTGCAGATGAGCAGCATCCTGTTCCGAGGCAGCTCGGAGGCCTGCCAGAATGTTGATGCTGTCTAGTAGATTTGTGTCGTTCGATTTGCCCTCGATGATGTGCTGTACGTCCTCGCAGAGCTTGACATTCTCCCGGTATAGCTTTTCCAGCCGCTCGTCAAGCGCAGCATCGCTAGACTTATTGGAATCCAGGAGGGCCGCCTGCTGAGACTCAACCTGCAGGATCTCCTTGCCGATCTCGTTTGAACGTGCCTATATACCGGTGTCAGTACGAGATCTGTTGGGTGTTGCACACATTATACCGGATGTGTCTCCACTCATGAAGAGCGCCTCCGACTGAAGCAGGGTCACTGAATACGTACTACCATGCCATCGACGTCTTTCGCCTTGTCCTTGATCTCCTTCCAGAGCCGTCTCTCCTCGTCGGCGTCCTGGTTCGGGTTCCCCCTGCCACGACTTCGTGCGGACATGTTCGGGAAGCTGTACCTAAGAATCGAATTGAATGCTCGACGACTTGGCGACGGGACGGGAGGTTTGCGGCTCTCTCTGCGCACGTCCCGAACGCCTGCACGGGTCACGGGACGGACCTGGCCTGGGCAGACTCTGGGGCTTAGCGCACTTCTTGCTGAGCATCACGAACGCACCTCCCCCTCTACTCGACTTTTCTAATAAAATTCTTCTTGCCAAACACCACCCCCAATCACGAAACACAGTTTGTTCGAGGGAATACAACGCTCATCGCTCCGGTAATAACCTAGCAAAGAAGATAGATTCGTTGAACACCGACAACGCCATGCAGGTTCCTCTCTTACGTCTGCAATGCGGTGAGTGAATGGCTGTCTGCAAGCTCAACAGACGACATTCGCTAATCATGACTTGAAAGGTTGCAACAGCTACGAATGGGGTCAGCATATTCAACCAAACGGTTGTTGTTCATGCTGACACTTCAAAGGCAAGATCGGCAAGGACTCGGCAGCAGCTCGCTTTGCCTCTGCGACGCCTTCTAGCGACTTTTCTATCCAGCAAGACAAACCCTACGCAGAAGTCAGTCGCCACCACAGTCCACTTGAATCTCTTGTTGACACCTCCTAGCTATGGATGGGCACACACCCTTCCAAGCCCTCCAAGGACCTGGCCACGGGCCGAACATTGCTGGACCTCGTTCAAGATAACCAGGCACTGATGTCTAGTGCTGTTTCGAAACGATACCAACAGAAGTTGCCATTCCTCTTCAAAGTCTTGAGTATCAACAAGGCTCTATCGATCCAGGCTCACCCTAACAAGAAGCTTGCCGAACAACTCCATGCCAAGGACCCAGAGCACTACCCCGATGACAACCATAAGCCGGAGATGACAATTGCCATTACTCCCTTTGATGGCCTTTGCGGATTCAGACCATTGAACGAAATTGCCCACTTCTTGCAGCACGTGCCGACTTTGCGCCACCTGATCGGAGAAGAGAATGCAAGTAACTTCGAGAAGACAGTCAAGGGACGGGAGACTACCGACGACAGCAGCGAGACACAGGCTAACAAGAAAGCTCTTCAAAGCGCCTTCGCGGCTCTCATGAAGTCGAGCCCGGAAGACATCGAGAAGAAGGCTCCAGAGCTTATCAAGCAGGCCAAGTCCGAGGGTGCCAAGTTTGCGGGAGAAGGTGGACCTGCAAACGATGGCAAGGAGTTGGCTGACCTGATGGTCCGCCTGAACGACCAATTCCCAAACGATATCGGCCTTTTCGTAACATTCTTCCTGAACTACGTCAAGCTCGAAGTAGGCGAGGCCATGTTCCTGAAGGCGGACGACATCCACGCCTACCTCTCTGGCGGTAAGTAACCTCCCATGGCTGTGTGAACGACGGTCACTAATATTTCGCAAGACATCATCGAATGCATGGCATCCAGCGATAACGTCGTGCGCGCGGGCTTCACTCCCAAATTCAAAGATGTCGACACCCTCACCTCTATGCTAACTTACTCCTACGCACCGATCAGTGAACAGAAGATGAACCCAACGGACTTCGCCTTCGTGAAGCTCAATACCACCGCATACAGTTCAAACTCCCAATCTACGCTTTACGATCCACCAATCGAGGAGTTCAGCGTGGTCAAGACCGACCTCAATGCTTCCGGCAGCAAAGCTACATTTGAGCCCATCGAGGGTCCTTCAATCATCATCTGCACCAAGGGCCAGGGCAAGATTAGCGTGGGGCCCAAGTCGGAGGACATCGAGGAGGGATATGTGTACTTCGTCGGCGCCACAGCTGAGGTTGCTCTCGAGAGCAAGGGCAACGAGCCGCTCGTCACGTTCAAGGCGTTTTGTGTGCTCAGTGACGACGGAGATGGCGTGAGTGGAAAGATGTGAGCGAAGCTTTCAATGACTACAACCATCTCGCATTTTTGAAACGCAGCATCCCAAAAGCATGCTAGAGCGGAGTTTTGACAGACAACAGCTCAACGATGGTGAAGATGAGGCCAAAGGTACTTCTGCATACTCGTACACGCAAGTCGCTGCACTGTCTGCAGTGCAATGTCGAGCCCTTCTGCCGTCCGAGTAGAAATCCGGAATTTTTACCTGACCCCTTGCTATCGACTTGCTGAACGCTAGAGTAGATACAAGCTGCGGACGAAGGAAAATCTCGATTGCGCCTGCGAAATGCCGCACAGCTGCTGTGATTACAAGTAGAACTACGCAAAACAAAAGCATACCAAAGCAGAATGGAGTTTAATAGTCGGTAGAAGAAAGATTCCCGTCTGCGCCAGGCTGTGACAGGTGGGTATCTTGGGAGAAGCCGAGTAAGGGTGGAATGTGTGGTGTGGTGGCTGAGGCGGCTCGCTGGTCGCCGTTCGCTGGCTTTCGTGTGTCCTGGTCTGGTCCAGTATGGCTGGCCTGTATCGATGGATGTTGGTGATGAATTGGCGGGATGCTCTGCTTCGTCTCGCGAGATGGGTTCTAATCCGTTCTGGAGATTTTGCTCACTTATTGGCCGGGAGCTTCACATTGCTGCTCAGCCAGGCGAGGCCTTCGAAGATGCCCTCGCCCGTGGTCGCGCAACTGGGCTCCACCTTCCAAGTGTGGTCTTTGGCTATTCGTTGCAGGTCCAGCATGTCGGAAACCTCCTTGGGTCGCATTGCTGTATCATGTCAATTCTCACTCTTGCGCATCCTCGTGGTTTCGATACCGACCTCCTTGTATGTCCTGCTTGTTCGCAAATACCAAGAGCAGCGCATCCTTCATTTCACGATCTTGTATGATGCGCGCCAACTCGCTCCTCGCCTCTTCCATTCGGTCGCGATCATTGCTGTCAATGACGAAGATCAGACCTTGTGTGCCGGAGAAGTAGTGTCTCCAGAGCGGTCTGATCTTGTCCTGGCCGCCGACATCCCATACATTGAATTTGGTGTTCTTGTAGGTGACGGTCTCCACGTTGAAGCCGACGGTAGGGATCGTGGTGACGTCCGTGTCGAGCTTGAGCTTGTAGAGGATGGCTATTCGTTCGTCAGCTGCGCGATCCACCGCCTTTGGATCGTGCTCCTTTCATACTTGTCTTTCCAGCAGCGTCCAGTCCCAGCATCAACAGACGCATCTCCTTGGATCCGAAGATCTTGTTCATGAGTTTCGAAATGTTCCCTCCCATTTTGGCAGTGGCGCTGCGGGTCGACCGTCGACGCTATGAGAAAGGTGGACGGATAGTCTGCTCGTGTGCCTGTCGCGGTTATGTAGATGCTCCCAATGCCAACGTGAAACGCGGTGCAGGTGGTCGGAAATGGACCGAAAAGAGTGGATCGCGTCTTCGCGAGCTGTGGATCGGTCGGGGGAACTGGGAATTGATGCACGCGCAACTGTCGTTGAGTAGCTGTATGGCATGCGACGCACTGTTTGGCGAGAATTGAGGGAGTGTGTCTGGGTGGGTGGGTGGGTTCGCGGCGGAGGAGACTTTGCTCCTTTACGCTGCGGTGTAGGGCAGGCTAGGGTAGGGCGGGCTTGAACTTCGTTGGTGCCTTGTCCGTCAGTGCTTGATGACCTGCAGGTGTGGCTCGCCAAAGTCAAGTGCGGCGACTGCGTTGGGTTTGGTGTGCTCTGTTTCGTCGACACCCGAACCTGGAGTGTATCATGTCCCTGTGCTTCCGCGTACCCTAGCAATCCACCCGTACCCCAGAGAAATATCGCAGATAATGTCTCTTACATCGATTTCATATACTAGTATTATACCGTTTAAACTGATTCTTAGTAAATACTTTAGTATAGTCTTTACGATAGTATAGCTCTAGGTACGTATATATATATATATATATAGATATATCTATCTAAACTCTAGTATACATAGTTTCTAAGTAATAGTAGCCTAATAATCTATATTATAAACTATCTCTAATATTATTCTATAGAAATATATATCTATTATAGCTATCTTATAGTAAGGATTAAATCTAATAATCTTAAGTAAGAGCCTTATTATATAAGAACTAGCTTATATAGTATTATACATAGATAATACTCTTTCGTGTTAAGTCTGTAACTTAATAATCTTATAATGTATAAGGATTACTTATATAAGGCTTAATCGGTAT